AGTAGCTGCGCCTTTTTACATCCCCCCCAGCAATGCGCAAGTGCCCCGCTTTCTCCACATCCCTGTCAACACCTTCCTGTTTTTATAACAGCCATTCTAATGGGTGTGAGGTAGTATCTCATTGTGATTCTGATCTGCAGAATCAGATTATTAATGATGTTGATAATTATTAGTGATTTTGAACATATTTTCATGTGCTTATTCGTGATTTATGTATCTTCTTTGGAGAAATGTCTATTCAAGTCATTTGCCCATTATTCAGTTGGGTTGTTTGTTTTTTGTTGTTGTTGAGTTTTAGGAGTTCTTTCATATACTGTGGATATTAATCCCTTACCAGGTATGATTTGAAAATATTTTCTCCCATTCTGTAGGTTGCCTTTTCACTCTGTTGCTGGTGACCTTTGATGCACACATGGTTAATTGTGATGAAGTCCAATTTATATTTTTTATTGTTGCCTGAGCTTTTGGTATCATATCCAAATTATGCCAAATCCAAATTTCAAAAAGCTTTCCCCTTGTGTTTTCCTCTAAGAGTTTTATCTCTTACATTTAGGTCTTTGACCCATTTTGAATTAACTTTTGTATATGGGATAAGGTAGGGCTCCACCGTCATTCTCTTGTGTGTAAAGGTCTAGTCTTTGCAGCACCATTTGTTGAAAACTCTGTTCTTTCCCCACTGAATGTCTCGGCACTCTTGGTGAAAACCAATCGACCATCTAGGCAAAGTTCATTTCTGGGGTCTCTGTTTTAGTCCATTGGTCAATATGCCTGCCTTTATTCCAGTACCACACTGGTTTATTTTTTATTTTTATTTTTTATTAAAATATAATTGACATATAAGTACCTACTGTTTTGACTGCTGTAGTTTTGCATTAAGTTTTTGAAATCAGGAAGTATGAGTCCTCCAACTTTGTTCCTTTTCAAGACTGTTTTGGCTAGTTGGGGGTCTCTTGAGATTCCGTATGAATTTTAGGATGAGCTTTCCTATTTCTGTAAGAAATGTCATTGGGGTTTTGAAAGGAATTGCACTGAATTTGTAGATGGCTTTTGGTGGTATTGACATCTTAACAATATTAAGTCTTCCAGTCTATGACACAGGATGTTTTTCCATTTATTTGCAGCCAGAATGGCACTAGAGATTCAATTAAACAAATATTTACTGAAATCTTATTATATTCCAGGCACTATTAAAAACAGAGTTCACTAAACAGAAACATTCTTCCTTTAAATCTGTTTTTCAGTTCCCAAATTTAAAACAAATCATTTTCTCAAATAAGGCTGACTTCTGGATTGAAGGTTGTGTCAGAAAACACACAATTGATTTAATCTAAAAACCAGAGAATCAGTGTATTAACTTCCAAAAACCATTTACTTTTCTTAAATAATATTTTCTACTCTTCTTTAAATGGAGGGCATAGAACCAAATACTTGATAGAAAGCTTTATATTGTACATATGATTGCACAGACCACAAAAGATTTTGGGCCAGTGTACCTGAAATCGTAATTCTGGATGAAATCTCCGACATACTGCTTAACCTCCTCAGCTCATAATTCTGTTTCTTCATCACAGCGCTAGTCCTCAACAACCATCATACAAAGTCCATTCATTCAAAAAACATTTAACAGGCATTACCTTGTACTGAGAATTGTATTAGACATATTACTGATCAAAAAGCAGGACCAAGAGAGCAAGCAGAGATGTTTTCATATACCCCAACTACCATCAATAGAGAAACAACTCAGATCAACGTCCTGTAGGGAGTAGGTAAGTAGAGACAGTTTTAAAGCAGTACTTTGTGAAGGGACTATAATCCAAAGCCATATGCTTTTCTTTATAAAGTCAGTCCTATCAACAGTATTGCTTTGTGGCCCTGGCTGTTGTGGCTCAGCGGATTGAGCACTGGCCTGCAAACCAAAGGGTCACCAGTTCTATTCCCAGTCAGGGCACCTGCCTGGGTTGTGGGCCAGGTCCCCAGATGGGGGCGCACAAAAGGCAACCACACACTGATGTTTCTCTCCCTCTCCTTCTCCCTCCCTTCCCCCTCTCTAAAAAAATATATTTAAAAACATTTTTAAAAAAACAATATTGCTTTGCATTAACATTTACTGCATCCCCTCAGACACACAGACCTTAAGACAGAAAGAATAGTCCTGTTTCTTTCATTATAAAAACCTAAGTTGCATTTTAAAAACCTCTCATGTTCAAATCAGAAGGCTGCTCAATTTTTCCTTAAGAAAAGGAAAACTGGGGTTAAAAACAGTGAGCAATTAAGCAAAATCAAATTGGGAAAAACACAAATCTGTTATAGAAGAACTAGGTACTAACCCTGCAGTCAGTGCTCCCGACGGGGTTACTGATTAGCTGAGCGAAGCTGAGCGAACGCATGAAACCTGACACCTGTGCAGCTGCTGCACTCAGAATTAAGAGATAAGCCTCAGTTTATTTCTTACGGCTCATTATAGTCTTCACTTTTCCTCCCCCACCTCATGCACACTATTTTCAAGAAACAGAAATGAAAATGTAGAGCCAACATGTAGCAATTTAAAATGAAGATTCACCTGTATATGAGCATGGTATCTGTGTTAGTCTACTATTCAGAAGAGGGTAGAAGCTCATTCCAACACAAAATTATAAAGACAAAAAGCTCTTCAAGTCAGGGGAGAAACACTACGATTCTTTTGAAAATAAAGTGCTTAATTGCAATTATGATTCTCCTGCCTATAAACCCACCAGAAATGGTTTTGTTTTGCTTTGTTCTCTGCACATACAGCGTGTGGATGACCTGCATAAATGGGTTATTCCAGGGGAAATTAAAGCAGAGTAAGACGGTGAGAATGATGTAAAGGAAACATTTGATTCTCCTCACATTTTATATCCAACTGATGATCCACATAATTTTATTATATAAACATTTTATATTTTACAATTTCAGTTTATTAGCATTAAGGCATTCATATATAATTTACTATGACTAAGAATTGTACATAACCTGAAGTCCACTGAACTGCTACTAGAATTTCTGCTGATATAATCTCCAATATATATTTAGGTTAGATACAAGGTATGGGCAAAAGTAGGTTTACAGTTGTAACAATAAATAATACAATAATTAATTAATAATACAAGAATGAACTGTGTTTCATGTATTCACAACTATAAACCTACTTTTACCCTTCCTTGTATAACCCCAAATAGATTTTTGTTTTATTTATTTTTTAATTGAATTTATTGGTGACATTAGATAATATAAAGTTATATAGGTTTCAGGTGTAACCCCAAATAGTTTTAAAAATGAAAAACCAATAGGAAGTCACCACTTCGGCAAGTTCAGAAAGTTTCCATGCTACAGTTAAAAAAGAAAAATTTGGAACAGGTAAGATAGTGAGGTTTCTTGAATGAATTCTTATGAATGTAATTTTAAGACAAATTGGTAATACATGTGGTTTCTAACAACAACAAATAAACAAGGTTAATGTAATTGTTAAATGGAAATGTAGTGCTCTTAGGGAAGTAGGAGAAAATTGGGAAGGATGATTTCAAAATGACCATGTTATGACTGACTAGGGGAAAGAAAAATGGCATTTGTAAATGAAAACAAACCCAGAAGATACAAAACCGGCGGCTGCAGTCCCTCTCCCTGTTCCACTCCAGGTCTTCAGTGTCTCCGGGCAGGTTTTCCACCACTCCGCCCGCACTGCGGTCAGGTGATCTTCCTAAAGCGTAATTCTGCTAGTCACTCCTCCGCTCAGATTATGCACCACCGAAGGGCAAGCTCCGGAGCTTTGCAGGATGCCCCACACTCACCTTTCCAGCTCGATATCCCTCGACTTCGGCCGCATCTCACCTATGTACCGGCCACACTGAACTGCATCCTACTCACTGAAGTGGTCCTCGGTCTTCGTGATTCAGCTCTTTCGCTCATTCTCTTCCCTCTGGCCAGAGTTCTCTTTCCTTCCCTGCGAACTTCCTACCAGCCTTCACAGCTCTACTCCAATGCCATCTCCCCATAAGATCGTTTATTCCAACTGATTGTGATCCTCTCTCCTCTGATACCCCAGTGCACTTTCTCTAAAGACATTGGTATTCCATCTTACAACAAATGACTTCTTATCTCCACTGCAGGACTTTGAATGATCGGTCTGAGACAAGCAAGTGTTTAAGCTCCTGCTCTATCCCCTGAAGCAACTAGCAGGGGGCCTTACACACTGCAGGCACTCAAGTGGGTAATGAGTCAAACTACATGGAGTTCTGCTCCAAGAAAGTCACTGGGAGAACACTTTGGGTGCAGAGATACAAAATGAAAGGGCTGCTCATAGCATTGTGAGGAAACGTCTCAGAGCGTGCAAAATTTATACCGATGGGAGAAATATTTTACTGTTGTAAGAGTAAGGCTAATACGCTTTTGTGAGGTCATGATGGAAAAATAAGCACACAAAACCTCTCTCTTTCCAGGTAAATAATAAATGAACTAAAGGAGAGTAACCTTTAAAAAATAAACGTAATCATTTTGCCCGAGTCAAAATGTAGAAAGTAAAACAAAATGTTAACACATCTGTTAAGATGAAATCATAAATAGTCCTAATTATGTAATTAGCCCTAGAAAAGGATTTTAAAAGAATCTCTTCTTTGGTGAATCTATTCCCAAGTAACAGGAAGCCACACTAAAAATCAGTAGCTTTTTCTTAACGACAGGCTCCAAAAGTGAATGAATGAATGAGTGAGTGCACTTAATAAGACCTGACTCACTATAAACCAGTGGTTCTCAAGATACTTGTGGGGAAGAACTGGTTTTTAGATATTTCCTGTGTGTTACAGGTTGATGCTCTTATAAAATACAATGAAAATGCTGCAGCAATGTCTAAAGGTTGATGCACACTTTTTGCACTTTCCATGGACCAGTAACAAACTTCGCAAACAGGCAGCCATCTGCTCCGCTCCCCCGAAACCATGTACATTCAACACACACCAACTGCAGGGACAGGCAGGGTACAGGCCTACCTTCTGCTCTTGCATCTCGAACACTGCTTCATGGACACTGCAAGCAAAAAGTGAGGTGGGCAGATCGCTGAAATCCATCATCTCTTCCAAATCATCTTCATTTTCACCAAAAATCATCTCTTCTTCCTCTTCTTGGTCGCTGCTACAGAGATCTGACTGGCTGTCATTCCAGGATTTCATAGTGTCCCTCAGCATTATCCCCTAAAAGCAGGTCTTTTCCGTTTTTAAAGTCCTAAGATGTCTACCAGGAATCTACTGTTAAAAAAGAAAACAACAGAGATTAGACTTTGAGGGCCAAGAAATGTTCCAATCAATTCTCAAGGAAATAGTTCATCAAAGGAAACAATGTTATTCACTAAAGATAAATCAGCATTTAAATCAACTCATTATAGTTTTCATAAATTAATTCTATAGGAGCTAACTGGATTTGCATGGCATAGTTTGTGCAATACAGTTCACTGGCAATGATATAATACAAAACAAAAAAAGGCAAGAAGTTTTCTAGTGAAATTGAGGGAAAAAAGATAACAGAAAATGAGATAACATCAATGTGTATGCTAGTTTACAAGCCGTAGGAAGGAAAATGTGAACCAGAACTGCCTTCACATATTTGTTGTGGGTTTTAGGTCTACAACACTGAAGCTGGCGCGGCAGCACAGAACCCACGCGGATACGCTCGCCATCTGCACCCTGAAATGCGGTCTGTGAGGAGCTCACTTTACCTTTCTTAAGCAATTTGGCTTTTTTGGGTGTACTCTCAAAGAATTCAGTTACACAGAACCAAAAGTTCTATGTAAAGCCAGTCTTTGTTAATATTTGAAATATTTACAGTAGGTAAAATCTGACATAGATGACAAACGATGTCCTTTTCTGAATGTTTAATAATCAATAATTTTAACCCCAAAGCACGGAGCTGCCAATGTCTCTCTGTTAAACAGCAGAAGAGTCTGTCTTATACGTACTGTTCACATGCGTGTCTGTCCCCTCCAGTGAACTGCACCCCACACCCCCCGAGCAGAGCGCCTTGAACATAACACATTTGAAGATGCTGCAACAGAATTCAGGAAATATCATGCACAGAAAAATTAAGTCATCATGATTATTACTACCTCAATATTACCCTATTTCCAAGAACACAAAGCCATAAATATATTGCTCAGAGTATGTTACAGAATATTATAGGATAAAAATAGTGTTTAGTTGTTGTTGTTGTTATCCTACTACATCAATTAGGAAAGACATTCTAAAAAGTAAAACCTTCACTCACTTTTATAAAGATTTTCTAAATGCCTATTGCATGCAGGGATTACTAGGTACATTAGGTAAATAAGACAAGGTTCTTATCCTCAAGGAGCTCCCTCAAAACAAGAATTTCTTCTTAACAACAATGGCCATTCCTAAAGGATCTTGTTCCAGTAACTGCTTCCTATACTTTCAATTTCCCCTTCTCCATCTGTCCCCTTTCCTCAGTAAACAAACCTTTTCAGGATTGCCACCCCCACCCAGTCCCCACCCATCCAATGCTTGAGAAAGCCTTCCTTTCAGATTCGACCTTCCCCCCAACCTACCCTCTCCCTGTCCCTCCTTCCCCTTCCTGCCAACTTCCTGGAAAGAGTAACGTAGTTGCTGCAGCCACTCCTGAGTTCAGTGTAACTGGACTTCTGCCACTGCCTTTTGGGGCTGAAACTGCCCTCACTGTGGACGGCAATGGTTCCCTCATAGCTGGGACCTAATTCCAGGCCTCAGCCTTTCTCTGCAGCAGGAGACCTTGCTGCGCACCCAAGTCACTGTGGGACTTCCCTGTGCCCGCCTTCTGGGTCCTGGTCCTTCGTGCCTCCTCTCCCTCGCCAACTGTCTTTGTCACTGGCTCCTTTTTCTCCACTCACCCTTTACAACTTGTCCCTTTAAGGTTTCCTCCCCATCCCCATCCTCTTCCTCTTCTTCCCCTTCCTGGGTGGTGGTACCCACATCCAAGCATTTCCCCACTTCACCACCAGCGCTTCCCACCTCCCTATGCTATCACGCATGCTATCAGTGCCGCCTCTCGTTCCCCACAATGATTCTTACGCCAGGAAGGATTCACCCACCTTGAGGAGAAAGCATGAGCAGAATCTTGGGCAGTGGGAGGGGTGGGGAGTTTGGAAAAAGAAAGAGACCCCAAGAGACTGTGACCTGCCCCTAGGTCTTTCCTGCCTAAGCTCACTGAAGACCACTGCTCTATATAATTTATACCTCCAGACTCAACCTCCCTCTCCTGAGTTCGAGACTTCTGTTTTTAGATTTCTATCAAATATATCTACTTGGGTAGCCCACAGGGACTAGAATTGCTTTTAAATTTATTCATTTAATTAGACAACTGTGCTGGAAATCTCCAATCTGGAAAGGAACCTGAAGAGGGGAGAAGGCGTATCTCATTGCGGCTTTCATTGTAAATCTTTCGTCAAGGCTACGTTGTGCGGGGCGGGGGGTTGCAGCTCTCACAGTCCTTTGTTTTCCTGTTATATACTTGTTTTATGACTATTTATTTACAAACCGCTCCTAGCTACAGGACCAGGAGGGCCACTGAATCCCCAGTCCCTGGGACAGTTTCTAGCTCAGAGTACATGCTTACTAAGGATTGCTGAATGAAAGCAGAGAGCACTGTGTTTACACCACTGATAGGGCAGCACAGGCCAAGGAAAACTGAATTCTGCATGAGGTTAGAGGCGGCTTCCCCAAGGTGGTTATGGTGAGACTCAAAGGGTGAACGGAATTTCAGCAGGAAAAGAATGGGAGCATTCGAAGCAAAGCCAACAGTCCATGGGCAAAGGCAAGAGGACAAAAAGATCAGCCTGCACAAAGATCCTGTGACCTGATGCGGACAGAGTGTACATGTTTGGTGGGGGTGGCATGGGACAAAGTTAGAAAGGTTGGTGTCGCGGAGGTACCCTTGAAAACAAGGTTACAGTGTTGCGACATAAAGCCCAGTCAATATCAGTAGGCCACTGAAGGTTTTCAGGCAGGGCAAGGATAAGACCAACCCAGTTTAACTTTCAGTGTCACTAAGAGTGGACCGTCTTTGTGTCTGAGCTCTTAGAGACACTAATGTTGTGAATCTTCCCTCTATTTCCAACCCATTAAAAAGAAGTGAAAAAAAATACTGCATCCATTTTTGAGGCTGGAGAGTTGGGGAGCTGTGAATGGCTAGATTAGTAAATTTGAGAGTCAAGTTATTTTTGAAAAGGTTTTTTTTTTTTTTTGTTTCAAGTTCCTTCCTCCCACCCCTTAAAAAAAAATCAGAGCACAGGAAACAATCCTTTACCTGACTTGAAAAAAATATTCTTAGAATGTTACACCTTCATTTCCTGTTTTCTACCTTTGTTTTTGGGTAACTTTTTTGGAGGGGATATAATTTCAAACAGAAAAGTTTTAAGAACAGTACAAGGAATTCCTATATACTCTTTGGCCAGGGTTACCAATTACTTACATTTTTGCCCATTTTAAAAATCATTCTTCCCCTATTTTTATACATATACTTTTCCCCTGAACCACTGAAATACGAGTGTGTCCCCATAACTCCCCTATACTTCAGTGTGTTAAGAACAATGACCATTTTCTAATGTAACCCACGCTACAATGATCAAAACCAGGAAATTTAACATTGACATGATTCTGTTTTCTAAATCAGAGTCTATATTCAAATTTCGTCAGTTACCCCAGTAATGTCCTTTCTAGCTATTTTCCCTTCAAGCTTTTTAGATTATTGTTAAATTATATGCTTTTTTTGGTCACAAGATTGTTCAATAATCTTTATAGCTTTGGTACATTTTCTTCACTTATACATTATTGTATATTTGATACAGTTTAAAAGAATGGATTGATGAAATGCCACAGTGACTGCACACACGTCGGGACAGTCTCTAAGGACAGTGCGTCAGACCCGCATCAGGCTCTATAACCCAACTTTTCTGTCCTTTGGTCCCCCCGTTTAAACTCTAGTCCCCCCCAGGGCTCTATGTTAGGTAAATTGCTTTGTTTCCTTTTTGGTTTCCTCAACTATAAAAAGGGGACAATAATCATCCTTGGATGGTAGAAGAATTAAATGAAAGAATATACGCTAAGCGTTCAGAATACTGCTTTGCATACAGTGAGTGCTCAGTAATGATTCTTACATCGGCACAATCTATGTCAATGCACTGTTGGGTGGAAAGGACCCAAATAATATCGGAGCCATCGGTGGAACTGATATTAACACAATAAAGTGAGAAACATCCATACTCAAATCATCTAATTCCAAGCTACAAAATGACTACAAAAGTAAAACCAACACTTTGTACGTGTCATTTTAAGAAAACTGTTCAAGCCGTACCTATCAACAAAACCAGCAACCACCGGCGGCAGTGATACTGCTGCTGTATGAAAATGGTTAAAGATTTAAAACCAGAGAACTAGCTGAAAAAGTCCTCACAAAATTGTATGTTGTAATCCAGTCCACATAGTATCATTCCAATGGTGGGCCTCTTGCTAAAGGCAAGCCGTGAGACTTTTTTGGCGATAGCTTGTAAGTCAAGATTGTCACCCACTTCATCATTTTTGACATTATAACTGCAGTTAGATTTTAATAGAAAGAGATGATCAAAGTCTGCCAGCGGACATGACAATCGTAGCGCGTGTGTAAAGGAATCATCTTGTGAGGTAACTCAGCTGGTACTTAAAAAGTAGCTTGGTTTTATTAAGCAAAGGAAGATTACAAAGGGATACTGTTTCCATGCTGGTATTACTGGAGGTGTCCTTAACTCTGCCCCAGCTCCAACTATCACAAGACTAATCCGCCCCTCCGTTTACTATCCCAGGGAAATGTTGACTGGTTCAACACAAAGGGCTGTACCAATTTCCTCCAGCTTCTGTAAGCAAAGTTCCCCATCACCTCCGGCGCAACTGTAGCTGTGGCTGGCTTCCGGCGAATGGTTTTTTCATGGAAACATCAAATGAGTGGAAAAGTCCAAGTAGCATGACCATCTGCTCTGCTACAAGTCTTGTGACAAAAGCAATCCATCAAGCCAAAATGTCACTCACATGGATTTGACTTTGCATTTTAAGTTCTGATCAGAAAGACTAAATTCCTTCTCCTCCAGGATTTTTTTTTTAAATAATTTTTGAAAATCCTATGCTTCTCAACTTGGTGGACATTTAAAATACCTCAGGCTAGATGCACTTATTATTTTTTGATGTGTTCAAAATGCTACTGAACAATACTGGAAGCAAACAAGTACCCCATTTCCCGTTCTACGGGGCCCTGCTGAATCACCTGGGGAAAGTCACCCGGCTTCGTGTTTTCTGTTTGTTCTCTCACACGGAACACACAGAAAATATTCACCGATGCTGTTGAACTGCTACATTCCTTTTTAAAAATTCTAAATTATAAATATAGATTAAATTTCTTTTCTACAAAAACCCTCAGGATTGTCGATGAATGGCTACCTACAAGCCTCTACCTTCCATTCCATCCTCAGTCACCATTTATAGGTAGAACTTTACTACATTTTAATAGTTACAGTAAAATTAAATTGTGCAACTGTAAACCAGGTGAAAATGAGATTTCTTTTTTTTGTATATTTCAATGACCTGTGCTCTCATTTCAGATAATCTAGAAGTGGTCCTGTTACAATCATTGAGGTTAATCATTGAGTGATCCACCAGGAACAGTGGTATTTGTTAGCGTGAAAGAGAGAACAGAAACAAACAACACAAATCAACTGCCAGAACATATGAAAATAATAGATTTTAAAGAATAACTGAAGTGGAGATATAAAAAACTGATACTATTTGTTCTGCTGTATGTAATTCATTTTCCCTCACTATAACCTCTATATTATAAGAGAAAAAATGGAGATCCACTATCTGACCTCCACCTTCTGTGGATTTTGGGGGTCTAAATAAACAAATTACCCTGAACTTTAGAGTTTCCATTATTTCACAGGCTTCATCTTAAAAGATTCCCAAATCACACTATTTTTCATGATATGTCTTTCAACCAACAAATCCTCTAGCACCATGCAAAATTTGTTCTCATTTGTAACCCTTAAGATCCACATGTTTAAAAGCTTTACAGATATTACAATTCAATAGTGGGAAAAATCTTGTTTTCCCTAAGAACACTGATATATCTTCCCAAGCTAAGAAAGAAAAGGTCTGCCAACCTCGTAAAATCTAAAACTGATGGCATGGCTAAAAAAGGGGCTGTTAGTTTTTCAGGCCTTTCATTGTCTTCCTGCATCAAAAGTGCACATCTACAATGCCATCATAAAACCCCCACCCAAAAGTACAAATTTGCATGATATACGAACATCTATATTCTCGGTCTCACTATTGTGTTTTTATAATTTAATACATAGAACCAGAGCTAATGAAATAGTCTTAAATCACATGTAATCACAGCTACAGTCATTTGCTTCTTTAGCCAAATGCAGGGTTCTGTGAAAAGTTAGAATAAACGTAGTGTGCTAGGTAATTTTCAGTAAGGGGGAGTGAAATTTTTGGCTTACCAATACACAAAAAACAGCACTTTAAATAATCCTGGTCTGCGTGTGAAACTCAGATCTGAACTGCTCCCTACACTAAGACGCCTAATCCCTGAAGGAGATGAGCAGATTTTGCACGGAAGCTGGAACGAAGCAACCTGAAAACAGCACCGTTGCTCTACCGGTCCAGGCTGCAGATGGAAGCAGATAGACAAGTTTCAAGAAGTTAGCGAATAAGTAATGCGATGGTTATCCGAGGAGGAGCGAGAGGAAGAGGGGCCTCCAACTTCTGTCCTTCTGTGTATTACCGACTGCACCTTTCCTGCCTTACGGTTTGGGCCTGTAAGCTTTTCAAAAAGTCAAACAATTGGAAGAAACAATTGTCGTGGAAATAAGACAATTTTCTTTTCTTTTGTTTTTTGTTTTTGTTGTTTTTCCAAAACACCATCCCAGAGCTGCCAGAGGAGACGCTGGCGCGAGAGGGGCTGGACCACCACCCTCCCCAGGGCTGGCTGCAAACCTTGCTTAGCGATGCCAGGGGCTTGCCCCACCCTGCGAAGGGGAGACTCACCTGTGCGCTCGGCTGCTGCAGGAAGACAAGCAGGAAGCCAAGGGAGAGGACGGGGCGCCACGAAAAGCCGGGCCTGGAGAGACACCCCGGACGGCAGTCGGGGCAGCGTCTGTGCAGGGAGCCTCACCGCCACGCCCTCGACGCCCGCGGGAGCGGCCGCCTAGACCGGGGAGCGAGCGGCTTCAGGGCCAAACCTAGGCGCTAGCGCCGCGCGCGCGCACCAGCTCCACGCGCTCCCCGCCCCGCCTCGCCCCCTCCTGCCGCGGAGCGAGCGCGGCGCAGGCGCCCGAGGTCGGCGGCCCGAAGGGGTTCGCGGGTCCCAGACGCCGGCAGGAAGCGGCCCCGCCCCTGGCGCGCGGCCTTGAGGGCGGGCGGGGTCTGGGCGCGCGAGCGCGCTCTTGGCCCGCAACGCAGGCTTTCGTGTTCCGGGCGACGGGGTGTGCGCTGTCATGCTGAGGCGGGGGCGTTAGGTACTCACGACCACAGGATCTTTGGCGACCTTTTCATCTTCCACCGTGACCAGAAATAATTTATCTCTTTTTCCTGCTTAGCCCATATGTCGGCCACAGGAATAGTAGGAATATATGAGCATTGACTGAGGGCCAGTTACTATGTACAATGCACCTCGTGCTCTGCAAGCTTTACCTCATTTAACCTCATGGCAAGCAGCGGACCGGATATTATTATCCTCATTTTATAGATTAGGAGGACTTCCATGTGCTTAATTGCCTGACGAGAGAATCCTGGTAGGTAGCTGAGCTATAGGTAGCACTTGAATGTGCAGCTCCCTGTCTTGGCTCCTAACCACGGTGGGATACTGCCAATGCCCCTCCACCTGCGCCTCCACCGCTCTCCTCTTCGCCCTATGTAAAGTCTTAATAATGTTTACATTTTTAGTTTACCATTTACAAAACACTTTCCACGCACAGTCTTGCTTGCTTCTCTCCACAGCCCTGGGAGACAGTGGAGCATAATACTCTTATTTTTACAAATAGGGCAATAGCCTAAGCTGTTCAATGAGTTGTTCAAAGTTATAGTGGTAGGACTGGGGCTTTATTTAGTAGATATTATTATTACAAGACAGCTGGACCAAGCTTGGGAGGGAGCATCTGTCTCTTTCCTTAGTTTACAGAGAGGGAAACAGAGGCACAGAACAGGAAAGGGATTTGTCTTAGGGATGTGAAGCTGAAAGAAAATCAGCTCTGATCACCCACTGGTAACACCCTCAGAGTCAAAGTGAAGCAAATTGAAGGTCAAAATCAAGGAGGCAGCCTTGTCAGGCACGGGGCACCAGGGTCGTGGGGGAGGAAGAAGGATTAAAGTGTAGAATACATCTAACCTCCGTTAGATTTAAATTAAGGAAACAGGGTTGGATTGTGGTCCCAATCAGCCTTTCCCAACTGATCCTGCACCATCAGAGAGTTATGTCCAAGGAGCACCCCCTCCTGCTTCCTGCTCATTGTTTCTGTTGTTTCTGCTGTTTGCAGCTCAGCTGCTGCCCTGCTCCTCACCTTGACCTAACCAATTCTTCTCTTTTATCTATGTAACAAATATTTACTGAGAGCCACTTCTTTCATTGTCACCCTAAGAAGCACAGTAATTTTTCTTCTCTAAATTCCTCTAACACAGCAACTTCAGCAAAAAAAAAAAAAAATTGAGTTTTTAGGTCAAATGAGTTTGGAAACTGCAGCATTCTGCACCCCTGGTTGGGGATCCATAATGCACATCAATGCAGAAATGGCTCTGAGAAGTCCCCCAATAAAAAGGCTGATTTAGCCCTAACTCAGAGTCCCCCTGAGGTATTAGGCCCTGTGCTGGGTTCTGGGCTTGCAAGGGTGAGGCCCACACAAATCTAGCCCTTCAAGGGCTCACAGCTAGGGGAGACAGGTAAGTAAACAGCTAATTGTGATACGATTTATACATGCACTCACAGAGGCATTTTGCAAAGTGCTGACAAAAGCAGAGGGAGAAGTGAGCAATTCTGCCTGGAAAATTAAGGGGAAGCTTTGCAGTTAAGAGGCTATTTCAGTAGGAGTTTTCTAGGTGGAGAATGTGGTAAAGGGCATTCCATAGAAATAACAGCATATTTGGACATATAAGTACACCTTTGTGTAGGTCTTTGGGTAATTAACTATTATTCACAAGTCTTCTCTCCTTCTCTCTCTCTCTTTTTTTGCATGCAATATACCACTCAAAATGGGTTAAGTAACAATGAAATTCATTGAGTCATGTAACAGAAAAGTCACGGACTTGACATGGCCGGATCCAGGGGCATAAACTGTGCTATCAGGATGCAGTCTTTGTTCTTCATTTCCTGTTTTTTTTTTTTCATTGACTTTTCGTTCTCTGGCTGCCTTTCCCAGTGAGATGGCAGAATGGCTGCTTACAACTTCCAATCCCATCCTTAGCAGCAGAAAGAGGGTTTCTTTTCCTCGATATTGTCAGCGAAAGTCCCAGGACTGCTTCTTGTTCGTCCGACTTGGTTACTTGTACATCACGAGACCACTCTCTTGAGAAGGGGCATGAAATATTCTCACAGCCCAGGCCTGGCCCCTGTGCTTACCTCTGGAGCTGGGGTGAAGTCAGCAGCTCTTTAATCCCATGGACTCAGAACTGGGGGAGGTGGCTTCCTGTGTGAGGCCTTTTTCTATTGGTCCCCTCAGGTCTTCTCTCCACCCTTTTCCTTCCTGATTTGTACCCAGGACGTTGACCTGAACAGGTGTCTTCTATGGGTGCCACTGGTTCACAGTTTAATTCGTCCGATAGAAGACATTGGGAGGAGGTCAGAGGGTTGGAGGAGGATGAAGTAAGGCTAGTACTGTATTTCACAGGCCCCTTCCCTTCTAGGTCACTGCAGGTAGGCTGCATACATTTACTGAGGCGTCTGTTAAGTGACTCCTCATACAGATCTCTCTCCTAGTTCTGATAGAGTCTCCCTTCTCTTGGCTCAGAGGTGGTAATGGCTCGTCTCTGTTGGGAGTTCAGAGCATCATACCATCCTTCCTTCTTGTTTCCCTCAACGCTGCCTTCATATTTGTAACCTTTACCAAGCTCCCCTCAGGTTAACCTTCTTCTGGAACCCTCATGGTTACGTTCATCAAAAACAATTTAAGTTCCGATTACCAAAAGAAAGGGAAATGGTAAGGAGCAGGCAACAGCAATAAGCTAGCAATACCGGTTTGGTAGGGCTGTTGTACTAATAATGCGTACCAGAGATGGTAGCGGGTTGGACAAGGGTCACAGGGGAGGTAGTGGTGGAAATTAGTATGATTCTGGCTATATTATAAAGGCAAGGTTAACAAAATTTACCGATGAATTATTTGTAAGTTATGAACATTAGGAGTTGGGGGTGGAAGTGGCTGGAAAACATTGATCTGGAGCCTAAGTGTGAACTCAGCCTGGGTGTAGTGGTCTGGGAGGGAGTCTTGGTGGGTAGTTGAAATCATGGGCTGAGAAGAGATGACGCAGGGAGAGCGCGTGGAATAGAACACAAAAAGGACAAAGGGAAGAATCTAAAACAGCATCAGTCTTTACACGGTGGGCAGAGGAAGAGTTTCCACCTTGTGTCTGTCCCCTGGGTTACAAGAACCTCGAGGCCAAGAATGGACTCTTCCCCATTTTTCCTCTGTGCTAATGTGTACATCAAGGTGCTGGGCGCACAGTGTGTAATAAATGCTTGTTATGAATGAACCTCACACAGTTTAACATTTCTAACACTCCCTCCCTCTCCTCCTCATCATTGTGAGGTTTGAGTTTCAGGCAGAGAAAAAAAGAGAGAGAGAGAAATCGATCCCTTGTGGCTCGATCCACTTGAAAGCTGTGCCAAGGTTGATAAGTGTTTTGCTGTCCTGGAAAACTCAAGTAGAACCTGTCAGATGATGCTACAGATCTTGAGTAGCTCATCTCTTGCCCTTCAGGAGAATTTCCAGACAGTTGATTTCATTTCAGATTTTGTCATTCTTATTCGAGTAGATTTAAAAGTCAGTACTTTAAAATGTCTGCATTATGTCTGTATTAGGTCTGTGCTGGGGAAGTAACAAAAGTGATAAAAGATCGCCATCTCACATTCATGCGTTGTTCGTGGAATGTAAAAGGAGATGACTGTTTTTGGAAACCGTTTGCCAGTTTATCAAGTTGAACGTACACCTACCCTATGACCCAGAAATTCTACTCCTAGATATATACTCGAGGGAAATTTAAGTAAATGTCCACCAAAATAAAAAAGGTTTGTACAAAGAATCCTTTTTATTCATAATATCCCCAAACTGGAAATATCTCAAGTGTCCACCAAAAAAATAATGGATAAACAAAATATGGTATATTTGAACAATGCAATACTACACAGGCTGGAAGGAGCTGCTCTTTAAATGGTGCAATCCTTGAACTTGTTAGGAGGAGATATTATTTCCTGATTAATTTGAGCTGCAGATGGGCTGAGGAGAATGAGGACCAAATGACCATAATCAGGAAGGAAGGGGTGCAAAGAGAGCCCAGGAGAAAATGGAACATTAAAAATGGGCAGCTGTATGAATAGCCCAGGAATTCAAATTATTTTGATTTTTCTTAACTATCAGTCAGGGTTAAGTTGGGAGACAGGAGTCACACTGGTGATTTGACCAAGCAGAATTTAATATAAAGAATTGTTATCTAGATACGCACAGTTATTAACTAGTAACTGAACAGGTTAAAAAGAACTCTGAGGGACTGTGGAATGGCATTTGCAGAAAACAGCTACCATTCCCAGGAGAAAAGGAACTGAGGGAAGAGGTTGCAGTTATTAAAACTTAAAAGATAAGAGCATATTTAGCCGTAAATATGAATGAAGTATGGATACATGCTATAACTTGAATGAACTGCGAATACAGTATGAAAGGTGAACAAAGCAGACACACAGTACACCTATAATGCGATTCCATTCATATGGAAATCCAAAATAGGGACCTCTGCAGAGACAAAAAGTAGATTAGTGGTTGCCACAGGCCCAGGAGGGTGGGATAGGTAGTGTAACAAAGTGACAGCTAAAGGGTGCAGGGTTTCTTTTTTTAAAAGTTATGGTAAAATATATATAAAAGTTAGCATTTTAACCATTTTTAAGTGTACAATCCAGTGGCATTAAGCACATTTGCACTGATGTGCAAACATTGCCTCCATCCACTCCAGACCTTGTTTCATCTTGCCAAGTTGAAGCTCTGTACCCAATAAACAAAAACTTGCTGTCCCTGACCCTACCCCACCCCACGCCCCTGGCAACCACCATTCTACTTCCTGTCTCTATGAATCTGACCACTTTATGTGCCTCACAGAAATGGAATCATACAGTGTGTATCCTCTTGTGGCTTGCTTTTTCCACTTAGCATAATGTCCTCAAGGTTCACCCATGTTGCAGCTTGTCAGAATTTCCTTCCTTGTAAGGCTGAATAATGTTCCGTTGAGTATATACTGCCTTCTCTTTACCCATGCATTGCTGATAGACATTGAGTTGCTTCTATCTTTTGGTTATTGCAAATAATGCTGCTATGAACACGGGTGTGCAGATATCTGTTCAACTCCCTGCCTTAGATTCTTTTTGTGTATACCCAGAAGCAGCATTTCTGAATCACATGGTAATAATTCTACTTTTAATTTTTTGAGAAATCACCTGATTTCCACAGTGGCTGTATCATTTTGTTACTTTCTTACTAGCAATATTCAAGGACCCCAGTTTCTCCACATCCCCACTGACATTTATTTACCTTTCAGGGTTTCCTTCTGAGGTGATAAAATGTTCTACAGTTGCTTAATGGTGATGGTTGCACATATCCATGAACATACTAGAAACCATTGAAATGTACACTTTAAGTGAGCGAATTGAATGGTATGTGAATTATGTCAATAAAGCTATTAAAAAAAAGAGAGAGGTAAAAGGAGGGCCCCCTGGAGCTGGGCCCAGATCTCTGAGAAGAGGGTGCTAATGTTGGAGGGGGTGCCACGAAGCTGATTGTACAGGAGTTGGAAAGGACTGTACAACTAGGTTCAGCTGCTGCTACCCTACACGGAGAAGGGTGGCTGAGGTGATATGCCAGGAACTGGGAATAGACAGGAAGGAGCCTCCTGCGCACAGGTTCCCAGCAGGGAGCAGCTGGCAGAGCAGAGTTCCAGCTGCAGCATCCCAAAGCCATCCCCCAGAAGGAGAGAAGAGAGCCTAATGACCGGCTGCTTTACTCAGTTCAGGTTGCTATGGCAAAATGTCATAAGCTGGGTGGCTTATCAACAACAGAAATTCATTTCTCAGTTCTGGAGGCCGGAAGTCCAAGCTCGTGGAACCTGCAGGATTGGGTTCTAGTGAGTACCCGTTGCCTGGTTTACCACAGTCTTCTCGTGTATCCTCATGCAGTGGAGAGCCAACTAGCTCTTGGCCTTTTCTAAATAGGGCACTAATCCCATTCTTGGAGGCTCTACCCTCATGATCTCATTTCCTCCCAAAGGCCCCACCTCCTAAAGCCACTGCATAGGGATTAGGGTTTCAACATAGGAATTTTGGAGGCAGGGGACACAAACATTTAGTCCATAGCACTTGCACCCCTTGGCGACTGGGACTTTGTCCTTTAATATGACTAAGACTGGCTTTGTAATCTCAGAGACTTGTCTGCATGGGGGTCTTCAAGAAGATGCCCACAAACTTGGACATAGGTGAAACTTGGAAAAATCCACTCACAAGTAAACAAGATACAAGACTTTGGAATAGTAATCCTCTGTCCCTAAGGTGACCACTGTAGAGCCTCAAGACCCAAGCAAAATGCAGGAAGCTAAAATCTAGGCACTAAGCTCTTGACTTCAGCCTCGTGCCTCTGTGCCTCTTATACAGCTCTCTAGCTTAAAGAGGAAATGTCGATAGCTAGCATTATTGAGACTTTACTATGTGCCAGGCATTGTTCTATATTCAGTCCTTACAACCACCTATGAGCGAGGTAGTATTATCCCAATGTTACACGTGAGCAAACTGAGGCTTGGAGGGGTCATGTATTTCCCCGAGGTTGCGGAGAGATTGAACTCCTGAGTCTGCACTCGTTGTCCTGATGTTGTTACCAAACCAGCGTTACCAAAGATCTCGATGACACTTAAAACCCACCTAAGTGATCAAGCCGGAGATCACAGGGCATGGCTTTGCTACATGTGCGACCACCTGCGTGGGCTTCAAATGCTACCAGCATTCACCTTGATGTTGCCAGTCGTCTGGAGGGCTAGACTGACATCATCTCATAGAGTGTAGGGGGTGCTTGGCGAAGGCCTTAATGAGAATTCTGAAGCTGGAAAAATCTACCATGTGAGATATTTTGTGGCTTCTATAGTGGAGGCTCGAGTCGCTTCAGTCCCTGGAGGGCCACTGAGTTGGGATTTTTTGAGGAAGCAGATGTAAGTCAAGTTCTTCAGGAGACTTGCTCTTTTTGGGCCTGGGGTCAGTCAGATCTGAACTTGCCTGTGCTTGGAGAAACCTGGTGAGGGAGAAGCAGGATGGGTTGCTGGCCCCATGGTGAGACCTACCTGGAGCCAGGGGAGACCCCTGCTTGTGAAAGGCTCCTGGGGTTGGCTTTGCTGGTGGGCTCCCAAGAAGCCATTTCCAGGGGCTACTGAGGGCCTGTTCCATGCTTTGGAGGGGGAGGCCCATGGTCAGGGCTGTTTCCTCTCTAGGACCAGGGAGTGGGAGGTGGGTATGAGTTGGAGGTCCCCAGCAGGGGGCAGCTGACCTCACTGAGTGCTGGCCTCAAAGGGGCTGCTAGAACAGAGGTCATGGCAGATGAGAAAGTCAGAACACAAAGCCCAAGAGATGTTGCAGAGCATCCAGTACACTAGAAACTGTCCCTCAGAATCTCTCAGAGAAGTCGATGTGGGTGGGGGAGAGAATGTCACATTGAAGGGGGTTAATTTCCAGCTCTTAGGCACTTGTGATATAATAATCTGGGTATAAAAAGGAAAAACATTGTTAACCCAAGTCATGGTCTGGTGAGGCCTGTAAGGATGGGTTAAAATTGAAATGCAAATGAGATAAACACATTTATGTAAGTGGGTCTTAGATCAAGCCGTAGGCTTTAGTGAGTTGACTTGAGGTGAATTGCCTCAGAGCTCTGACATGTCTGGTTCTTTTACTTCAAAAGTATCCCAAAGAGCTTTGAACCTTTCTGAATTTAAGAGTCTTCAGTTTTTAAAATGGTAGCAGCAGACTGGAAATGCCCTCAGTGGAGTCTGTTTACTTTCTTTCTTTGAATCACCATGATTTACCTCAATTAGAATGGATTTGGATTGTGGCTGCCATACTCGGCAGCACCGACCCAGAACATTTGTTATCACAGAAAGTTCTATCGGACAGCGCTGCTGTAGATAACTCTAGAAAGCACTAGCCAAATATAAGACTGACACTCAACAGATATCATATGGATTGTTTTAAAATTAAATACCACATCATAATTTTATTTGCACCTAGCACGCACATTTTTTGAAAAATAAGACATGCCATATTAGTCAAGAAGTTAACAAAATATAAGCATCCACACAGAATATATTCCAAGATGACTTCATTTACATAGCTTCTCAAAGAAACACACAAGTAAATTCTTTTTGCTTATCATCCAGTGTTGGACTAGATTTAAAATTCACAAGGCTGCAGGTGGAGGTTCCCCAATGCTACCCTGATGGATGAATTGTATCCACAGAACCATCAAGAGGGCCGGTTTCCATCAGAAAAGTAATGGGATGTCAGTCCCCAACTTCCCTACCCAGCATTCAGTTCTGTGCTGCAAACTCCCTACATGATCTGAAGCTTAATTGGATGGCATTATCAGACCTGCGGCTTCACGGGAGGGGTCAAAGGAAGTGGGGTGGGGGGCTGAACTCTTGTCAAAACCCACAGTACCAGTCTGTGAAGAACTGGTTCTAATCTACGATTAGAGTATCCAGAGTCTCTAGACAAGGGGGACAGAAGGGTAGGGAGAGGAAAACCACAGAACAGCTGAAAAGTTTAAACCCAAGTTTAACTTCATGGCTGCTAGAAAAGAGATGAGGCGTGATGTTTAATGTTGCTTGTAACATTCAACAGGGCTTGGGGATGCCAGAGCCATGAGAAGAAACAAAGATTCAGGGATGTGGGTGGAAAGTTGATGCCATCCTCCCCTGATAGCAGCAAAGCTGGACTTTAATTCCCCGTTTGTGTTCCGTTCTTGCAGGATTGCCACTTGACCTTGAAAAGTGACATTTAGTATCGCTTCAGATCCTTCCTCCAAACTGCATAAGGCCTTGTTTCCAATCAGTGTTGAGCCTGTCATTGCCTTCCTCATGAACCATCAATGACTCCCATGCCTTCTGGGATAACTTTAAACTCCTCCACCAGGCATTCAAGCCTTTTGTAATTCGGCTTCTGATGCTTATTTTTCCAGGCTCACCTCCCACCTACCTGGCTCTCCTTTCCTGTGATCTCCCTCTGTGCCTTTGCAAGTGCTGGCTCCTCTGCCTGGGGCATGGCTGTGGGGGTGACCACCTGACTTTCTATGCTTTGCCCAAAATTTAGGTAGTTTTGCCACTCATTAATGAATGGGACCAAAATCACCTCCATTTTGAATCCCTCCTTCTGAGCTCAAGGCCCAACCTTTAGCAGGATCTCCACAATTGTCATTTTTTGTGGTCCACTATTGCACGCGGCCTGGCCTGCCAGTTTCCCTTACTGGGTATTTGCCTTTCCCCCACTGCTGGCCCAGAAGGCAGGGACCATTCTTACTCTTTTTGCTCACACCTTCCAAATGCTTAACAAATAGGGAATGAATGCCTCATAAATATTGTTGCATTGAGTCCATACTTATCCTAAAGGGAAAAAGGTCCTTCATTGCCTGCTGCCCTCCTAGGCATGTCAGACACAATACAGAAGTGGCTGAGATACAATACAGAAGTGGTTACCACAGGCAACAGTCAGTTTTTGAAGTCAAGGTACTAAATCAGTATTAAGCACAATCCATAAAGGTTAATGATCTATCAACACTGGTCTGTTAACACTGTTATCTTGCCCGTTAGTTGAAGGCTGCAGAGGGAAGCAGTAAGTGTAGCTCTAAGTAGTAATCAATGAATGGAGCACTGCCTCTGATCCTAAGGGGATTGCTCGACCTGCCACACGAACCCCAGGGCAGAAACAAGGAATGGCAATTCCAACTTTCCAGTAGGAGTGGGTCGGCCCCTGAGGGTCTTAAAGCAGACCATTCCAATTGTTGGGCTTTGGAGGTGTGTGATCCTTGGGTTACCTGCCTCAGAATCACCTGCACTGTTAGTTGAGAATGCAGACTCTTGAGCCCTACCCCAGTCCCACTTAATCAGAGTATTTGTGGTTGGGGTATAGGAATCTGCATTTTAAGTAAGTTCCCTAGGGGATCCTTATGTTCATTAAGGTTTGCAAACCTTTACCTGCCATTCTTGAAAACTTACAGTCAGTCTAGGGGAAGAAGGTACACAGCCTGAAAGAAGGCTGTAGCTCCGTTCCTGAGATTGCTCATGTCTCCCAGACAAATGCATGGGAGTGAGGACCCAAACAGTCTCTCCTGACTCCAAGAAAATGAACCAGTAACCCCAGCTTGGTTTGTTGACCTACAGTGAAGAGGATGGTGGGAGGTGAGCAACGCTGTTTCTGAAACGGGCACCCCCAATCTTCCCAGAGGGCACTGGTGTGCAGGAAAATACATGTAATACAGCCAGATTTCCTGGCTATTCTTTTTAAGTGAGGCAATCACCTTTTGTAAGATGGAAAGGGATTCTTCCTCCCTTACAGGCTGAAGTGTAGTAACTCTGCCCCTGTCCTCTTCTCCTCCTTCTTCTCTTTACTTCCTAGTTCCTTTGCGGGTGGGGCAGGGAGCGAAAGCAATCAAATAGTTCACAGAACTAAAACCAAGTTAGTTTGCGGAGTAGATCCACCATAAACACATCAAGCACATTTTCACTGGGAGGGCACAGACAATGGGAAGGCAGAAGTGCATTTCCTACCGGTGAAGGGCAGAATGTCCCACCCATGGCTGGCCCACTAGGCCATGTGAAGGTGGCACAAATGTTATCACAAATATGGAATCACAAGTGAGAGGGATAGAGAACAGGCCTGCACGTGAGGCAGGGAAAGACTCGACTTAAAGGTCTCCAGTCTTTCACTGGACTTGGAGAGGAAGAGCAGAGTCTCTGCCTCGCTTCAGCTCTGAAGGACGTGGCAACCTTTGGTCCGTGGTCGAGGAAGCGCAGTTACCAACCTCAGGGTGATGAAGGCTTTCCAAGTCCCGCGTGGCTGACCAGGCAGAGGCTGAATTCAATACCACCCACCTGGAATGCTGCTTTGGTCCTCTCCCCTCACCCCCAACATTTGAAATTTCCATGACCAAGATAACATATCCTCCACCAGAGACAAAGCCTTTTCAAGATCCCCATCCGTATACTTCATGGTTTAGAAAAATTAGACTTGAAAGACAAGTTTTAGAATTAAGAGTTGGACCACTGTCAGCATGGCTTGAGCAGTTACAAGTGGAGGGGAGGCGAGTCTCCTTCACAGTGGGCTCATTCCTTCTTGGTATGTTCCAGGACTCGGTAGGGAACCCCAGAGGTGCTTCTGGAGCCGTGTTCTTCTTGCATGACAGGCAGTGTGGCAGGAGCATAGAACTCAGAAATGTTGTCATTGTTTTCCAGGGCCCCATAGGAAAAGGAAGCTTTGAGGTCAGGCTGGACTGCTGTCCCCTTGTCATGCATATTCTGCATACCTGAAATGAGAGCCATTTTCCCCGAGTCACTATGTGGTGAGGGGTGCCAACGGAAGCTGCACCTTTCTCTCTCCTGCCACAGACTAATTACAGTGCTCGAGAGATAATCATGTGCACTGTCCATTTCCTCAATGCTTTAGATTGAAAAAAGAACACCCATAAATATACACTAGAAATATTACGGTTGCTAAGCAAGAAGGGACACAACTTCAGGAAATATGCACACAGACTGGCCACTGTCTAGGGGAACCATCAGTTGACCTAGAACAGGGTGGGAATGTCTGTTGGGGCCACAGGGAGAGTGGAACCAGTGCTGTGCTTTGAACATGGTAGATGCCATCACTTTTCTGTTGAATTAAGTCAGGATCCAGAAAACTTCATTAAATTGTTCACAGAAGAGGGTAACTTTTGTGCCATGGACACATCATAGTGACAGGTGCATCATGGCGCTCAGAGGGAGAGTCTGACCTTAACGTTAACACCCCCAATCCACATACAGGGTAAGGTGTAATTTTGCTTTTACTTCTGGGCACATTGATGTTGGATTTCTACTTACATTTGAGAGCAAAGACTGAGTCATTAATTCCTTTAACCTTATGTCACAACTCCCCTAGTCAAGTGGGGACCTGACATTTTCTGAGGCCAAACTCTGACCCTGTAGGGAATTAAGACCCTTCAAATTCTCTGGCCCCTGGGCTGAGTCATAAGAAATTGCATGCAGAATGTTTTCTATGAAAGTGGGATGATGATAAAAACAGCTGACATCTGACTGTTTAATATGCCTTAGACACTGGGCTAAGTCCTTTAAATAGTAATAATAACAACAGCGATAATGATAATAGCTCATGAGTACTGAATGTTTACTTGGTGGTGACACGGTTATAAAATTTTATTTCATTCTATCCTTACAACTACCAATAAGGAAAATGAGGAAGTTGGAGGTCACAAAGCTAGTAAGTGGCAGTGCCAGGATTCATATTCAGATGGTTTAAACTCTGAAGCCCACACTCTTATTTATTTTTAGAGAGAAGGGAAGGGAGGGAGAAAGACAAGGAGAGAAACATGGATCGGTTGCCTCTTGCATGTCCCCTACTGGAGACCTAGCCCGCAACCCAGGCATGTGCCCTGACTGGGAACTGAACCAGTGACTTTTCAATTTGCAAACCAGCACTCAATCCACTGAGCCACAGCAGGCAGGGCTAAAGCCCACACTGTTAACTGGAATGTTATGTGGACCACCCTATATACCTGCCCTTAATCTCCAAAATCCTATGACGGAGATATGCTACTATCCTCATTTGCTGGACAAGAAAACGATTCAGAGAGGTGCAGTAACTTGCCCAAGGTCACACAGCCTGTTTCTTATTCACTCTGCAAATGGGCTGGGAAGACCCAGTGTCTTCCCACATTGCACAAGCCTTAGCTGATGGTCCTTTGCTCTCACATTGCACAAGCCTTAGCTGATGGTCCTTTGAAGGATACAGTTTAGGAGCCTGTGGTTTGAATTTGGGGGAAGATGAAGGGATGCCTACTCCTCAGGGGAGAGAGTTGCCTTACCAGGTGTAGTTTAGCTTTTGGATTTTACCAGTGTTCTCTAGCCAAAGACCACCAGGAACACACCAATAGTCTAGCAAATCTGGATTCACTGACTCACGGCAGTGACCGAGGTGGACACCATGGGGAACTGTGGGCTGCTTCAGTCCGAAGTTAGTAGAAAGGACTTATTACTTGGATTTGTGTTAGGTGATTTTGGGGAGGATTTAAGGAAGCAGGGCTTTGCTTTGGATTAAATGCGGTCAGGAAGCGGGGATGATTTTATAATTGAGGCTCTTAATAACTCTTATCTAAAGGAGAGGAGGCCGGATTGCGGCTAATGCTATGATTGGTGAAGAGCAGCGGTCACTCACATTAGCGGGATGGTCATGCTAGGGGGACGGTCGGGCTTTTCTGCGGTTTGGACAATGTTCATGTGCTGTCTGTGCTCCTGCGTGATCCTGGAGCGGTCCTGTTCGTGTCCGGATCCGTCAGGGTCACAGAGGGGCCTTGTCCAGTGTGGATGTTCTGTGAAATTGTTTGTGTCCCACCAGGGAACACCGAGGCCCAGCTCCTACCATCACGGACTTCTTTCCTCCTTCTCCTTCTTTAGAAGTCTTTCAGGGGCTAGAACTACTTCAAGCCTCTCCAAATTATGATGTAGAGTGAATTTTTGGGATTTGAATGCCTCTTGAACAGCAGGTACTGGTCTCTTGTGAAGACACCACTCTAGGTAGGCCCAAAGCAAGATCCTGATGCTGACCAGGGAAACCAAATAGGTGGGAAAGCCACCCTATGTAGTTTTACTCTGCAAGTTCTACTTGGCATCAGGTCACACAAATGTTTGAAATTTTCAAAGGTTTTTTTTTTTTTTTTAAGCAAAAGGGAAGTGAAACCAAATTTAACCAGGCATCTACCATGTCCCAGACACTGTGCAAGGGGCCTTTGTCATGTCATCCCACCATCCTGAAAGGAGTCCCAATTTACAAATGAGGGTCAGAGGCCCTGGAGGTGCAGGCCCAAGGTCACAGAGCAGGTAGGGGGTAGAGCTGGGATTTGAATCCAGACCACTGGACTCGAAGCCCATGCCCTTCACAGCACGGAACCCGTCTGCTCAGAAGCGTCAGACATATCACAGCAATGGGGCAGAGCCTCCTTTCTTCAATGCCTACTTCCCACTGGTCACAAGGTAAAAAGAGGAAGCAAAGGCCACATCCACACACCAGCCACAGAATGTTGATCTTTAGGACTACCTTAGGTTACCGTCTATTTTCTACCAGGAAATACAGTTGTATATATGTGTATACAAATACTTACATAGATATATACACATACACAATTTATCAAAACACAAACACACAGACACATACACATACTTGCACACACACAGAGTTGACACCTCACCTATCTGGAATTCAGCTATCCAGCGCCCTCATCTATCCGGAACACAGCAGAGAACAAGGAAGTAAGCAAAAGAGGTATCTGAGCAGCCAGGTTAGATGTTTAAAAAGTCCATGCACTAAAGCTCATGCACTTAACTCCTAGGAGAAACCTTAAGGCCCCATATCTCAGAGCTTATGTATTTTAACTTTATGCACAATTCGAACAAGCTGGGTCAAAGGACAGGACTGACACGGAGTTGCTGTGCTGGTAACGGCAGGAATTGCAGGCTGGTCACAGCAACGATGACAGACAACGGCTTAATAGCAAGAGATGAGGAAATGATATGAAGAGTAGACACATAAACTCTGGGGTCATGGGAGGCAGAGGCTCCTCAGCCGGCCCTGAGGACACACCCCCACGTCACAGAGCTCCAGAGGAAGCGGCACTCCGTGCCATCAGTGGCATTGTATTTGGTTCTAATGACCGTCTTGATGAAACGTGGGAGAGAGTTCTATCAAATATATTGAAACTAAAAAGTGTGACTTAAAGGGTGAAAGCTAGTGGCCCTGGCAGCTCAAGAGAATTTAGGGCAGCACACATGGATGGGGCTGGCCCAGCGTTCTAACTTTTCCTATCGGGGTCCTGTTAGGCTGGATGGATGCTCTCCAGTTCTCCACTGGCCCCACCACCCTTTCTGGGCAGCGCTTTGCTGATTACACATTCCTGTTACTGTGAGGCCTTAAGGGCACTCAAGCTTGTGCTTCTCAGCATGAACCCTTAGGTCCCTGGGTAATTAGGCTTTCCAGAACAATCCACTCCTTTGTGGTATAAGGAGTGAGGTTATTGTAGTTGAATTTCATTCATCCCGCTTTCCTTCCCCTCTCTGATCATTCCATTCCAACTAGACAAATGGGTTTTTCCTTTTGCAGGCATGAAGCCTGGTGCTGCAGATCATAATTAATTATATCCAGTGGGAATCAGGATTGTCTTTAAAAGATCCCAAAATAGACATGGGAGCCGGCAAGATGTGCTCAAAACCAACTGAGGATCCTCAGCCATTGCCTCCTTTTTTGCACACTGAGATTAAAAAAATAAAAAACAGAGAGACAGTCACACCATAACAGCACAGCACACCTTCCCTGTACCAAACCCAGCGACCGTTGTCTTTTTTTAAACAGGAAGTAGCAGTCATTCTATATGGGTGAGCTGGCCAGCTGGAGACAAGGGATTTTAACATTACCTGGCATGGCATCCATGGAAATATAGGGCTCAAATGGAATGGCCTTCTTCCTGTTCCGTGTGATTAAGAAGACGCCAAAGAATGCAATGAGGCACCTGAGGGATGGAGATAAGGGAGGAAGAGAAATAAGGCCAGAGTGAGATTGGGAGGGATACTTCCAAACCCAGGTAATGGAAAAACAGTAGGAAGAAGGTTGCAGCTGCGAAGGGGGGTGGTCACTGCTGAGCAGCCCGGAGAGGCTGCTGGGCCTGAGATCAGCGGGGAGCAGACGTGAGATGAATAACAATATCCCCACACGCCCTACACTCTGCACAAGGCTTAATCAGAATAAATTAGACTCTCCCAGGCAAAACTCTAGTGGTTCTTCACTTCCACTTAGCCCATATCTCAGGACCTTGCCTTTAAAAATGTTTGTTTTAATTTAAAAGGTTCTTTATAGCCTAAATTTAATCAATACAGGAATAGAAAAGGTAAAAACTGGAAAGTCCCTGTACTCCTCCAACCTCATTCCCCCAGGGAGGTGTATATTTCTCCAGAGTCTTTTTTGCTTTTTTCATTTCTCTAGAGCTTAGATAAACAAGCACACTTTCTAAAAACTGAGGTATAATTTTCATGCAGTAAAATGCATACCCCCTAATTATAGTTTCATGAGTTTTATCTGTGTGTACACTCGGGTGATTACCGCCAGGCCCACGGAGAAGACACTGCCACCCCCTCCACTCCCGAAGTGTCCTTGGGCTTCATCCCGGTCCCTGCCACGCTCCCCCAGAGGAAACCACCATTGTGACTTCTCTCACCACCAACTCGGTTTGCCTGTCTCTGAACTTCTCACAAGCGACACTGTAGCGTGTTTGACACTTATGGCTAGTTTCTTTCCCCCAACAAATGTTTTTAAGATTCGTTTACTTCATTGTGTGTATTAGTTCATTATTTTTAGTTGTTGTGGTGAATCCATTGTCTGAATAGACCACAATATGTTTTTAACTCTCCTGTTGATAGACATTTGGGTTGTATCCAATTTGCGCATATTATGAATAAAGCTACTATACATATCCATGTATAAGTCATTTTGTCAATATATGTACTCATTTCTTTTGGGAATATATCTAGAGGTGGAATTGTGGGATGGTGGAGTAGACTACACATGAAAAGAAAGAGTAACTTTTCCAGCTGATATATCCATGCCTATAGACTAGCCTCAATTTTTCAAAATGGCATCATGGTACTTTATTATACAAATATACTATAATTTAACCTATTTATACTGCTGGGCATTTAAGCTCCTTCCAATTATTTGCTTATACAATTAATTTTAAAATTAATAAGTAGCCTCATACATGTGTTTTTGTGTCCCATTTCAATTATTCTTCCAAGATAAATGATTAGAAATGAAATGCTACATCAAAAATATGCTCATTTAAAATTTTTATTGATATGGCCAAACTGTCCTCTTCCACATTAAAGAACTTCTCATGGTCTCCTCATCCTCTTGCCAACATGGAATATTATCAATCCTATTAGTTTTTGCAAAATGACGGCATCTCACAGAACTTCAATATGCATTTCTTTGATCTGAGGTCAGATAGGGAGGCCTTTCATGTATGAAAATGTGATTTTTTGAAATGACAAGGAGATTAAAAGCCAAAAGAGAAGAAAGAGGAAGGAAATGAAGGCCTTGGGGGAGTTGAGTGTTCACCTCTTGGGACAAAGCTCCAAACCCAGCTGCTCTACTGCTCTCGAGGACCGCCTGAGAGGGTGAAGCAGTAATGCGGAGAGAGGCACCCTGCCTGGAATGCTCCATGCACGGAGGATGGAACTCACCCTAGGGCAAACATGCAGATGTGCAGCGCGTCCTCTCCGATGAAGTCCAGGTAAAACACTGCGCCTGCAGCAAATAATGGAAAACACGGGTGAGCTGTTGTCAAATCACCTACTTGCCAGTCTGCCTGGGATTTGGCTAAGTGCTCTTCCCTGCAGGAAACCAAAGCAATCAAAAAAATACTGTGATTGCGCCTAGAAAAATATTAGGAGACTGGAATAAAAACCATTTAAGGCAACAGATTGTCTTCTTTCTCCCACTCCTAGGCCCCTCTTACCTCCATCTTTTTTTTTTTTTTTTTACTGATATTATTTATTTATTTTTTAGAGAGAGTGGAAGGGAGAAAGAGAGAGAGGTAGAGAAACATCAATCTTTGAGAGAAACATTGATGGGTTGCCTCTCAGCTGGCAACCCAGGCATGTGCCCTGACTGGGAATTGAACCCACGACCTTTTGGTTCACAGGCCTGTGCTCAGTCCACTGAGCCACATCAGTTGGGGCCCCATCATTTTTTAACTTTTTATTTTGAGTTAATAATAAACTCACAGAAATGTCGAGCTCTCTGTGGAGCATGCCCACAACTTCCCTCTCAGGCATTCATCTTTACTTTTCTCTCTTAAACTCTAAGGGCTCCCATGAGACTTGCAACCAAGGGAGCAATGGGCAGCAGCAGCTGGTCCCTGACTAACCCCCGAACCAGTTCCCAAGGCTGCCTTTTCTCTGACTTTGCAGGCAGTTAACAGCAGCCCCGCCTTGGCTCATTTATTTCCTGTAACGTTTGTACAGAGTCAAAGAAGCCCTGCCTAGGCTCTCTCCTGTCGCTTCTCCTACCCTAACTCCTTCCTTTGTTTCACTGTCCCCAACTTGAACAAACACAATCTCAAAAGAAAAGCCACCACAAAACAAGAATGGTACAGGATTCCCATGTACCCTTCCTCCAGATTCCCCCAATGAAACAATTCTATGAACTAAACTACAGACCGTATACCAGTTTTTACATACTTCTTTTCCCCATCTTTCTTCAGTCAGATAAACACAAGGCTTGGTGATCAAGCTGTCAGAGCTTTCAGATGTCAAGCCTGGGAGTGACATGGGCCTGCCACCCCACCTGCAGCCAGAGGCTGCCTGGACGCAGACTGTATTCCTGAGCTCCTGATTCCCTGCCTGACTTCTAACTTGACTGTGGTGTTTGCTCTTCCTTTCAACTGTGGCTGGACCAAAGTTCTTGACTGTGACTTATCTTCACATTAGGTTAGCTTTCAGGCTGCTCTGGGTCAATGCCCTACTTGATCCCTCGTACTGCTCAGGGCACAGGCTCTGGTAGGCGTGGGCCCTGCTCATTCCTACCTCTGTGGGTGGGACTAGGGCTCCACTTGTCTAACGTGCAGTGTAAGGCAGAAGGCTTCATGGCCAGGCCTTCCTCTAAGGCAGGCACATCAGTTCTTCCTGGACTTTTTTACTCTGAAGATTTTAGTCACCACAGTCACTTCAAAACAAACAAACTCTGACATGCTTGTAGCCTCTAAAGCCACCTCAGAAAGAAAATTTAAAAAAAAATTTAGGGGTGGAGGAGAAGAAAAGGGCAATACAATAATCATAATCACTGATGGAGTTCTTATTATGTTGCAGATGCTTCATATACTCATGATCTCTAAAGTTTATATGGAAGAAATCTGTGGTTACTTGTCCTACGAAGGCTATAAAGTTAGCAGGTGACAGCAAATACTGTTAAAGAAACCATGCATAAGCACTACGAGGTTGTGGACATCTGGATTGTATGTAATTCAATTTCAGGAGGCAGGTGTTATTACTTCTACTTGTGAATGTAGAACTTAGGCACAGAGAGGCTAAGTGATTTGCCCAGAGCCACACAGTGCTGGATCTGTGCTGGAGGCAAACCCAGGTCTCCACGGCTATAACCCTGCACTTTTACCATGCGCGCAGCGAGTCGGTGCAATTGGCTTCTGACCAAGGCAGGGCCTCCTCCCTCCACACTGGCGTACTGTCCCTGCTGCTAAGGTAGAAGACAGAAACCTGGCAATCGGCCACCCTTACCTGCTGTGATGGCGACGGTTGTGGATAGGATGTAGCCCACACTGGCAATCAAAGAGGAGTCATACATCTGTGAGGCTTGACTTAAAAACCTGCAACACAAAAGCACTCTCGTCAGTGGGCTGTGGGGATGCTGGAAAGGCCTAGGTGAAGCGGCTGACGGTAGCCTTGGTTTGACATAGGAAGATGACCCCTGAAGGAACATTCCTTGGGTTCGTGAAGATGCCCTCCTTGTGCCTCTCTAGGTCTGAGGTCGGTGCTTTGCTCCTGTTCTTCCCCAGACTCATAACCTGAGGTCCATCCCCATTCACCGAGCGGGCCGTGCCTTCCTGGCCTCATCCCGTTGACCACATGGTTCTCGTAACTGGAAATGCTTTTCCTAATCATTGTGTCCCCTGAGTCCCCCTCCATGAGAAAGAGCCATCCCTGGTTGCTTAAACACTCCAAGAAACTCTTATTTCACTCATCCATTCTGTCTTGTTAACAATTTTTTAAGTCAAATTTTCTTCTTAATTCAAAAATAACGTGATCACTGTAATATACAGGGATAGGCAAAAGTAGGTTTGCAGTTGTATGTGCAGCAGTTTATTCTTGTATTATTATATCATAACCTGCATGTCTTTTTCCATATGAGCAACTGTAAAACCTCCTTTTGTCCACCCCTGTATATCAGAAAAAGACAGGAAAAACTAGAATTACTCCTATTCTCTCCATCTAGGATAAACACTGCCCTCATCTCAGAATATAGTCTTGGTCCTTTCTCCACGTAGTATTTTAGTTATTACAGTTGCTTACGCTACAACACACTTCCCGCTCAATTGTAATTGTGTCTACCAGGCTTCCCCCCCGCAGGGCTGAGAGCCTTGAGGACAGTCTGTGCGTGTGGAAGGCCCGGCAGAAGCCTGGCCTCCCGTAGGCCCGCAGGGAATGTGTACTGAGTGGGTGGGCGAGAAGCTCTCAGGTGTTGGGCGGGGCATCTGATTCGTCCTTGTAACCCCTGCAGGGCTGGGCACAGAGTCTCGCACTTGGCAGGGGCTCAGTGGGGATGGCTAGAATTGTTGCAGTAGGACAAAGAAGTCATAATCGACGTAGTGATAGTAGTAACAGTCATAAAAGAAGCTGTTATCTACCAGACGTTATCCTGGGGGCTATAGTGAGGGTTTTATGTGATTATTTCAGGTGGGGACTGCTCCTTGCTTTTGTAGACAAAGCACCTGTGTCTTAGAGAAGCAAGAGGAGGTGGTAGAGCAGAGGGGTAAGGGCTGTGGGCTGGGAGTAGGATGTCAAATCTCAGCTGCACCACTTCCTGGCCTTTTAACCCCACTCTGCCGCATAGTTCCTCCCATGCAAAAGGAGGACTGTATCATACACGGGAACGGGGTGTTGTGGGGATGATACGAATTCAAGCTCACGTGGAATCAGAGAGAGCAAAGCCGGCGCACCCTGGGCATCAGTCACTCCCACGGTGCCTCGGGGCCACGCTGGTGGGCACTGACCCTGCGCGGGCCTGCCCAGGTGAATCGGCCACGCGCATCCCACTGACACCTGCGCTTCGCCCTCGGTCCCCACGCAGGGTTGTCCCATTCCCTTCCAGGCCCACTGCTGGGCACCAGGTCTCACATGTGAACAAGCCCAGGCCTGCCCGCAGGACGGCTGGTTTTGACTTAACTCTTGTGCTTAGAGAAGTGATCACCTCGCTCTTCCACTTGGGAAGATTTGGGGGAAGATTTCTTGAGGACAAGAAATGACAACCTTTTGTTTTTCACCTAGTCGACAAAATAGGAGCCTCGTGGGTCTAGAGCAGCTCCAGTGAGAAACGGATGCCGGCCTTGGAGCAGGTGGGAACCGAGGCTGCTTCTGATCATTTCTCACATTCTGAGGCAGAGGGTCAAACCCCTCCACTTCAGGCTTCGTCTTTTAAGCAACAGAGCCCCGGCACATGATAGCTCAGCAAATTAGCAGCTCCGCTCTCTCCACAGCAGGCGCCCAACCCCGGCGGCAGGCTGCATCTGAACGTTCTGTCTTTCTCACTGTTTCAAATACAATGTAATGAGGCCCAGGCCCAGACAACGGAAGAGCCCCATGTGTTGAGGCCCAGCAGGAAAAGAACTTGCAACTCACGCGGCTTGATAGACGGCGGTGGTCACCATGCACACAAACATCACGTAGAAGATGGGGTAGTCGAGCTGCAGGTTCCCCTGGATGGACAAGACAAGCATCCCGGCCACGGCCTTCACCGTCACCACCGTCATCGAGCCTGCAGAGGGCGAACAGGCACGTGGGGGCCTCAGGGACACGGAGGGGGTCAGACCCTGAGAGTCAGTGTGTCACCCCCAAGGGCTGGGTGGAAGGAATGGAGGGGACCCTGGCACAGCCAACGCAGTGATGCTCATGGCGAGGAGACACGGTTTGTCCCGGGTTTCTTAGACTTGCCACTGTTTGTACCACGGTATCAAAAGAAGTGCGGGAGGCAAAGCCCTGACACCTATTTCCAAACGTCACTTCTAGACTCTACCGAGAAAAAGCAGCGAGTTCAGGTCTCCAAACCCCAGCGCGGGGTTCATTTCATCCCCACAACATGTGTGGATGCCTGCAACATGGCGGGCGGGCCAAGCAGTCTTTGGAGAAATGAACTTCTTGAGTATCATTCTCATGTCAATCACAGGAAAAACACGTAATATGTAAAGAGCTCTTTTTTAAAAATGTCACTCAATTGTGTTTCTAAAAAACATTTCTCTGGACAGAGGTCCCCAAGTGTTTTAGAACCCTACTCCTAATGCATATGCACACTCTTCCCATGTATATGTGTTCATGTATTCTAAAATTATAGTCACGCAACACTGTGCTTAAGTGTATGCACATTACGAAACATGTGCAGGAAACACCATGTAAAAGGTGGAGATAAAAATAAATTCTAATATGCTCCTCTCACACACCTGGTGAATCGCCTCGCTCACTTCATCATGAAGACCAACTGCTGGCACGGAAACGACTCTAACCCATCAGATCCTCTCGCTAAGGCAAGAGTTCAAAGAAACCACCCCCAACTGAGGTACAAATGGAGCCCCTCATTCTGGCTGAAATGCTCTGCTTTTCTATTTTCCTCAGCTTCTGCTCATTTTGCCTTCTCCTGCCAAAGGCGCATCACACATGGCGGCTTCTGGTCCCTTTGGCTCTGAAAGCTAGTTTTCAAACAGCAGCAGCCAGTTAAGATAAGCACCTTCATCAGGCCGCCCTTGTTAGTGAGGAGCAGACAGGAGGAGAGTGGCCAATGTGCTTCAGAACCTTCTAGTCTTCCTGCTCAGCAGGAGAAAATGTTTTGGGACCATGATCTTCCAACTCACCTTTAAAACATCACCAAGGGATGGCCCACTGACACACGTTACACAACATGGACGAACCTCCTAAAACATTATACTCAGTGAAAGAAGCCAGTCGCAAAAAGCCACATAGTGTATCATTCCATCTATATGATGCATCCAGAAAGACAAGTCCGTAGAGACAGAAGGTAGATGGGTGGTTGCCAGCGGCCGGGAGGAGGGGGAGATGGGGAGTGACGGCTAATGGGCATGGGGTTTCTCTCTGCATAACAAAAATGTTCTGAAATTTAATCATGACAGTTGCATAACTCTGTGAATACACTAAAGTCCACTAAATTGTATACTTTGAACAGGTGGGTTTTATGGTATGTGAATTCTATCTCAATAAAGCTGTTTTTGAAAAAATCAAAATCATCAACCCTGTCTTACGGCGACCCCTTTCTGCGTGGTTGCTGGCTTGCCGCCGGGGTGGGGGCTCGCTACGGCAAGGACAGAAGAGAAACAACGCGTATCGGGCACTTGTGCTGATCTCACTGAATTCCCCTCTCCCCGGGATCTGGGTGTGCTTGGTGCCCACCGTCACAGGGCAGTGTGGCCTGAACAGGGAGAGAGCTAGACAGCTGCGGGGCTTCATCCTTTCTCCTTCAAAGCTCCATTTAGTAATCAAACACTATGCGGGGTTAGAGCCTCGCCCCAATCTGATTTCGGAACCATTTCCCCCATCCCCCTAAAAGGAAAGGAAAAAAACAGAGATAGCAGAATCAGTTCTTGCCTTTGAATCCAGAATGACTTCCTGAGCTCTGCCTGGTTTTATGTGGACCCTTACGGGCTCAGTTGTTGAAACCTGGCCCACCTCTGACTTCTCTGAAATAACCTCTCCACTCTCACTCTGCCTTTTTCTTCACTGCGTTCATCACTAGCCAAATGCACGTTATTATGTATTTGTCTCCTTGTTTACTGCCATTTCCTCTCTTTAGAATGGAGGTATCTGGGGTTTGTCCATCCTGTGCATTGCTGATGCCAGTTTCCAGCACATTCATGGCACTTAGGAGACTCGGTATTTAAACAAGAACGTTGAACACAGCCAGTGACGTGATGGAACTCATGGGAACTGCCTCCAGCCAGCAGGGACCTTCCGGTGCTACGCAGTGATGGCAGAAGTCATTCACCCGGGGCCCACTTACCCAGTAACGCCACCAAGAGAAGAATCACGACGATGTTGTTGGCATTCTTCTCCTTGTAGAAGTACAGCAGCAAGCAGAACAGAATGATCTCCACAAGCTATGGAAAGCAGCAGGAGGGGGTGTCAGTGGGGGCCACAGAAAGGGGCGAGACCGGGAGCCTCCGGCGGGCTGGGCTGGAGGTTACGCGGCTGATTTCATTAGCCACAGACCCTCAGAGTTGAAAGGGCACTGAAACACTGAGCACCCCCCAAACTACTGACAGAATCCTATGGAGAAGGAGGGAACGCTGAGTGAATCTCTTGAATCCCTGGACAGCACCGAGGGGGCTTTTGCTTCATGGTTGAGCTTTGAGGGTGAGGGGTTGGCCTCACATCTGCGTTGTCTTGGATGGATAAGATTCATTAGGCTGAGATGGTCTCTTCCCATCATTGCTCCATGGGTGCAATGATCCACGGGTGACCCCGCTAAAACTGGGGGTCAGTCAGAGAGGGAGACACTTGTTCACTGAGAAGCGCTCAGTGAAGTATACAAGTATACATACCCCTTCCCCCTAACTGGGCCTCCAGTGTGTGTGGCTTTGTAGAGTAGAAAGAAGAGGGCACTAGTGTCTGGGAGGCCCAGGTTTGGACTTGGATCAGCTTCTAAACTAGTTGTGTGACCTTCGGCAAGTCACTGAACTTCTCTAAATTCAGTTACCTCCTCTGTGAAATAGGAATGAAAATTTATACCTTACAGAGCCATAATTAAAGCTTCCACCTAATGAACATAGAAACATGCCAGGTACAATTCTAAGCATTTTATCTATACTCAAGTAATTAAATCAGAACAATAATTCTATGAGGTACTATCACAACCCCAAGCTAGTAAATGGCAGAGCTGGGATTTGAACCTAAGCTCCAAGGCCCACATACTTTTCCGCTAAGCTACACTGCCTGAGGACAGGTAGCCATGTGCCTGGCATTTGCAAGGCTCTCAATCAGCAGACTCACCGTTAAATAATGGCAAACCTAAAGTTTGAGAAGTTCCCGCCATCTTGGATAAACAACTCATCCTTTCTACTCCTTAAAGGCTCAGACACGGAGCAATACTTTCCAAGAAGTCAGCCCCAGCACCCAGCAAAACTAAAGCAAAACAACTTGACAATGGTTCAGCTCCATTTGCCTATTCCAACCTCCTACCAAAGTTTATTTATTATAAAAACCAATGCAGAAACACTAATGGGCACTTTAAAAAGAAAATTTTAGAAAATTCCTCATGAGAGACCACAAAACACAGCTGTGTTCATTTTCTTGTTTCTTCCTGTCTTTGTCACAGTGAATGCATATTTTATCTACTTGCCATCATAGTCAACGCACAATTTTGTATTGGGCTGCTTTTAGTTACCATAAACAATTTTCATGTTTTATGAAGTTGTCATAATTATCTTTAATGGCTGCAGAATAGTCCATCGGGCAGATGGAGAGTTATTTAACATTCCCAACCAGCATGTGTGCATCCAGGGGGGCCCTGATTTCTCGGCCGTTCTTCACGACGCCTAAATGCAAGCTGGAACAGCACTTGGCACTCTCGCAAGATGGTGGCGTAGAAGCTGGTGCCTCCTGATAGACTGTGAGTTCAGTGAGCAGGTCTCATTTATTTTTTTTAAATCCACAGTGTCTGGCACGTAAAAGACACTCAAAAGTATTTACTGAATTCGATTTGGCCAAATCTTGCTAGCTGGCAGCACCGTCTCAGTCACAATGAAAGACCAACTGAATCGGTCACTGAGCGTCTGCCAAGTGCTGGGTGGTTTCCACGCCATCTCGTGTCCCTCCCAACAACCAGTCCAGGTCCGGTGACTTGGCTTCCAGTGAAGTGACCTGGCTAAGGTCAAGCAGCACATATGGATTCGAGCCTGTGTTCAGGGTGAACCTTTTCCTGAAGAGGTGGGTCTTTGGCTCTGTCCTGCAGACATGCCTCCCCGCCCACCGCGTGACCGCAGGGGTCGGCTGGCGCTAGGGACATGACACAGCCCTCATCTTAGGGAAACCTGTTTCCTGCCTTGTGGGCAATCTGAGGAAAAGTGAGGTTCTGAGGCCTCCAGAGCAGTCGCAGGCTGCTCCCCTGAGAGGACATAGTGAATACCATTGTCACGAGGCCACGGTGAAGGACGGTGGCATGTGAGGCCAGGCAGGCCCGGCTTCAAGTTCAGCTCTGCTCTCGTGGGATTTGGAACAAGTGCGCTAGCCTCCCTGAGCTCTGGTTTTCTCATCCAGAAAATGGAGAGAACATTTACATTATAGTGTTGTTGGGAAAATCTGAGATTATACCTAAAAAAGTGTTCAGCGCAGTGCCAGGCATGGAGCAGGAATACTCATATGCCAGAAGCTTTGGCGAACACCTCAGACGTTTTCCTTGGCTGGTTTATTTGCAGACTTAACTCGGGATGTAACTGGGGCAGAGAGAAGACTGAGCTTGAGCAGCAGTTTTAGGAGATGTTTCTAGTGTCTCCCATTTCTCTCAGCTGTGTGATACTGAACAAAAATAAATAAATAACATTTTATAATTGTTGAAAACTTTTACTTACTTTCTTACCATAAAAGTTTGAAATGCTCCCTGTAGAAATTTAGGATGACACATAAAGACAAAATAATAAACAAAGTCATAATTCTATCTCCTAGAGACAACTACTGATGGAATTTATTTTCCCATCTAGTCTTTTATAGATACATTACATGTGCATCCTACAAATACCTCTAAAAAATAAAGTTATCAGTGGCCCTGACTTATGCGGCTCAGTTGGTTGGGCGATGTCCCACAAAGCCAAAGGTCACCAATTCTATTCCAGGGCAGGGCACATGCCCAGGTTGTGGGTTCGGTCCCCGGTGGGAGCACGAATGAGAAGTTGGTATTTCTCTCTCACATCGATGTTTCTCTCCCTCTCTTCCTCCTTCCCTCCCCCGCTCTCTAAAAATAAAATGAAATACAATAAAATAAAATACAATGAAGTGAAGTAATGTAGACATTACTCAGGACCTAAGAGAAAAAGCATTTCCCGTGAACTATATACTCTCTATAAGTGCGGTCTGCGGTGCTGTGAAATACATCATGATTCATGTGAATCCCCTCGTGCTGGGTAGTCAGGTTTCTGGTTTCTAGGACTCAGTTCCTTTCCCCAACATCTTAGGCAGAAGGACCAGAGGCTTCTCTTACCATGTACAAGAGAAAAGGCCAGCTCACGAGGTGCCTGGTGATGTTCTCGCCAGTCATCTTCTCGTGACTGTTGGGTGCGAATGTCACCAGCAGGTAGGTGCCCACAATGGCCAAGCCACAGCCGACAAAGGACAAGACGTAGCGCCCTGCAGGGAAGGGGAGGCTGTCACAGGGCTCACGGCAGGTGGCAAACTATGACAGGTCAGCTGTGTTGCCCCCAAAGCACACACTGCCCCAGATTACAGAGTGAGGAAGTAACTCTGGGTAAGCGTTCCATTCCGTAAACCCAAATGTTTTCTTGGGAGACTGGCGGGAGATCTAGGTGGGAACCAGGGCACATGGGGGCAGAGTTCATTTGGCTGCATACCTAAGCTGCATGTTCTAATTTAGCTTTTATGAGTAATAAAGTATAACTTTCTGATTGCCTGTGTTTGACTTCCATGTATATTTCCCATTGTTTCCGAATGCAGTTAGGGAAAGGGGGTGCCTTTTATTTGGCTTTCTAAAACCCCAACAGTAGATGCTCAATAAATATTGATCGAATGGTTTGGGAACCACTGATGAAAAAAAAACCCCAGTTCTCCTGATGAGAGGGGAATTTAGAACCACACTGGGGAGTGGGAAACGGAAGATCTCTACATTGGGGTGAGCTCATTTTATAAGGAGAAAAAGCACAAGCACAACATTAAGAACAGGGGCTCCAATCAGTGAACTTACTCAGAAAGTCTTTAGGTTTCCATTTTTCTTTGATGAATATGATTCCTATGATGGCGCTAGCTATAAAAAATAAAACACGAGGTAAAGAACTGAGGCTGCCATCAGCCAGGAGTCCCTTCGCCCATGCCCACTGGGCTGTCTCGCCTGCGTTGGTGTTTGGCACTCCCTCTCCTCTCACTCGCGCTCCCCAGAGCTCAGGCCCTTCTGTTTCCCTGATACTCCATCTCGGAAAGGGAGGTTCCCTCTGAGCCTCCCCGAGGATTTCTTACAAGACCAGGAACACTGGGTGTTTGTTGAGTGCTTGCTGGGAGACAGGCAATTTACTAAAGGTATTTCTGGTATGTTCCCCCTTTGATTTGGGTACTATTATTATTCCCATTTGAAAAATGGGGACACTGAGGCTGAGAGAGGTGAAGGACCCACTAAAGATCATGCAGCTGGAAGGTGAAGGCTGGACTTGAGCCCGGGACCGTCAGACGGCAGGGCTCTTGCGCCTTGTACTGCGATGTCTACTTCTGATATTTTCACCCTGGATCTTGTTTCTCCCTGACTTTCCGCATTTGCTGATGTGCTCAAACTTCCTGTGACTGCCATACACGATGGGGCTGGCATGCACTGAGAACAGACCTGGATTACTATCTCAGTTCTGCCTCTTCTGGCCATGAGTCCTGGGAAAAGAGTTCACCTGGGTCTCAGCTTCCAAGTCTATGAAATAGTGCGCTGGATCGAGCTGGCATCAGCTGTGGATTGCTAAATTTCGGGAAATCATTGGTAGCTTGAAAACAGCCACAGTGGGGCTGTTTACGACATATAAATCAGAAGCACTATGAAGCAGGTCTTCCTGTTCTCCCCGCCCACTTTTCTGACCCTTCCTTCCTCACTTCCTTCCTTCCTTCCTTCCTCCCTCCCCTCCACCTCTTCCTCTTCTTCTCTCACTATTTCTGAGTTGATTTATCAGCACACCATTGAAAACACCTACCTCTCTGACAGCGGCAAATCAATGAGCTAATATATGTAAATCATCTGTTACACAGTAAATGCTCAATAACTGGGCGATTATTATTACTAAAGTAGTTGGAACAGTGACTGATGAGTAATACGTCCCAATAAATGGTGGTTATTATTATTTTTAATAGTATTTAAAATAATACTGGGTGACTTGAGAAGCTCTAAGAACTTCTTAATTTCCAGTGGTGATAGTGGAAGTCCCATCATTATAATTCAACCCCTTGTTTGGGAGAATTTGATTATTTTATTTTTATTAAAATTCAAAGACTAATATTTAATTCATCTGGTCACTCAGTCACTTATTCCTCTTTGTAAATGAGGTTCTGAGAGCCCTTTGGCAAGATCAGCAATGGGCAGAGGACAAGTGTAAATAACTATAGGGGCTCGGCAAACGTGGGAAGTGGGCCAGACCCGAGACAACAGGGAAAGGCTGGCACTATGGCCAACTACCTGCCTCAATTAAAGGCATTCAAACTATATTTTTAAAAAAAATACTGTGCAGGAAAGAACACGTTTGAGGACCTCATTTGTCCTGTGGGCTGCTAGTTTACCAACGCTGGTCAAGAAAAGAGGCTCTTATCATAGTGTCAGCGAAAGCCAGCTCCTGGTAGTTGGCAGCGACTGCCTGAAGCTCCGAGAGTTCTGAGGGCCCGTCCAGGCTCGCTAGGAAGGAATGCAGTGATTGATTAATGATGTCTGCCTCGGTGCAGGAGGGGCATGTAGTTGTTATGAATATGCCAACCCTGGGGTAGAAGGGGCCCTTTTAATTCCATGCAGAATAAGATTCAAAATATGACTTTCTCCTTTAAGAGCAGGGAAGAGCTTCTAGGCAGTGTGCTACTTGCCAGCAAGATGGAAAGAAACATTTCAAAGCAAGTTCATTGTCCTTGCTCCTATGTACAATAAGCTATAGATCAGTAGTCTACTAACATCTTTTATTTAAGAAAATAATTATTTTCTAATTCTGTTTTATCTGTGACCTCACGGATTTTAAAGCTCCTTTGTCTTTTAGTTGGTCTCAATGTTCTGAGACACTGGTTCAGTGATTATAGAAGTCATAGGAAAATGGCGGATGAGGTTAATGATGTTTTTAAAGTGGTATCAGTTGATGTAAAAAGATCAGACAATAAGCTGAATTTCTTAGAGGTATAAGATATCTGAACTCTATAAGAGCTTAGATTATCTTGACAGTGTTAGAAAGAGTGGGTTACAGTTTAGCTTCTTTCTGTAGTAGAAATAAAAAGCAATTCTGATAAACTTTCTGAATCTTAAAACAGATCCTGGAGTCAGACAGCCCAGTTCATACCCCTGCCCTGCTCCTCAACAACCATGTGGTTTGGGGACATTAACTTCACCATTCTGTGCCTCAGTTTCCTCATCTGTAAAATGGGGCTAATAATAGTATCTCCCTCAAAAGGCTGCCAGGAGGATTCGGAGAATTAATATCCATAAAGTGCTTAGAGCAGGGCCCAGTGTGAATGAAGCCCTTTGTAAGTGCCAGCTGCTATTACCCAAGCAAAAGCAGGTGTGTTTAAGAGCAGCTTTGATCACTGTGGTGACGCTGTGGTCACACAGGCAATTAGTCCCTGGGGAGGAATGGGGACACCCTGATCTTACCTATCACGGAGACTGCGCCGAGGGGCACGATCAGCGAGAGGGGAGCGAAGGCATAGGAGGCGAACACGCCCAGCTCGCCCAGTAGCATCAGGAACAGGCCCAGCCACCATGTCTTGGTCTTGAAGTAGGCCCGGGGGTCCTTGGAGCCTGCCAGCCGGATGTGGCAGTACTTCTGGAACAGTAAGTAAAACAATAGCGACCTAAGTACTCGTTATTCTACGACAGTAGTTTTCACACTGGCTGGCACACCTTAAAAGTTCCCTGGGAAGGTCTGAAAAAAATACAGGAGTCTCATCCTCAGAGGAGGTGTGTATTTCTAACACACAACACAGTTGTGAGCAGTCTTGGGTGGCAGCTGCGGTCTGAGGACCCCCACTTTAGCCTGGCCTCAGGCGGACCTCCTCCCTCTAACTGCGATGCCCAGGAGCCCCCACGTTTGGGGCGCCTGCTTGGCTACGTGCTCTTCTGTAGGAGTGTTGGCATCTCTGCTGGGCAGAACATGGGGATCAGCAGACTCTGCCCTCCCTCGGGTGGAGGCTTAGCCCAAGTATGGCCAACGCTCTTTATTCTGGAAATGTGAACTTGGAGCTGAGGCAGCGACCAAGGAAAGCTGGGGGGTCACGCTGACTTGGAGGGCCAACGCTGCCTTTCGGGGAGGATCATGATGGAGGCTGCACAGCAGCAGGTACGGAAGCAGGGATGCTGGTCTGTAAAAAGAAGAGCGTGAACCAGACAAGTAGCTAGCAGGCCATGCAGCCTCAGAAACATGTCTACACATATGTGTACATGGGAGCTGAGATGCACATGTGTGTTTACACCCTTGCTCCAGGGAGGGAGAGGGCTCACCGCCAGGGAAGGGGAGTTGGCCCCCCGTTGTGGGCTTATTCCGTCCACAGATGGCAAGACTTAGTCGGGGTTTCCCGGAAGCGGTCCCTGAAACAAGGTCTTGGGAGCAGGGAGGTGATGTGGAGAGTGATTCTAGGAAGCGCAAGTAAGGGAGCGGGAAGTGAGACAGCGAAGGGGGAAGAGCCAATGAGGAGGGTATTCACGGGCGAGTTAGTACCATGAGCAAGTGGGGCTCAGTCCCACTGGGGACCCTCTGAGAACCCTGTGAACTCACCCAGACCCATCCCACCTGGGGCTGGTGCCTGACTCCCACCCGAACCCACTGAAAGCCCCAGGGGCATTATCCGCCGCCACCGCCACCCAATACACACATCGTGTTTCCCAGCTACACTCGCAGGCCAAGGATTTCTAAAGAATGGAGAGCGCTATCATTAGAGTTGAGGGGTGAGGGGTGGATGAAGTTGGGGCAAAGAATCGAGAGATTCTGAAAAGACCTGGCAGCTGCTGTCCCAGGCCCAGCCCACGGATGGAGTGGGCAGCATCGCGCAGAGCAGGGGCCACTGGGCCTGCACCAGACACCTGGCTCTCTACCTGTGTCTCTGCCCCAGACAGTGCTGCTGACGAACTCACCTGGAGGTTAAGTGCAATGCTCACCACGAGGTGCCCGAAAATCGCCAAAAGGGCGCCGATCAAGTTTTCCTGTAAGGGAAGTTCAGAGAAGCAGGCATGAGCTGGGCCTAGGCTAAGGGGCCCCAGGGCACAATTTAAACCCAACTGGTTGCTGCAGCTGAAAACCATCCCTCACAAAGCCACACCCCAGATCCCCTACTGGGGCAGACGGGAAGACAGGAAGGGAAACAGGCTGCCCTGCAGCCAGCGGACCAGCCAATACCATTCCAGGGAGGGGGTGGTGAGGGGTGAAACTAGAAATGAAACCTCACAAGGATAAACCAATCTAAGCAGCAAAAACATGGTTAAAAGGCTACTGTGATAACACAGGCTGATGCTCACGGAGCATTTACAAACGCCGGCAGGGCGCCGAGCCCTTTCTACGCATCGCCTTCCTGCTCTGGGCCGCACACAGCCTTCTGATGGGCACTACCAGGAGAACTACTGTTTGCACACAAGTTAAAAGGAGTTTATAGGTGAACAGACCAAGGCTCCGAGAAGTAAACTAACTTGCCCAAGGTGAGGATGGAAGAATTTGAAGCTGGAGGTATGACTTCCGCTCTCCTGGGGATAACTACTTCTCCAGACCGAGGCTTCAAGATAAATTAGGAAAAAAATAACCCCACCTTGTTAAGTGCTACCCTCCCACTGATGACACAGGCAGCTGAGGTTTCTTTAAAAAGCCCCATCTATAAGCATACTTGTCTCCACGAATAATAACCGGCTACAGACTCGGTTAGTAACAGCGTAACACAACTGACGCCCTGTCATCCAGGCTGTTCAAAGGGCTTCATCGACACTAGTGATGCCCCAATCCCTTGTGAAGTGGTGATTGGTGCAATTTTACGAGTATGTAGTCAAGCAAAGAGTTTGCCTCAGGCCCAGGGGTTACAGTTTGAACACACACCTATTAGCCACCCTCCATTGTCGGGCAAAGGGCAATTCAGGGTCAAGGCAACAACCAGCAGGACCCTTGACAGGAAGTTCCTCCTCCAAGTGTCAGAGCTCGAAAACTGTACAACAGGGCCGGCGTGGAGGGGGGTGGAGAGCCGTGCCCGGCCAGCTCCCGCCTCTGGACACCAGTGGGAACTTTCCCCGTCTTCGTCATTCCTCATTTTGCTGCGGAACACTCCAGGTGTTTTCGTGCAAGTTATTTGCAGTGTTAAGTGTTCATAAGGAGACAGAGGGATCCTACCCTGGGCCAGTGACTCTGTCCCTTAAGAGAAGGTGCTGACTGCAACAACGGTGTTCTCGCTGACGGGCAGCCCCAGGCCACCAGCTTCGCCTGAGGCATCTTTGGTTCTTGAGTTCCTTCACCCACAGTACCAGGTGGGGAGGATTCTTCTGAGGCAATGCGTAGTCGGATTTCAATTGAGGTGGGCCGGTGTTGGGGGTGGGGTGGGGGGGAAGGCTGTCCTCATTTTGAAGGCAAATACCTGGGGTGGGGGATGGGGGGAATCTCAGTTACCTAAGGAGGTCCAGCAGGCAGCCGAAGCCACAGAGTGAGCAAGTGGAAAAACCAGTCCTGAACACAGGTCTCACATTTTGGTCTCCCATGTACTACAGGCGAGGAAGTAAATGAGGCCGCCCAACGATCAGGAACCTCATATTTAGGACATACCTAGTCCAAATGGGGATATTTTGAGAAGGATGGGGGCTTTATTAATACATATGGACATGAGGCACAAACCAGGACTCTCGGTCACTGTACTCATAGCACAGTCTCTGAATGGGGAGTGTTTTTGGCAAGGGAAGTGGGGTGAGGGCAAAACCCAAAGCCACTTCTCTCTTTGCTTCAGCCACTTCGTGTGGACTTTGAACTTTGAATACCAGCGGACCTGGGCCAGGGTCCTGCCTCTGCCACTCGCTGCTGTGTGGCTTTAGGGGAATTACCCTGCCTCTCGGAGCCTCAGCTTCCCCTCAAAAACGGAGCTGCCTGTAGACCCTCATAGGGTTGTCATGTTATGTGGAAAAAGGCACATGTTGAAACCTTACATGACGCTTAAGAAACACTAAAACAGTTCTAGCTGTTACCATTATTTTTACAATTTTTATTTTTATTGTTATCATTACTATTAGCAAAAGTTCTAAGGACCCTTCTGGCTCTGATATCTCTGATCCGAGAATTGATCTTTTACAGCTACAACTCTGAAAGAAAATAAACTGTTCCCAGAAAAGCAGCCAAAGGTTGCAGAGGCAGGAAGCTTTGCTTGGATATCTGTATCCAAGTGAAAACGCAGCTCAAATCTCCTCTTCCAAGGTCTGCTTTACATCTGCCAACAACAACTTTTATTTAAATCCCACGGTGACAAGACCAGTCATCGCTTGTTATTGAAATTGACCTCCCACAATCCCTTGGGCTTAAACTGCTAACAGCTAAGTATAAGCACTCTGGCTTGCTCTGAGGGTTGCTCACACTGAAATACAGGATTTCCTAACCAGGCTCTGCTACATCTATAACCTGGTTTCAGGCCAGCTTCTGACGCTTACCTTCTCCAGCAGGTAAGGCATTGCCATGCTAACAGTTAATAACCAGCGTCAGGGGGAGAAGGGACTTCCCAGAGTGCTGGCATAATGCAGGCAGCAGGGCGGGTAACACCAAGGGCCTTGGCAAGGCACAGACTCCATTAGAACCCCAGCTTTACTCCACCTACTGACTGCAGCATTGGGCGAGTGAATGGACCTCGCTGTGTACCAGTTTCCTCAGATGTAAAATGGGATTATAATAGTACCTACCTTCGGGGGGAAGACCAGCACAGTCCTTATCATACAGTAAACACTCAACCAACATTAGTTACTGTTATTATTGTGAAGATGATTAACTACCATAGCAGTTGTGAATCGGCTCAGGAGGCGTGGATCAAGGACCGATCATTTCCTGCCAGGAGGACTGACAAAGGCTTCATGGAGGAAGTGATGCCTGAGCTGGAGCTGGAAGGATGGGTAGGATTTCCAAAGGCAGAAATGGGATGGTGTGGGTAGCTTCGGTTTCCTCTATGAATTCAGGTCATCTTCACGACCGCCCTACAGGATGGGTTCAAAACTGACCTCAGACGAGCTCCATGGCTTTCCCCAAGTTACAGTGCTAGAAAGTGACAGAGCAGGGATTTGAAGCCAGGTCTCTCTGATTCTAAAGGCCATGCCTCTAACGCCCTGCTGTATCTCCACTGTTGCACCAAATTCTGTCCTGCGGGGCAGGTACTTGTGGAAATAGCCTCCCCTACCTCCCTTTTAGGCTATAAGCTCCTTCAGAGAAGCGATATCTCAGCAATGTACACAACTCCCAGTGCAGGAACAGCTATACATGCTCAGCTGAACCTATATGCTAAGTAGAAGAAATTGAGGCCTGACTCTTTTGGGCTGAGGCACAGCCTCCAATGTCGATGACTGGCCACCATGCTGCCTCCAGGGTGGCTCAGTCTGTTGGCCTCTTTGACAGACCACCTCCCCCAGTGACCAGAATCCCTTCCCTGCTGGGTAGTGCAGAGGGCAGGGCTGCAACCCAAGGCAGGCTGCTCGCTCCTAACTCCATCCCACTGATAAAGTTGGACTTGGGGCCTCTTAATGTTTTCCTTGCCCCAAAGGAAAGAGACGATTTGAGGGCAGCCGGCCCAGCCCACGTGACCATTTCTCTCTGAGAGCTTCCCACAGTGATGGAGCCCCAGGAATCCTGTTTGCTGGGTGACCCCGCCTCTGGCCACCACTGACTGGGCCAATGTAGACACCAGTCAGATCTTCCCTCTTTTGAAGGTGGATATATGAGTTCTAGCACCTTCCCCACTGCCCTTCTAGTCCTTGGGTTTCATGAGCTCCCCTGTAGCCTTATAATAATTTCCCCATTTGCCTTAGCACTTCTGAAAGGGGTTTTTATTCCTTCCAACCAACATAGCCTTAACAAAATCAAAGGAAGGAGACAGTTTCCCTTAAAAACCCTTTTCCTTATCCCTAAGCAAAAATTTTTTAAAATATTTTATTTATTTATTTTTTTAGAGGAGGTAAGGGAGGGAGAAAGGGAGAGAAACATCGATTGGTTGTCTCTCACATGCCCCTAACCAGGGACCTGCACTGCAACCCAGGCATGTGCCCTGACCAGGAATCCAACCGGCGACCTTTCGGTTTGCAGAATGACACTCAACCCGCTGAGCCACACCAGCCAGGGGACCCCCAAGCACAATTAACTATACCTTCCTCTGCTCTCTGCACCTTAATGTTCTTCTTGATAACCACGAGGCGTTTCCAAGCCAAGTACCTCCTTCATGCCTAGCACTTGGGCTGGGTGCTTTTTCATTGATCCACACAGCCCTGGAGGGATGAGGGATCGAAGGAGGTATTACTACCACCATTCTACCCATAACAGAAGCTCTGACAGATTAAGCCATCATGCTGAAGGTCACTAAGTTAGAAAGGAGCAGAGTAGGGACTTGAACCCAGGTCTTTTTCCTTTTACCCTGCCTGGTATTTTAGATAGCTCACATCCCTTTGTTCATATGCTTGTCTCCCACCTCAATCCTTAAGCTCTATCGTAGAGTCACCAGGGATTATTTGTCTTTGCTTTGGCACGAAGGCATTACTATAATAAGTAACTGAATTAATTTGTGATTAAAATGGAAACATTAGAAATTTCGTCAGGGAGAGTGTTGTGTTTTCTTTGATTCTGTATTTGTCTATTTGGCATCCATCCATGGCAGGACCAATTGTATTAGTGATATTTTCTTATTTTCTGTATTCTTGATGCTCTGGCATTTGTGACCTCGCTGAGCAGGGACAGACTGCCTCTCACAGGCCTAACCATTCTTGGCAGAGCGGAGGGACATGCACTCCGGGATGTTCACTGCAGCACTGCTTACGGCCACCCCAAGGTAGAAACAATCTTAACACCCAACAGGAGAGGATCTGTCCAGCGAGTTCTGATATAGAAGCTCAGTAGATTACTGGACAATCATTCCAACTACATGCTTCCAATCACGAAATACTCCACAAACAAGGTTAACTGAAACAACCAAGGTCCAAAACTTCCTGTATAATCTGATCAAATTTGTAATACCAGAAACGGACAAGAAGCAAATAATACTGATGTATGAACTTAGCTTGTCTATGAGTAATGGGATAGGTAATTAAAAAACAAATCTTCTAAGTGTGACTGCGTTCCTTTAAAAAAATTTCCCTACCTCCCTATTTTTTTGTATTTGAGCTAGTGTTTCTTTTCTTTTGATTACACATTGTCCTGTGTGTGTAGAGAGCCTGCTCATGTCTGCCAGCGACAGGCATGCATGCCCTGGACGTCTCAGTTAGCTGAAGCTGTGCTGTGTTTGTTACTCTCTCCTTAGAGAAATATGAAATTCCAAAACCATAAAAAAAGTTCTTGCCTTGTAGGAGAAGGAGCCCTGGCTCTTGGGGTCGGTGCTGCTCGTGGGCGGGAGCTGCTGCAGGTGCAGGGCCGCGCTGTGGGCTCCGTCCATGGTGGTCTAGTGGCGCATTCCAGAAGCTGGGGCTGCACTAAACGGGACCGGAGCAGAAAGCCATCTTCCTTTGCGGTGTTCACCTCCTTCTACTGGCCATCTCTGTCTCACGCCGAAGCTGTCCTTCAAGGCTCTTCTGGCTGATTTACAGCCTTTTCCTCATCTTCACTCAGACAAGTGCCAATGTCTGTCTCTCCCGAGCAGACAACCTGGAAAGTGTTTCCCGATTCTGGCGGTGCTCTGGAGAGGGGGGTGGAGGAACATTAAAAATGCATGTACAAGGAAACATCAAGGCCAACTTTGTTACCTGAGAATACCATTAGGATAAAAAACAAACTGTCATGAGAAATGAGGCCATTTACAAAATTATATCATGCCTTGACCCCCTTAATAAAGATATGGCTCATCTGCCTCAAAATCTTTCTCCTTGGTCCTTAAAAATCCCCTATCCTCTCCTGCTCTACTTTCTTTCTCCCATTGTATCCTAATTTAAGTTGTACCTTTTCCAGGGGCTCCTGTACATAGTAGAATACTACCTATGTCTACTTCCCCAGGCCTCAAAAAAAAAAAAAAAAAAAAAGAAAAGAAAAAAGAGCCACTGCCATAAATAGGGAACCATCTGGGTTCTGACTTAGGAAAGAAAGAATGAGAAAAGTTATCTCCATGAAAGAGGGATGAACTGAGCTGATACCCAGGGTCACAGAGGTAACACTGGACTGGAAGGTGGAAGATCTATGTGACCAGCTCGCTTTGCCTCTGGGAGATTCGGGTGCCTCATCTATAAAGCGAGGGTAATAATGTGACCTCAAGTAAAACCAGCAATAATGGTAATTCCAGTTAATTTCATTGGACTGATATTTTCAGTGGGTCTCAAACTTTTCTACCAAATAGAGAAGAGAAAGTATGTCCCTCATGTTCTGGGAAGCTTGGCCTAACTGCCCCTATCCCGCACCAAAAATGTTAAGGGTTTCATTGAGGTCCTCTTATATTTTTTTTAAAAGTCATACAAATTTGGATTCTACTGCAAAGTCCATGTTTATTTTAATATACATATATTTTAAGTTGCTTTTAATCTGCCATGTGGTACTGGTTTTACCTTGGGCAAATCATTTAACTTTTCAGCTAGCTTCCTCTGCTGTAACATAAGGATAAGAACGTTCCTACCCCACAGCATTGCCATGAGAATTTGCTAAAATCATAATGTAAAATACTTGCATAATGAATGGTGAATGACTGGCAGCTGTTAATCGTATTACTTCTATTCTTATCAGTTTAATTATTTAATTTACCCATGAATACCCCTTCCTCTATTTTATACAACAGATATTTATGGAAGGCTTACCATGTGCCACTCGGACACAGTCTCTGCCGTGTCTCCAGGCTTCGGAAGGCTGCCTCCTGTCTTTTGGCAGCTTCAGTTTCTTCTGTTATCTAACGCTAGGCCCAGGAATGCTGGTTCCTGGTGTGACTAGCACTAGTCATATGTCATGGGGCTAACACTGTGTCTGGCCAGCATCTAGGAGACACCAGATGCAGGGTCTGGCAGAGGGACAGCCATGAAGACCATTTGGCCCAGGTGTCACTTTATCAAAGGGCCTTCAGAGGGGGTTATACTTCAGAATATCTATCGATCTATACACTACACTCATCAGACAACTTTATAACTTACTTCCCATAACCAGACCTCCCAGATTGTAAAGTCTTATGAATATTTATCATCTTGTGAAAAGCGAAATTATTTATCGCTTCACTTTTATGTGTGTGTGAAAAGCGTTATTGTGTTAAATGCTTTATTCCTATTTTAACTTTTTCGTACGAAAGCCTTAGGCAGAAAAAGTGGCCAAGGGTTCTCCCTACCTCAGCAAAACCCTTGGAGGCTTTCAACCTGGAGCCGAAGGGGCACAAACTCTGGGAAGATGTTTGCTGAATCCCCTGTTCAGTTGCTCCCTCCCCAGACCTAGTCCAGAACCTGGCATGGTGACCTCTGTATGTACCTACTCACAGCCTAAATAGGCAGGCTTGTTTAGCACCCGCTGCACTGTGGCTGCTTTCTAGTCGAGTGGTACACAACCCCAACTCCAGAGGTTCAACAGATACACCCAGCCCCACCTGCAGGATGTGAGAGAAAGCAAACAGACCTTGGAGACGTGCCAACGGGGTGATGGGAATCCAGGCCTGTTAACCTCCTCTAGACCAGCTAGTTTGCCCAGGTGGATGTGTTTTTGCTTTTGTTTGCGGTGATGGTTGTTGCTGTCATTTAATTTGCTTTTAAAAAGCAACTTCCCTCTTTGCCTCAGGAACACCAAGGCCTCTGAGGCACTGCCTACGGAAATGGGCTCTCCCTAGCTGGTAGGAGTTTGGACTAAAAGCCTTGGAAGAACACTTTGCAAGCTGTCCTTCCTTATAAGGCACACATTCTTTGCTTAGTGACTCCCTTTTCCTGACTTCAAAGCACTTTCCCAGGACTAACATATGCCCATGAGGCAAGTACCCAACTGTGTTGCCAGCCATCCCTTAATTCTGAGGCCCTCATAGTGAGGAGTGAGCACAGAGTTCCCACTCAAGAAAGGAAAGATAATTCACTAGGTGCTTGCTTCCACTCCACCCTGTTCACCTTATCTCAATGAATTACAATATTTCACCAACCCACAGAGCAGGTTTTACAGAGGAAAGAACTATAGTCATGGCTGCTAAGAGTAGGGTCTATATCAGAATTTAGCTCAATCTAAAAAAAAAAAAAAAAAGATAAAACATGCCTTTCCCACCTGACGATTCAGCTTTTCTCTGTTGACTGCCAGTTAGATGCCAAGTGCTTTTCCTTTCCCGGGGTTTTGCTCACTAAGGGGTTACACTCCCCAGTCCTCCCCTATTGAACTGGAAACTACAACTTCCAGCAGGCGACGTAGATCAGGAATACCTCCTCTTATTGCACCTGCTAACTCCACCATAGGCTATTGCCAGGAAGCCCGAGCCAGCGCGTATGCGAATAATTTTGGCAAAGTTATTCCATTTCACTTCCTGATTTGGTAAAGCCTGTAATCATCTTTATTGAGGCAAACCCGTGCCCCCGTCCTCTCACTCCTGATGCCAAAGTGGAAAAAATATTCTGAGGCAGTAAGGCTCACAGTGGCAAGGCTGGTGACAGCAAGAAGGAAGGGTAATTTACACTGGGGAACCTTAGATAATTACAGATGCATTCGCTTTTCCAAAAACGAAGAGTGAACTCAAGTTCCCCCACTATCAGTCTTAATTACTACTCACCGGCGGCGTTTTCTCCAAGGCCCACCTAACAGAGGTTTCAGCGAAATGACTTTGACTCTTCCCGCAACCGGAGGCACAGCCCCCTTCAATCCTTCCCCAATTCGGTGCTGCCTAGATCCAGCAGTGTTTTGCTTTCAAAAACCGTGACTTGATTTGTCCTGCCGCCTGCCAATCATAACCTGGAGGACACTTCGCTCAGGCAAATGGCTGCGAGGAGCAGATGGGCGGGACATCCCCTCTATTGGCTGCGCCGCAAAGGCTTGGTTGAAGCGTAGGACGAGAGATTTGGGAAGGCGGAACCCTGCTGGAGAGCATTATGCGCACCTAAAGAGGGTCCCCTCTACCGGCCACAAGAGGGACCTCGGAACACGCTCGGTTCCTCATCTCCCTCTGTCCCTGAGAGCTCAGGTGGTGGGCAGCTTGCCAGGTGTCCTCCCTCCTTAACCTCTGAGCCACTTCCCGGACTTTGCTCCTGCTGTTCCCCCACCCCACGCTCTCACCGCGATTCAAATCCTACACATCCTTCAAGACCCGGTTCCCCCCGACCCCCGCACCTCAGTTTCAGGGCCTGCTCTCCTGTAACACCTGTTGGGTGCAATATATACCAACCCTCCCAGCATGTCCACAACTCAACAATACTTGAAAACTTCCAATGAGCCTAGCTAGCAGGGATGTTTCCCTGATGCACAACTGGAATCATTAAGACAAGCATGGAACTGACACTTTGTCACTTACATGCATTTCGTTTCAGATCCTCACAACCACCCTCTGACTGAGAGATTGAGCCTCATCCCATTTTACCGATGAAGAAATGACATTTGGGCAGAGCCCTCAATGATGACAAAGAGCCAGTTATGGTGGAAAGAGCTCAGAGCAGATTCAGGTTGGCATATTGTGGCTAGCGCGAGAATTTTCTGGAGCGTGGGTGGTAGGAGCTGCCTTCAGAGGGATGGATCAGGGACAACTTATACTGTTTGAATGTCATCTTAAGTTTAAAAGGAAGCTGTAGGAAGGTTCTGAGCGGGGGGATGACAAGATGACTGTGACTGCTCAGAAGCTCGTGCAGAGGGACTCACGAACATTACAGTTGACTTCGTACCATTGCCCATATCAATCTTTTTTCTTTTCTTATTATAAATAGGGCTGGGGTGATTGCTATTTCTCTTAGATTCATTCCTTGAAGTCGGATTTCTGGATGGACAAAACTGTGAGACTTTTGATCTATCACAAGAGTTTTGAGGCGTCGCCTAGATAATAAGCCCCTATTAGGTGTCCCCACCGGTCCTGAGGTGGTTAACCTGAAGCCTAAAATTCTGGCAGCTTCCCTGCAATTTTTAAAACGCCTCTAACGATTGGCCAATAACTTTTCGTTCTAAAGAAACAGAGGACACCATTGGCTAGAGTTACTCAGGCAGGAAGGCGGACTCCAGAATGTTAGGTCTGTAGTTGCCATAGCGACGGGGAAGACTGGGAAAGGCCAAACTCATCCCAGGGGGACCCGATGAGGTAGGAGGCAGCTCCTGTCTGGGCACCGGTCCCAGGGTCATGGGAGGAGGACCTGGTGCACCCCATGGGACACCCACTGAGACCCCGGCCTCCAGGATGCTTGAATTTCGGTGCTTACTAGGTGATGGCCTGAGGGCGGGAAGAAGCCACCTTTGGAGATGACCCTCCCTGGCGCCCTCAGAGTCCCCGCCTGAAAAGTGGTGACTATAACGCCAGCATGCCCGCCCCTCGGAGCTTCTGTGAGGGGCGTGGGCGTCTGACTCCCCTGCCTCAGCCCCCGAGAGTGTACAAACGTTTGGGGGCCGCGGTGCCTGGCAGCCGGTGGGCGACAAAGAGCAGAATTCTAACTCTAAGAGCCGAGCTCCTTAGGTCTCCCTCTGGGAACATCTTTCCTGCTCCGGGGCTCAGTTCAGCCGTCTGTAAAACGACAGCGTGAGATTGGAATCTAGTGGTCACTAGCTGGCTGTGAAACTTTCTGACACGTTTTCTCAGCTTATGAAAAATATCAAATGGGCCATTTACCTGCGAATGCTTCAAAAAGTGTAAAACATTTCCAAGGTGCACCATAGCATTATAATTGAATGAATAAAAATCGCATAGTCAAAACTACTCATGCAAATCCCATTAAGTAACAGTATACATGGTTTAGCATATATTGATATGCCCTATACAGTAGCATACATGTATAAATGCATAAAATATGTGATAATACTATAACACAAATGAGAAAGGTTTTTTTTTTGAAAAACATAAAAATGGTAGAATGAAAACATGCCAATAGTTGTAATCATGGCAAGTAAATCTTTATAAAATGTAACTCCTGAAGGAAAGAGTTGTATTATGAGTACATCTATACACATTGTTGCCAAAATGTGTTTACTCCTAGTAAACATATTCACTAATTGGGTCCACAAATATTTATTGAGTAACTACTATGTACCAGCGAACAGACTGGGGATTCACTTATGGACATTCTCTTGGGGAAGAGCATAAAGAAATACACATAAAATAAGATATTGGGTAGAAAAAATGTTATGGGAAAAATAAGGCAGGGTCCGTGGCTAGAGAAGATGGGGTGGTGCTTCCTGAGAGTGGCCAAGGAAGTCATCCCTAAGGTCTGAGCAGAGACCCAGATGAATCTGATGACAAGACCAAAAGATGATGCCCAATATAGTGAGGGGAGCAATCCCCGTGCAACAAGTGGGTATTTCAGAGGCTGAAGAGGTCCCTTATGGAGAAGAGGATTAGTCTTTAGGTAGTACGATATCACAGCTGCCTTTAAAAACTTGAAGACTACTCACAAACAACAGTGACTTTCAAACTTTTTTACTTTGACCCATAGTTAGAAATACATTTTATATTGTGACCCAGCACACACACATACATAATAAACAGAATTAACAAAATGCTATGGACTATGGCCTGCATTTTGAAAATTACCCATGTGGAAGAAGGGTGAGACTTAATCTCGGCTGATTTCAAGGGTTGGAATTAGGCTGAGTGGGGCGGGGGATGGGGGGAGGAGAGAGAGAGAGAGAGAGAGAGAGAGAGAGAGAGAGAGAGAGAGATGCTTTGATACAGTTAGGGACTTTTTACAATTAGAACTACCCAACAGTGAACTGCCTCAAGAATTTTCTTTTCTTTTCTTTTTTTTTTAATTTGTATTCACTTCTAGTAATGATATGCTATGAAGACACATGGCATACCATTATAGGCACTTTAAAGGGAAGACTTTACTTTTGCATGGTGTCTGGCTGTGTAAACTACTGACAAAAAGAACACAGTATTCAGCCATGCCTTGCCTCAAGAATTTTCAAGCTGAGTTGTAGGAAACCCCAACATTCTGTGAAAATTCAAGACAGCCTCAAATGTTAAGAAAATGAGAAGGCAAGCCTTGGACTGGGAGAAAGTATTTCTAAAACATATATATAATAAAGGGCTGATATCCAGAATATATTAAGAACTTTTACAACTCAATAATAAGATCACCCACTCATTTAAAAAAGGACAGAAGATTTGAGCAGACACATCAACAAAGAAGGTAAACAAATGGCAAGTGAGCACATGAAAATGTACAAATCAAAGCGACAATGAGATACTACTCTAGAACCACTAGAATTGAACAAACTACTGATACATGCAACAGCATGGAAGAATCTCAAAAGCATTGTGCTAAGCGAAAAAAGACATACAAAAACAGTGTATACTGTATGATTACATATATATGACATTCTAGAAAAGGCAACTATTATAACCAAAAGCAGAGCAATGGATGCCAGGCACCAGGGTTGGGTGGATATTGATTGGAAAGAAACAGAAAACTTTTGGGACAGATGGATATATTTATATCTTAATTGTGCTGGTATTTAACGTAATTTTAAACATTTGCCAAAGTTTAGAATTGTACACATAGAACTACTGAATTATATTGTATGTAAATTATCTCAATGAAGATAAATTTATAAAATGCAAGCCTTTGATAGCTCTGGAAGCACCATCAGCCACAAACACTTCAGAGCTCCTCGTACAGGCAGTGAGTGCAATGTGCTTGCAACTTGAGGTCAGAGATCCTGGTAAATCTTGGCCTCTACCCACAGGATTACTTTGTCTGTAGAGAGAACAGAACTCAGTCAACATAATTAACAAAAACTGTGAAGTGATCCCTACAAATACTGTATCTGGCTGTTTCAGGTGCTTGGACGAACATGTCGTAGTAGAGTTTTTCATCAAACAAATGAAACACATCGCAGAACTTTGCTAAGATGAACACCTCTGCACAAAAAGATGAACAGCCTGGCCAAAAACATTCCAGAATTGTCAACAAAGTCCAGAAAGGTCTAGTGAATTTAATAACAGGTGTCTGGGAGGGAGGATTTAAATTTCATATTTGTATGTAAGTGTATCCATTTATACTCATAATTCTGTATTTTATACAGGATCCGGCAGAAGTAACGCCTCCTTGAGTGTGGTTGGTAGAGTAATAATGTAGGTGTAATAATCTATAGTTTTAATTTGAACATTGCACCTAAAATGTCATATGATATGCTTGAGTGTGATATTATTGTGTTACAGAATTATATGCTTATGATTGTGTAATAAAAGATTTTGTAATGGAAAAGGGACATTATTTGTGCCGGACCCTGTATTTACCCAAGTATTTACTATTTGCAGGGTTTTTTCATCCCTTCAGGTAGGTACAGATTCCCAACTGGTATCATTTTTTTTTCTGCCTGAAGGAATTCCTTTAACATTTCTTATAGTTCCAGTTTGCTGGTGATTAATTCTTTATATATATATATGTCTTTATTTTGCTTTTGTTTTTGAAAGGTATTTTACCAGGTATAGGATTCTAGAATGACAGGTTTTTTTCATCTCTTCCCTTAAAGATGTTTTGTCCAACAGTAGTCTGCTGTCTCGTATTTGTTCCTTTTGTATGTAACGGGTCTTCTTTTTTCCCTGCCTAATTTTAAGATTTTATCACTTTTTAAAAGCAATTTGATTTTTAAAGCCAATTTATTTTATTTTATTTTTCTAATTTATAAGTCATGTTTATTCTATTACAATTGTCTCAATTTTCTACCCTTTACCCCCCCTCCACCCATCCCACCCTCCACCCCCCAATCCCACAGTCAATTCTCACTCTGTTGTCCATGTCCATGGGTCATTCACACATGTTCATTGTCTAGTTCCTTCCCCCTCTTTCCACCATTGTCCTCTTTGCCCCTCCCCTCTGGTCACTTTCAGTCTGCTCCATGTTTCTGTGCCTGTGGTTTATTTTGTTCATTAGTTTATTTTGTTGAAAGAGTCCACTTATAGGTGAGATCATATGGTAATCGCCCTTCATCAACTGGCTTATTTCACTTAGCTTAATATTCTCCACCTCCATCCATGCTGTCGCAAAAGGTAGGAGTTCCATCTCTCTTTCTTTCTTTCTTTCTTAAATGCCCATTGATTTTATTTATTTTTTAATGTCAAAGTTAATTATAAAATATTTTTAAAAATTTAAACCATTATAAAGTCTCAACAATTAAACCAACATGACACCAGCACAGAAATAATCAAGTAGGTCAATGAAATATAATGAACATTCTAGAGATAAATGTATATATCTGATTAATATACGTATGATTAAGTTGATATTTCAAATCAATGGGTAAAATAAGGCTTATTCAACAAATAAGGTGCATGGACCACTGTTACTTGAAATAAAACAAATATAGAGCCCTATTTCACACATTACACAAGAAATATTCAAGTGAGTTAAAAATCAATATGTATAATCTAAGGAGTTTTAGGAGAAAACACAAACTAATATTTTTCATGACCTCAAGTAAAATATTCAACCTCAGAAGCTATAAAGTAAATATTGACAATATGACTATATTAAACTTTTAACTATATAGTAATATACATATAAAAAAGTTAAAGGACAAGGAATAGAATAGAAAAGTATTTGCAACACATCTAAAACATGGTTAATAGGTTTGTTTCTTTTTTTAGAGTTAAAAGTAATTTGATTATTTTATGTGCCATGGTGCAGTTTTATTCGTGTTTCATGTGCTTGAGGTTCATGGACTTTCTTGGACCTGAGAGTCTATAATTTTTATCCAATATGGAAATTTTTCATTTTTTTCTTGAAATAATTTTGTTCTCCCTCCTCTCTTTGGAGGGTCTAATTGCATGTATATTAGCCTTTGGAAATTGTCACACAGCTCACTGATATTCTGTACATTTTAATTCTTTTTCTCTTTGTGTCTTATTTGGGGTGGTTTCTATTTCTGTGTCTTCAAGTTTACTGGTCTTCCCCTCCTCCCCCTAGTGCGTAGTCTAGTGTTAATCTCATCTAGTGCATTTTTAACCTCAGATATCTTAGTTTTCATTATAAAAGTTTGACCTGGATTGTTTTTATATCTTCCATGTCTCTAATATGTGTTAATTTTTTTCTATAGCTTCTTGAACATATTGAATATAGGTATTATGGCAGTTATAATATCCTTGTGATTCTCATCTGTATCATTTGAGTTGATGTCAATGATTTTCTCCTTGTTATAAAGTATATCTTCTCCTTTCTGTGCATGCTCATTAAGTTTTTAGTGGATGCCAGATATTTTGAATTGGGTCTATGTATTTTTTGTAGTCCTGTCAGTTCTTGTGCTTTATTCTGAGATACGCTTAAATGACTTAGAAACAGTGTGAACTTTTGAAGTCTCAAGTGTAAGCTTTGTTCTTTGGAACTAGAGCAGTATTTAACCTAGGGATAATTTTGCCCTGTGTCTGAGGCAAGGCCCTTCTGCACGCTCTAGGTTCTATGAATTAAGAGGTTTTCTACTCTGACTTGTGGAGCAAGAACTATTCCTGGCCCAGGGTGCATTCAGGTGTTATTCACCCTAATTCTTTCAGTCAGTTCTTTCCCCAGCCTTGGGTTGTTCCCTCATATGCATGTGCTGATCAAGGGGACCACAAAAGGGGACCCCAGCGCACCTCTTCCGAGCTCTTTCTCTGTGTCACCCTCTCTTCTCTGGTTCTGTGTCCCATGAAGTCTGACCCTCAGACCTTTCTGGGCTCCCAGATCAATTTCCTTGGAGACCACCAAGCACCTCCTGCATGCCTCCTTCCTGTGCCGTGGCCTGGCAATTTCTCCAGTAAGCAGTAAGCTTGGGTAATCCCGATGCAAGCTGAAATGTTTCCTGATTCCAGCGACCCCTATCCTTTGTTGCTTGATGTTCCGTGTCTGAAAATTATTGTTTCATATATTTTGTCCATTGTTACCTTTTTTTCCCCCTGTTAGGAGGACAGATCTAGCCCCATTTTGGTTGGAAATGGAAGGTCAGTTATCTAGAGAGTTGTTTAAAAATCGTATTTTTTTCCTTGGTGGGTCTCATGGAGGGCTGCTCTGGTATACACTATCCCACCACAGCCAGAAGCCATAGCATTTGATCTCCTTTTCAGCCAAGGAGAAACCTTTCCTTCTGCCAGGGGAATGTCTTCCCTTTTACTTTTAATCTTTAAAAAAAAAAAATAACCCCTGTTTCTTTACTGCCTCCTCTGCAAACCCAAGTTATTCTACTGACTTGGCTTTTAGAAACAAAAGCTAGGAAGCCTTGCATCTACTGCTTTCTGATTTGCTCTCTAGCTCTCTTAAAGAAAAAACAAAACAAAACAAAAAAACGTAGCCGTCTACCTACTTAAATAGGAGATGGAGGGAGATGAGAGGGAAAGAATAAATCTACCATATACAGATATTGCCCAATATTTTCTAACCAGACATATATTCTGCTTCTTTTACTTGCTTCATCCACAACCCAGACAAATTAGGCTAGTTTGCCCCCTCCCCAGTATGTCATTCATTCATTTACTGTCTATAAGCCAGGCTCAGAAAGAGGGCACACAGCTTAGAGTTTAAGAGCCTGAGCTTATCAGACAAACTGTTCGAACCTCAGGTATTGTATTATTAAGTGTCGCTGTGTGATTTGGACGGGTAACTTAATCTCTCTAAGCCTCGGTTCCCTAATCTGTAAAGCTTGTTGGTAACAGTACCTCCTGAGGAGCCCCTGTTGGCATTGGGCTCTCCTGCCTGACATCCAGTTTTGTTTTTTCAAAAATTCAGAGATTGAGAAATGGGCCTTAAAGGCAGTTTCCATGCCACCTCGCCCCCACGCTAACACAGCCTTTCTTTCGTTCTCTCGGCTACCCTTTCTCACTACTGCACGTTTCCTCTCTGAGGGGGAGCAGTCTCGTTGAGGTAACTTGGTCCACTCTCGTGGACATGCAGCCAGGAGAGCCCCCCACCCCGAATCTGGCTTGGATGTCAAGACCGATGGTGCCACATACAGATCAAGGGATGTGAAAAGGTTTATTACTCACGTAATGAGCTTTTTCTGGGGGAGAGACGGGCAGGCTTCCTAGCCTGGCCTGACAACAGCTTGAGAGAGCAGGGAAAGGAGTCTTACCTGGCGTTTTACTGGGGTTGGGAGATGGGGCTGGAGTGAGCACAGAGGTTTGCATGGTTGAACTTCTAGCCCGTAGCAGAGGAGGGAGCATCTGGGCCTTCTCATTAGCTTACCCAGACGTGGGGCAGAAAGGGAAGGGGGATGGGTAAGGCTTGAAAGCTGTCAGCAACCAAACACTAAAAATTGGAGTCAGGTTCTCTTCCACTCATACACTCACAGGGTAGGGTTTGTAGTCAACCTGGCGCGCAGATAGATGCCGCCCGTGGAATCAATATTGTGGGCATTCTCCCATACATGGGGGGTGGGAGGAGGGAAAAGGGGGATTTCATGTATCATTTATTCATCACGACCGAGATGTATAAAATTGTAATTTGATTTCCTATAAACGATGACCTTCTGCTTTTTAACCCCACGTCTGCTCAAAGCAGAGAGCTAAACTTACCCTGTTTTGCACAGTGCCCTAAAAAGTGAGGGAGCCCCACTCTGGGATTTCCCTGCCTCTCTGGATCTGTATGGAGCTTTGCTGATGCATGATTCTGGCCCTGGGACCAGTGATGGTTTTGTGTCCCCTTCCTGCTTGGCAAGAACGCCTTCCCTGTCAGATCCTCCCTCTTCCCTGCGACAGTTCACTTCCACTGTGTTACCAAGTCTCCCTAGTTTAAGAGCTGGAGGGGGGAATCCTAATAAATTACCAAGAGGGAAAATGAAGTGGGGAACAGTTTTTTAAAAATCCAGTTGCAAGTTTATCTCTCATCAAAAGGCAAGTCTTCCTTCTATTCTATTTAAGATAAAATGTTAATATGCAGCTCTGTGTTTTCTGCATTTGCCAGCTCTTTGTTCTGTGCTAATTTTTGTTTTATTTTTGTTTAGGTTTTACTGCTGCATATCCAACACAATCCTCCATTCCTTTTAAATATAAGCCTTCAGTAGTTCAAGAATCAGAAAAAAAAGGATTTAATAGCCAAGCCAAGAGATTTTATCTTAAGACGGTAATGACATTGTCTTGGAGATTCGTTACTTGTAGTCTGGATTAGATAGACTGGGGACAGGCAGGAAAGCCCGGATGGTGCGTCTGCTCCTGTGACCAGTAGAGGGCAGTGTTATGCAAGGAGCCACAGCAGCCTCTCCAGCTTGCTGTCTGGCTTTATGAATGGGCACAGACACAGATTGCGGACTGGTTGCCAGAGGGCAGGGAGATTGGGGGACTGGGTCAAAAAGATGATGAAGGGATTAAAAAGTACAAATTTGTAGTTACAAAATAGTCACTGGGATGTAAAAAGTACAGCATAGGGAATATAGTCAATAATATTGCAATAATTATGTATGGTGTCAGGTAGGTGAGCACTGGAAAGAGCAGGAAGCAGGGGGTGGGGGAGGGGGACTTTGTAAAGTATATGATTGTCTAACGCAGCGATTTTCAACTAGTATGTCACGAGAGGCACACGAGAATTTTTAAAACATGCAGTACCTAACTATTTAGTTGGGAGCAATGACCTCTTTTCCCTTAGATTGTTAAATGAAAAAAATGACAACAGCCAACACAATAGTAGTTGTCCAGTGTGAGTGAATGAAAACTATACCTATTTTTTTGTCATATTGGCAAAAAAATTATATATATATGTGCTGCAGAATTTTAGTAATTAGCTTTGTGTGCCATGAGATTTTTAAAATGTTGAAAATTGTTGGTCTAACCACTATGCTGTATACCTGAAACCAATACAAAATTTTACTGAAAGTAAAAAATACTTAAGAATTCAAAAAAAAAAAAAAAAGAGAATGGGCTGGCAAGATGAAATCTAGGGGAAACGCATGTGACGACTTATGGTGCTGCACTGAACCAAACAACATTTTTTTAAAGAAGAAATGCATTTTAAAATTATTATAGAGATAAAACATTCCAAAATCCCAGAGATAAAAGTAAAAGGTAAAAATCTTTTCTCTTTCTCTACCAGGCTCTTTCCTTATAACATGAAAGGAAATGAGATTTTCTTCAAATAACATAAAAGGAAAAATAAAAATCTAATAAATTTAAAATGACCTCTGTTATGAGAGCCCCCCATTTTTAGACTTCTTTTAACAATGTGTTACTACTGTTCCTGCATTTTCTCCATTTTCACTCTCTCCCTCAAATTATTTCCTCTTTGATCCAGAAGGTTCTGCTTGGCTTCTTTCTGAGAGCTCCTCACCTAACTGGGGATTTCACCTGCCAACAGGCTTAGGAATCTGACCTTCTCCTCCCTCACCAGCAGGGGGCTCAAACAACTTGCAAACGTTTTGAGTTTTTCTCTAAAATCTTCATTCCTTTATTCATTTGATCAAGACCTTTAGAATAACTTTTTTTTTTTTTGAGTAATCATCATCTCAGTTACCTTTTGTCGCATTCTAAAAGTGCTTTTCCTCTTACCACCTTGCCAAGATGGTGGGGAGGGAATGAGGAGATCTAGGTTCTGAATGATGCAGAAGAGTCAGGAGGGATTTGAGGGCTTGCCAAGGCTTTGCCCCTTGCCTGTGCCTTCTTGTAAAGCAGAATGGTGAACTAGAGAACACTTACGTTCCTTCCACTTCTGGTATTTTAGGATTCTAAGAAAGCCAATAATAAAGCCTGTAGTCTAGTGTATACACTCTCTCACACACACACATATGTATTTTTAATTACTTACAGGTTTTCCCCAAAGATAATAAATATTTGCTTAGAGTTTCCTCTCTTCTCTCTGTAGTTTCTCTGTGTTTTAACTGTCCATCTGTCTGTCTCCTTTTTTGGTCTGGTTTCCCATTTGGTAATTTAACAATAATACGTTGTCCATCTCTAGGATATTTGCAGTCCAGCCTCCAATAAAAATAATAGCAGCCACCACTTACTGAACCCCACTATGGATGAAATCATTTTTAGACCACATCTCTAATCCTCAGAACAATGCTAAAGGGAAGGGTTTATTATCTTAACAGAAGAGGAAACCTGAAGCTTAGGGAAGTTAAATGACCCGCCCAGGGTCACACAACACAGGGTTTGGCACATAAGAGGCCCTACATAAATATTTGCTGAATCAGTTGAAAGACTTAAACCACAAACCAGGTCTAGCTCACTCCAAAGCCTCATGCTCTTTCCACACACTGCACCACACCTCCCTCTGTGGCCTGCAAAGCCACAAATTTGATCTATGGAAGTCAGAGAGCATGTTTCTGAAAAGGACTTAGCAAAACAGACCAAGCTCAAGATAGGGGAAGACATCAAGTAATGTGTATAAGACTCCATTCTACTTGATGTAGTGCCAAAGATGCAAATACAGAAATGGAATGGGCTGGCTTTTAGAGTTAGTGTCGTAAATTACTATTGACTTTCAGGAAATTTCTGCTGAAGGAACCAAGTTGACAGACAGCAAAATCTATAGGCAGCATCAAATATGGAGAAATAGCTCAGAAATTTGATTCGTACTTTTCAAATGTGGTCACATGGGCTTGACAACATGAAAACTATCACCTAAGTATTTGAAGACATTAGGTAAATAAGTACAAAATTTTGCGGAAAGGGCAAGGAATCCATAAATCAGGTTCCCTGTGTTCTTTCTGTTACTAGCTGTGTGCCTTTAGTCAACTGACTTTTCTGGGCTTCAGTTTTCTCATCTGAAACATAAAATTTGGATTATATAATTTTATTAGGTTCTTCAAGCTATGAAAACAGGAAAAAACAATGTCTTATTCTATGCTCATTGTTCTCATTTTTCCTGAGGGAACGGGGCATTGAAAAGTTAAGGATCTTGTTTAGCATCACCCAATAATTTAGTGAGGCAATATGAATTAAAAACAGATTTTAAAATCCAGTGTCTCACCGCCCTTCTTAAAATATTGCTCGCACACACCCTGTGCCTGATCTCATAACTTGGTTGTGGCCTCAAATTAATTCTGTGACCCACTTAGCACGTCTGACATTGGTGCCCTTTGAAATGTGCACTTACCTTATCAGTCTAACTTTGCAGGAAACGCCAAGGCCTCGTTGCCCAGCTCACTTTCCCCGTAAGAATCTGACTTCTGGGTACAGGGAATCCTTCACGGAGCTCCGTCTCTGGACTGACATTTCTGGCTGCTGGAAGTGCAGTCTGCTTCCTGAACACTTTACAGTTATTTACAGGTGTGCTGGTGACTCCCGTACGTGAAGAGACATGTCCAACCCAGGCCGGAGTGCGGCCCAGGAGCCCGCTGGCCATTTTCTTCCCCCACCTCCCCATTTCTGTCCCTGTTTCCCCCTGGACTGTGTTTACTGTTTCCCGAGCTGCGTAACACTCAGGACACCCACTTAGTGTCTTTGCATCTGTTTCTTCATCTTAAAAATAAGGATGTTGTCATAGGCAGGCCCTCTCCAGGGATTACTGTTCTTTGATTCTAAACCTGATTGATCTCTCTAGGCTCAAATAAGTGGGCAGTAGTAGGATATGGGCACCATATCCTCTGGATGGGCGCGATTTCAAAATATATGTTAATTTCATATGTAGCCTGACAGTAAATCTACCCTCTCAAATGGTAAGCAGGCTGGGGTTTAATGGGTGGCGAAATTGTACAAAGTTAATACTGTTCACTTATTAACTTGATAAGGACCGGACCAGGGGTATGTTACAGGGCAGGGATATTTCATGAAAATAGCTCATGCATAGACCACCGTGTTCAAGGGGATAATTACCCCAAGTGTGCACTCAGTGGCAGGTCTGAGCCACAGCAGGGCCTGCCCGACCTCCCCGCCCTGGAAGCCTGGCTTCTCTACATCAGTCCCAGTGCCCTCCCCGAGGGGTCTGCAGGGCACGCTCCCGGAAACAGCAGGCGCAGGCTGGCACCGACAGCGTGCCAGGCGGCCCTCAAAGACCTTTGCCGTTATGCATTCATTTCACCCCCGTAACAGCCCTGGGAGCTACCTCCCATCATCATCCCCACTTTTCAGATAATGACCCCAAGACACAAGGAGGGGTACGTAACCTGTGCAGCCAGGGTCCAGGCAGAGTGAGGACAAACCCAGGCAGCTACTCATGGTCCCCTGACACTGTACCCCAGCATCTCCCCTGGGTGGAAGCAAGCACACCCTCCTCTGAGCTCCCAAAGCCAGTCTTATGCCCCTGAGCGCCTTCTGCTTGGCCTGATGGCAGTGGGTCAGCACGTCTTATCTCCACCTGAAGGTATGAATTGGACAGAATCTATGAAATCAGTACTAGAAAGTCCTGGCTGCATGCAGGCATCTGTGGCTCCAGGCTGTGGGACATTAAGCCCTCCCATAACCAATGGAGATCTCTGGGGTGAGGAAGGAGATGCCCTGCTCCCTCTCTTCCCTCCTCTCCCTCATCCCTCTCTAAACCCATCCCAAGGTCAAGTGAATGTAGATCTGTGCCTCACCCTTGGCACATATAGAGGCTGCCCATTTGGGACTTTAATCTTTCAAATGAGCTCTCACAGTGCATTTCAACCAGATGTCACCCCGGCGTGTATTTGGTGGGAGATGGGAGCACATCCACCTGTCATCCTTTGCTCAGTCCCACTCTGACAGTCTGTAACCTGCAAGGGAAGGTCCTCGCTCCATTGAGACGGTTGTGGGCGATGCAGAGTAGAGATGGTGAGGGCAATGGCTGCGCACACACGGCCTCGCTGTAACCTCTCTCCACACGTTGACTCATTTAACCATCACACTGAGAGGCAGGCGCAGGAGGCAGCGGCATAGCACCTGGCGTTGTGAGCTCAATAGGCAATCAGTAGAGCTCAAAGAAATAGTTCTTCTCCCTTCTCCCTTCCCACACCCATTTTTGTTTTGTTTGCTTATTTGGTTTTTTGCTCTCTGGGCTAGTCTTGGCCAAGAAAGTTTGGGGGTGGCTAGGCTCACACCAGTGGCAAGTTGAATTCTTGTTCTCTGGGTTGTGCTCTGAGAGGCTTCAACTCATCCGAGTCACACAACATTAGTCACACGAACTGTTATCCCAGAGCTGAAAGGTCTGAATTTTTATTGTTCTGCCAGAGAGCCATGCCCTGCCTCTCACAGTTGTGGGAGAAGGCTTGGATTCTCTGCGGCTGGACATTTCCCTTCAAGTAACTTAGAAGCCTGCTTGGGTGTCATGTGAAGCTAGCAAATGATGTGCTGGTAAACCAGCTCTCCCCTCCCCCAAGAAAAACTCTGATTTATAGCTTTTGCCAATTTCTGTGGTGTAAATACTCCCACTTCTGAAGTGTTAGCAGTCAGCCTTGCAGGCTGCCACCTCTTGCTGCCTGGAGGACTCATCTTGGACATCCATGAAGAGCAAACAGGCAGCAATTCCCTCTCCAGGTGAAGAGGGACACTCCTCTTCTTATTTGGCCTGGACTCAAACCACTTTGCAATGTGGCAGAATTAAAAAGTGATTAAGGTCCGGTAGGGCTGCAGATTTAGCAAAATGAAAGTACAGGATTCCTAGTTAATTTAGAATTTCAGGTAAAAAAACAGAGAACTATTTTACTGTAAGTATGTCTTAAATAGCGCATGGGAATACTTACACCAAAATAGCTCTTTGTAGCTTATCTGAAATTCAAATTTAAGCGAGCAGCCTTGCAGGCCTTGTATTTTATCTGGCAGCCCTAGCTCCTCAGGCACTATAGGTGCCCAGAAACTTCTTGTGAGCTGATGGCTTTGTCGAGAGTGTGGCAATGGGCCGGGAGGCAGAGATGTGTCTCTTCACTGTTCACTCCTTAAACCTAGAAGAGAAGAAAACAAAACAAAATAAAAATAAACAAAAATAAACCTAGGAGAGTCACAGTCACATTTCTGGCTTCCTTTCCCTTGGTTTAGGGACTTTGAAACCCAACAGGTACCCAAAGACATTTAGTCCAACATCTTTGATTTACAAATGGGGAAATTTAGGTCCAGGGAGGTGACTAGCTCAAGGTCACCTAGCTAGTAGCAGCTCTGGGAACAAAAATTTCTGACTCACAGACCAGTGAAATTTTTTTCTTTTATCCTACACACTTAGTGGTGAAAAGTAGTCTCTGTACTCAGACTGCCTGGGTTCAAATCCTGGCTCTGAACAGTTCCTGGCTCTGCAACTTTGGGCCTTATCTCTTTTGGTCCTGTCTTCTCATCTTTCAGATGGGGATGAAATGAGTTAGTGCATGGAAAGTACTCAGAACAGCACTGAGCACACAGTGGCCACTTGATAAATAAACGCGGGCCCTGCACGCAGCCCCCCTAGAAAAAACTGTTCTTCGTTCCCCTGTAGCCCTCGAATCTGCACCCGCGTGCCAGGATTCTTCTGAACTGGGCCCAGGGTGCCCGCACCCCTGGCCGCGCTGCATCTCCCATGGCAGACCTCACTCTCCCTAGCACTCGGTCCTCCCTGTCCCCTAGGGATCCTCACCAGCTACAGGACAGGAGCCGGCTCCCTGGCCCCACCCACAAGGCTCAAAGGATTCACTGCATTTAAAATTCAGCACAGAAGAACCTGTGAGTAGCACAGATGACCTTCTCCTTTATATTAAATCATAATCACACACTGCTCAGGCCAGAGTGGAAAATCCTTAAGGGCCCTGATGATACCTGAAGCTTTTGTTCCACCCCAAGGAAGGCAGTAGGGATGGTGGAGACAGCAGAGAGAGCGAACTCTCGAGTCATCATTTAACAGCTGTGGACCCAGTGTCTCTGGGCCTCAGTCTCCTTAAAACGGGCCTGAAAATACCTCCACATCAAAGGAACTGTGTACACCCTGCGTTTAGCACTGAATTCAGGTGCTGCCACTCACAGCAGAGGAAACATAGGCAGATCCATCTCTACATGCTGTAGTGTCTCCATATATTAAATGAGGGCAGTAATCCCTTCCACATCAGAGGATTAACGAGACAACCTTTGAAAAGCTCCTGGCACCAAGTAGGCACCCAGTAAGCTCTCGAGACAGAGGAGCATCCTTATCATTTCATGCTTCTTGCCCAGCCAACTTCTGTCAACATTCATTTCCCCTGGTGACTAGTATGGGAAATGAGATGAAAGTTCAGTCAATGACTACAGCAGAAATCGGCTTAGAAATTAAACTTTTGTTTACTCCTCTCTAACATACGTGCATCATTTAGCACCTGAGCCCCACGCGCTGCCTCTTTTTGCCTGAGAGTTAGAAGCGGTCTTGTTTCGGATGAAGGTTGTTTTTGTTTCATTTTGCTTTATAAACAGAAACACTCCCTGATTTTTCTCCTGAAAGGCTGAGGAGGAAGCTGAGTCAGGTGAGGTGTGGTTACGTGAAATCGGTCACCCTCCCCTCCCCGTGGGCTTGGCTTACCCAATCAATGTACACTGACTTGCACATCAGCCATAGTTAATATCGCATTTTATGCTCATTTCTTTAATGGCGTAAAAACAGCAGCAGTACAGCATATAGTAAGTAGAAAGAGCAAGGGCTTTGGGGGTTCTAGCCCCAACACTTGGCAGCTGAGACAGCGCCTAGGCAGGTTAGGAGATGGTGGAGCTCAGTTGTCATTGCGAAGTGACGGTAGTGCCTGTCCTGGCGGATTATGACGAGGCTTAGTTTTAATGAATGTAAAGCTTGGGGAAAAGTGCCGTGGAACTGAATGTATCCTGATGACGCTCTGTACCCTGCCCTTTCAGGACGATCTCCCAGGACCTGGGTTCTACAATGTCACCCACCAATCTCCAGTGTCCAACAGTGTCTCGCTATCTAAGAAAGGAACGTGCACTTTTCCCTCTATGGTGAGAACCCCTGCTCTTGAGTATGGGCATTAACTGATCAGTAATTTCCTTCATTTGTTGCATAATCATATATTGGATATCTGGTGCCTTCTCTCCCAAGGCCCGTGGTTCCAGTTAGTAACCGCCTCCCCAAGTTTCATGCAGGTACATTGGAGCTCGTGTCTTTAATTTTTTTCCCCCATCCCTACACAGTGCCAGAACCTAATCATCCAAAGTCAATTTTGTCATCACAGAGTAGATTAAGCAAAAGTCTTCCTGAGATTTTTAGGCATACCTGCAAAAATTTCTTATTATGCACCTTGCCCTAATATGATGTTTTACACTGCTTAGTCTAATTGGATTATTAAAATTATTGAGAAATCTGATGGGACCAAAATGAAAGCAGGCAGAGGGTCTGAAATTTAGCAATGTTCCTCCCCTCGCTCTTTCTCTTCTTTGTGAGATGCAGCTCTTTATCTCTGTGGAGGGCTGACAATCAAGGAGCTCTATGAAGTGCCATTGTTCTTGACCAGGCTTGGGCAGAGATAGTGTTTATTTGAATATTTATAAATGGACAAAAAAAAAAAAAGATATAGCAAGGGGAAGGGTCAAACTAGGATAAGACTGACTGAAGCAAAAAAAGTAAAAAAGAAAACAAACCCAAATTCTAGTATTAACAAAACACATATGCCATCTATCCCTTTAAAAATTCTAATGATCTCTTGCAAAAATGCGTTATGATGCCTGATATTGGAGTTGATTTTTAAACACACACACACACACACACACACACCCCTTTAAGACACACTGAATGTGGCTACTTATTGGAATGCAAGTTTGGTAGAGCTGGACACTCCAGGAGCGAGCCGTCTCCGAAGCTGTCTCGCCGTTAGCGAAGCAGCTGAGGGTGCACGGCCCCCAGACTTCACAGAACAACCACGCCTCTCCTTTGTCTTCTGCCCCAGGCCTTGGGAGTAGAGACTCCAAAGCGATCAGCAAAAGAAGTGCCTTGTCTAACAATGTCCTGGCACAGGAGACAAGTCTTAAGACCTAATCCTGACTCAGCTGTGGATCCCTGAGGTGACCTCCCGCACGGCAGCCTGCTGTGTTAAGTTGGCTCATGAGTGGAGACTCCCTGGAGGCGCAGGGCACGTTAACATTGCAATGAGTGGAAAACCCTTTGAAACTGCAGAGCATTATAAACAGGTTGAATGTTATGATTGTTACCACCTGAGTCACAAACAATACTTCCTGCAACACCTAGATTTTCTCTGTGAACTTCTTTGCCACATGAAGAAGTGGCACTGCCCATTCCTATTTGGTGCCAAAGAATGGGCCAAATCAGAGGAGGCATGTGGCCCGTTCCCTGCTAGGCTCTACATGCAATAACTTTCCAAAGGGCACGCAGTGCCGTCGGGAGGAGCTGGGGCCCAAGCGAAGGCCTGAGTATTACAGAATCAAATCAGGCCTTACCAATCTTGAAAAAATTCAATCCAAACCCCAAATGAGGCAGACACTGAGTTGTTCAGGCTTCCTCTCCCCTTCTTGATGGATATGAGAATGTATATCTATGTTTATAAACACTTAAGTTTTCATATCCTTGAGCAAGGGCCTTAAGTGGTTGGTGGAAATCTGTCAGGAGATTCCCCACATCTTGCTCGGTTCCTTTCTGATCTGGATGTGCACTTCATACCTCCACCTTCTGTTAGTGACTTTCACCTTCAGCAGCTCCTCCATTTCTGGATCTGAAGACTCTGAGGGCGTTTAAAGGAGCCTTCATCAGGGAAAAATCTGCCTTGCCGACACTGGTATGGCCAGGAGGAGGGGGACTGTGGGTGAGGCTGACCAGAACACCCTGGGTCTATAAATTTGAGAAGCTTCCTGATGACGATTGGAACAGCAACACCCAACCTTTTGAGAGGACCTGTCATCTCCCTAAGTCCAAACTATAGATGAACTATATTAATGTATCCCAAATCTTTCAGAATTATTCACAGGACTGACCAGGAAGGGAAATGAGGCAGGTGGGAGGAGACCTTGATGGCCTTTCTATATTTGCATGATGGCAGGAGTGGTTCTGGAAAAGGTAGCATGTGCTGGAGAGAGGTTCATAAATGCCAGCATGTGGCCAGATTGGAGGCCACAGACCTGGCAGTTAAAAGAAAGCCAAGGGCAGGGAGGGCTGGTGAGGGAATGTTACTTCAGCTATACTCCGAGACAAATGTCAATGCTTTACGAAACATTGCCTCTGATTGGAATTTTTTAGAACAATTTCCCCCCAAATGCCTGTGAATAGGTTTTCTAGGCCAAAAAGCTTCTACGGTCCAGTCAATTTAATAAAGTCTGCACAGGTTTCTTTATTGTAGACTATCTCAGAGCATTTAATATGTCAATGAGTATTATGAATGTTCAAAATGGGAACCTGCTGTGCGATTTCTCAAACTTATTTGACTCTCAAGCTCTCCCCAGCTGCTGCCACCAGCAACACAACCTTATCTTATAGAACTGGTGCACCAAGGAACGCACGTTGGGAAATGGTGCTTTAGAAAAACATGCTTGTCCACCTGTTGGGTGACTCAAATGGTGCCACCGAGGAAGGTTTGACCTCACCACCCTTCTTCCATGGAAGTTAAAAAAAAACAACAAAACAGAGCCACAGTGTGCTGGTATCCCTGGGCAGAGGAGACATGGGGTAGTGGTTCTTCTTGAACTAAAACCTCCCACCGTCATTCATCAGCTGCTCATCTTGTCAATGACCACAGGTTTTGCTATTACTCCTCTTGACCCAGTCTCTTCAGAATGGGGTAGCTTGTCTAGATCACATAGTGGAGGCAGACTGCCTGGGTGAGAATGTTGGTTCCACCTCTTGGCTAACTGAGGAAGTTGAGTTTCCTCATGTGCAAGGTGAGGATAATCCTAATATCCACTACCCAGGGTTCCATGAGGATTAAACGCAACAACCCATGACAACTACTCAGTTAACTATTGCCCAAAATGCAAAGGCAGCCCTGACCGGTGTGGCTCAGTTGGCTGGGTGGTGTCCCACAAAGCAAAAGGTCTCTGGTTTGATTCCCAGTAGGGGCACATGCCTGCATCGCGCCCTGGTCCCTGGTTGCTGCATGTGAAAGAGGCAACCAATTGATGTTTGTTTCACACATCGATACTTCTCTCCCTTTCCTTCTCCCTCCCTTCCCCTCTCTCTAAAAATAAATAATAAATAAACTAAATGCAGCGGCAAAGTGAGTGACCTTACTTCTGGGAACGTCAATGAATCTGGACCAGTTGGAGAAGGCAGAGGTGGGACTGAAACCTGGCTTAGACTCTGAGCAGCTGAGACTCTGGACAAGAAGACTCCTGCGTCTGGTGGTACACCCACCCACATCCCAAGGGAGTCCTTGAACCAGGTGTGGAGAGCCATTGCCACTGCGCAGAGACTGAGGAGTTGGGGGAGCCACTCATGCCTTCCTACAGCCTCCCTCACTTTCTGTGCTTGTATAGTTATTGACCCCCGTCAAGCTGAGGAAACCCAGGGCAATGTTCCCAAGTGTTTAACTATAAAATAATGAGAAATATTTGGTTTTATCAGACTCGAATACTTGCCATACTATCCTAGGGTAAGGTGATGTTATCACCTAGTTTCAGTGGCTTTTGTCCCTTTTCATTGGGCAAACATTGATTCTGTTTGTTTTGTGTGTGTTTTTAAACTAAAAATAGTTTGTCATGGCTTCCTGGAAGAAGTGGAATTGGTTTTGTTGAAACAGCGAAAATATTGTAAGGTTTTATGAAATCAGTAATTAGATGGGGGGTAGGGAGTGTGGGTGGACAGGAAGTTCTCTGGAGCCTTGTACCTAGAAGGCATTAGAAGCAAACTTGTTATTTGGGCAATTCAGATTATTTAACCTTAGAAATAAGATATGATGTATCCTTCTGGGTGGAAGGAAAGCTTAGGCTGGAAGGAGAAGGTTTAAAGTTTCCATCTTATAAATTACCCAGCAGCTGATGGTGAGTCAAGTGTAAGTGGCTTGAAACAGGATTGGGTGAAAATGCATTTATGGCAAAATTATTTTTGCCAAGTCCTAACCATAAGATGAGTAATTTGAGTCCGTTTACAGAAGTTAGAACAGGTCTGAACTTGTGTTTTCCAAGAGCAAACCCTCAAAGCCTGATGTCAGTTTATTATTGTTACCTGCCAGCGCTTGACCTTCAATAAAACGCTTTTAGACCTGTTGTTGGGCACCATCACCCTGACATCTGTCCTGTGCAGCCACAGATTATGTGACAATGCTGATTCCTTTGGCTTTCTCCTCACAGAGTGCCCGACTGGACACCATAATTTCTAAGTATCCCGCAGCCAACGCGTACACTATCCCGTCATGTTTTGTTTCGAAGAAAGACTTCAGTAATTCCTGTTCCCGCATGTTCCAGTTGCCAAGCTTTGCGAAAGTTCTCAAATCTGAAACTCCTGCACCAAACCATTACAATGTAAGAACATTGCGTAGGCTTACTAAATATGTATTGAAAGAGTGGTTTACTAAAATAAAGAAAGGAAGGGGGAACTTTGGGAAACAGTATTTTAATGCAATTGGTAAACCAGTTAGCATTTGTTGGGTACCCAACGGGTACATGAGGCTGTGCAAGACTCTCAGTGGGAATTGGCAGAGCCCGGGGGAAAAGGTGGGCCACACAGAGGCCGCTGCGGAGCACGGAACGACCGCTGCCAGGGAAAATGCTCGCTGTGGTCACTCCTGCCTGGGTTCGCATCTCTAACAGCGAGTGTCATATTTACCACTTTATCTGCAGACGCTATTCACTTAATTTTTAGGTTCTTATAAGGAGAATAGACTTCTATCTTTCCATATCAGAAAATCAGTTTTTTAAGAGTAGTTCCCTGCCTATTATGACCACTTTGTAGTCACAGAGGCAGAATGGTATAATTAATGGTTAAGAAATGGAGTCAAGTTTAAATGTTGGCTCTGCCACTTTCTAACCATGTGACTTTGGGCAAGTTCCTTAACCTTTCAGAACTCAGCTTATGCGTCTGTAAAATGGGGATACATATCAAGTTCATAGTGTTAATGCAACTATTAAGCGAGGTAATCTCTGCTGAGCGCTTGGCACTGCACCTGGCGCACAAGGACTCCACAATCCGTGGAGATGGATAGAACTGTCTCTGAGGAAGACGCACTACCTCTTGAGCCTCAGTTGTAAAAAGAATTAATTATACTTGCCCTATGGGGTTATTATAAGAAGCAAATGAGACAGCAAATGTGAAAGCACTCTGAAATACATAAGGCATAAATTGTACATAAGATGTCAATACTGTTATGCCATATTTCAAAACACTTTGGACTCAGATACTTTATTTTTAATTTCCTTTTCTTTTATAATATTTATAAATATTTATTTTCCTGACTACAAAGATCCTGCCCACTTTCTAGAATTGAATTAGTTATAATGTGCTCAAAGGAATATAAGTGCCCACTAGGCCAGCACTGTCCAACAGAAGTATAATGGGAGCCATATATGTCATTTAAAATTCCCTGGTAGCCACATTTAAACGGAAAAAGGAACAGGTGAAATTAATTTTAATAGTATATTCTATTTAACACAGTATATTCAAAATATTACATCTAATCAATATAAAATTAGATGTTTTACATTTTTCTACCACACTAACTTTTTTAAATCCAGTGTATATTTTATATTTGAAGCACATCTTTTAAAAGTAGTTATTTTTAACTTTAGTTGACATTTAATATTGTATTAGTTTCAGGTGTACAACATAGTGATTAGGCATTTATGTAACTTACGAAGGGGGTCACCCTGATGACCCTGGGACCCACCGGACGCCATAGGACAGCACATCTCAATCTGGACCAGCCTTGTCTCTGATGCTCGATCCCACATGTGGCCAGGGGCTACTGTGTTGACAGCACAGCCCCAGAGAATCTTTCCCTGGGGTAATCAGAGCCTGAGAATAATGATGATGACGACGATGATGCATTTGTCATGGCCCGTGTGCTGTCATGTATTCATCTTCTGTAATATTCACAAGAATCCATGAAGTGGGTTATCTTATTTAATCTTAAATTTACAAAAGAGGAAACTGATGCTCAGAGAGGTAAAGTGACTTCCTCAACATTACCCAGCTCAAAGGAACTATTTATTTGCTTGTCGGTGAACTCAGGCAGGTGGCTGAGGCACAAAGCTGGAGAGTGGTCGGAGTCACCACGTCCTGGGCTTCCCTTCATGGGTTCTGTGGCTACACTGCACCAGACCTCTGATGCAGCTGAGATTCCGCTGGGGAGCTCAGAGCAAGAACACATGAACCGTAATTGCAAATTGTGGCCAGCTTTGAGAGAGAAAGACAGTGGAGCCTAAGAAAGACAGAATATGTGTGGAGTGGGCAGTAACATCAACTTTATACTGGGTGGTCAGGGAAGGCTCTGAGGCTGGGACCCAAGGATTGAAGAGCCAGGGCTCAGGGGAATGGCATATGCAAAGGTCCTGGGACAGCAAACAGCTTAGCCCAGGGGCAACTGCAAGAAAGTAGTTAGAGTAGCATAAAGTAGGAGGAGGGGGGCATCAGGGAATCAGGGGCCAGTTTGTCAGGGCTCTGAGACGCTGGAGGGAGTTCAGAAGTTTTTCCCTGTGTACTGGGAAGCCCTTGAGGGGGCTAGGAGGTGTGGGATAATGTCACCTGATATATTTTTTAAAGAAGCTCCATCTAGCAGCTGTATGGACTGCAGTGTGGGCTAAGAGTGGACTTTGGAAAACCAGTTAGGAAGCTGTTATGTTAACAGGAGAGAGGTGGAGGCCTGGTACAAGAGAGTGATCGTGGAGATCCTTGGTCACAGCCCTTTCCGCGTCTCTCACAGAGGTAGTTAGTGTTTCACGCGTCTGCTCCCCCAGCCCCCTGTGTGCTCCTTTGCCCAGCTTCAGGTCTCCAATGCCCAGCACAGGTCCTGGTATTCAGTAAGCATACAATAAATGTCGATGACATCAAAGGAATAAGTCCTCAGTCATTAGTATACCGTTGTTAATCTAGAAAAGAGCATTTCCCAAGTCAGCTCTGTCCTTCTGCCAATAGTTTGATTTTAGGCGCATGACTTTTTCTTATTCATTATTATTTTAATGTGGCTCTGAAAATAATGCATGCTCATCATAAAATATATTCAAGCATTATGGAAACCCATGAACTAAGAAGTGGAAGTCCCTTAAAGCTCTGCTCCCCAAAGCAAACGACCGTCCAAAACCAGGCGCAGTTCCTGTCATGGTCTCGCCCTCCCTCGCTCCCTTCCTCCAGTGTTCGAGTGATGCTGTGCACAGTGCATGTACATTTTCTCCTTATCTTGGATTTTTCCCCCCATGCAATACAGTAAATCAGCTTCCTTCTCTTTTAACCTGCCCGTGGAGCTATTTTCCTAGTGTAATGGTGCAATCTTCCAGTGACACGCACTCAACGTGCACAAAAATGCCCTCTTTTCCGTTGCTTTTCTGCCTGGGTGAGGAATAAAGCTGCAGCAGTGTTCGGTCTACAGGTGGCTTTTTTCAGACCTGGAGAACAATGGTTGAGTCAACTGGCGAGGAGTAGAAATGCGATAATCCTGTTAGCCACACTGTGCATTGAGGTCTGCCAGGCCTTTCTTCGCCTTTGCTCACCACGATCCCCGCTTCTCCACTGGAATCCTTTTCCCTGGTCCTGTTATTACTTCCTCTCCGGCAGCCTGGCTCCTCTCCCTCAGTCCAGCAATTAGCCTGCTGCATCTGATCTCTTTGTTTGCCGTCTCTGCAGGCAGCCTAGCCATTAGGACCCTGGGAAACACTGAATTCCTCCACCTTTGTCAACACAAAATCAAAATGCCATCTGCATTTCTTGAGAAACATTTTTCTGACAAAGGAGTATCACAGAAAATCAAACCATCCTGGCCCCAGCAAATATTTTCACTTATTCGGTAAATATTCCCAGCCGTGGCAGGTACAGTTTTTATGGCATGTTTTATCTAATGAATGCAGGAGACTGACTGCAAATTGGCATTTAAAATATTTATGATTCATATGTAACATAAGAACGATCTCAGGGTTCTTTTTTTTTCTTCTTCTGTTATTTTTAGAGTTCCAACACACTGGACACTCTCAAATGTATATTGTATGGATCGACCAAAAGTCTTAATTTCTGGTCAGTCCAGAGCCATCAAGACAAGAGAGCGCTTACAAATCTGATTGTAACCATAAAGCACACAATTTCCTTGTAGGCAGCAAATCCTGCATTTGTAGGACTGTTTGATAAGTAAAGAGTCAGGTGGGGATGTGTAGGACTAAGTGTTCTGAAAGGAGTAAAAACCATAGGGAAAATAATGAAAATAATTTGCATGTGTAGTGTTACACAGTTTTAAAAAAACCAAACAAAACACTTTAGGTGATTTCCATGGACCTCCTGTCCCCCAACCCCACCTCAACAACCCTCTGTCCGGAGGAGCCGGGATCATCTGAGCCGTTCTACAGACGAGAAAGCTCAAGTTCAGGGGAATGAAACCACTTGCGCAGGGTTGCTCACGCCGTGCGCAGCACAGCGGGCCTGGAAGCCTTGGAGGCCGGGCCGCAGGTTGTTGCTCGGGGCACCGTCCTCTGGGGACACTCGCTGGTGATCCCAGCTCCTAGACTGCTCCGGCTGGGGTGACGGAGAAGGCACCATCCGTGTGGCCTTTTCCTTTCACATCAGTTCATTTTCTGAGAAGGACAAGTTTAAATATGATTTTGTACCCAAATGTGACTCTTGTCCAGGCATGAGGACAAAGACAAAGAAAGGAAAGACACTGGGCACATGGTGCTGAGTTTCTCTCCCCAGGCCTCCATCTGGAGCTGCAAGCAGAAAAACAACGTCAGCGCCCGAGCCGGGTTCATGTCCAAAACCCAGAGAGGATTTTTCACTGTCACTGAAAGAGGACCTGCCCCAGGTAAGCAGCCGCCTTGCCCTGGCCTTGACCTAAAGGTTCATGTCCAGATCTGAGCTGGGGACACCCATCCTTTAGGGGAGTCTCCCGAAGGAGTTGGGCCTTGGGGAGGTGGGGGTGGAGACGGGTGTTGCCCAAAGAGGAGAAGGGTAAGGACAAGACCAGCTGTCCCCCTTCAGGGAAGAATGGCTGGCCCTCAGAACGTCCCCAGAGCAGCCTCGTTGGCCACCCCTTTTAGGGACCAGGCATGCTTGCAGGGGGCAACCACATGGGGCAGTGGCATCTCACCTCCGAAGCGTGCGCATTCCTATACCCCAGGCACCTCGCAGGCCGCCGGGGGCACACGATACACACAGCGTCCTGACAGTTGGCTGCGATCAATATTCCTTTCCTCCCACGCCTAGAGGCGACTTCATCAACTAGTCACCAAACCGTGGAAAATAGCTCCGATTACTGAGCGCCCGCTCCCTGCCAAGCATTTTCCCTGCCGTCCTCACATATCCATCCTCACAGTCCACATTCCTAGTCCCGCGATTCAGGTGAGAAAATGAAGGCTCAAAGAGTTGCGGTGACTTGCCCAGCGTCACACGGCAGACCTCAGCTCAGAGGTGTCTGACTGAGGAGACTGTTCCCGTGTCATTCCACTATGACTTCTGGGATCGCCAGGATTCGGGAACACACAAGAGTTTGCCTGCAAGTGTCTTCCCGGCGGGGGTGACTGTACCCCTCCTGTGCCCTCAGACCTCCCCCGCCCCCACCTGCCAGTCCAAGTGAAGACCTTTCAGAGAGGTCTGCACCCCAAGAACACTCATTCTATTAGGGAACCTTCCCTAATGGGGACTGAAGACCCCCAAGGGAGCGGTGGGCCCCAGAGCCCAGCGGAGCAGGGACGGTTTTCCTCCACAATCACGCCCGTTGGAGGGGGCGTGGATAAAATTGCAGCACAAGTCAGATTTCGGCAAATCCAGATTAAAGCTGAGATCAGTCTGAAGCTGAGTAACAAAAGCAGCCCTAATTAGGAGGCTAAACCCCAGCTAAAGCTCCCCTGCCTTGCATCATCTGTGGGCAAAGCCCCACCTTGTTTGTTTATACAGGAGAACAAAGCCGGTGTCCCTGGGGTTTGGCCAGAGGCCTGCCGGTGAGCCCGGGGTTGTGGGCTCGCAGGCTCGCAGCCTTACAGCCAAGCTCCTGTGCCCACCCCCTGACTCTTATAACAGAGAACAGGAGTGGGGAGGTAGGCACCAGTATCTGTTAAACTCCTACTATGTGCCAGAGGCTTGACATTCATTACCAAATGCTCTCAAAACCCCTGCAGAGCACTTGCCCAGCACATGATCATGTGCTCAGAAGGTGTGAGCTATTATTATTTTATGCCCATTTTACAGCTGAAAATGATCTTTAGAAAGCAGGTGACTAGCTCAGGGTGCCATCGGATTTGAATCCAGGCCTATTGGCCCTGAGGCCGGCCTGGAGCCTCAGGTACCTCCTCCGCCTCCACTTGCCAGGGCCAGAGCCTGGGGAACCTGTCCTTCTGCCAGAAAAAAATCTGCTTTGACCCCTGGAGGTAATGCTGTGCTTCTACTCCCCGCTCGGTGGGACATGACCAGATGTGGAGCAGAGGTGGCGTCCCTACTCTGTCCTGCTGCCCCGAGTGCCCTGCCTCGGGCCAAGCGCCTGGTCTGCCTGCCCGGCCTGCCCTGCCTTCCATTCTGGGCCAAATGCTCACCTTCGCCCATTTGCTGGTTGGATTTTCTAAAGTTTAAATGCACCAACCACATCACCAATGTCTGCCTGTATTCTTCCTTTTAAAAAAGGGTTATTAGGACGTGGAGAAATGCCTACGTTAAAGTGTCATTTAAAAAACATGAGTTGCAGAATTGAATCTGCCGTGTGAGCTCAGCATCGTGAAACAGAGTCTGGCTGCACTTGGGAACTAGAATGTCACCCTTGGTCCTCTCCGAGCCATGGGGGCAGGAATGCCTTTTTCCTTTACTTCTGCTTTTCAGTGTTTCATAATGAAGCATTGCTGTAACCTTTAGTTAGTTATTTTGCGGGGGAGTAGGAGTACATGAGAGAGAGGAAAAAAAAAAGAAATGGAAAGATAACATGAGAGATATAAGCCAATATTATAAATGCTGCTAGCTGGACATGTGCTTTTTTTTCTTTTCTTTTTTTTTTTTTTAACTTAACCATATACTGGGAGTATCCTTTCAAGTTATTAAAAATCCTCCTAGAACATCATTTTTTAAACAGATACATAGTGTTCTATTGTATGGTGAACCATAAGTTAAGGAACAAATGTCCTCGTATGTGGGTTGTTTTAAACTGATTACTAATATAAATATAGTGGCAGAAAACATCCTTGTAGTTCACAATTTGTGTACAAACAAGATCATTTCCTCATATGAACTGCTTAAAGTAAAAATGCTAAGTCAAAACACATGTAAAGTATTTCAGGCTTCTGCGATTTGCGATCACATTGCCCTTCGGAGCAGGCATCATTGGTCCTCCTGCTTCCAGGAGGTGCCTACTTCCCTTTGCCCTTGCCATCACTGGGTGTGACCATCTAAGTAAAATCTTGCCAATCAAGTAATAATGCCATTTTCAGTACTTTTGCAATGAAAAGTACATTTTCTTTAAAACAAAATTAACTTTTCAATGTTTAGAAAATTTGGAATATTTTTCCCATCCAGAATGCCACCACTAAAATATATGAGGTCCGTCCAGAAAAAGTCCAGCCATTGTTAATATAATGAGAACTGTTGGCACAACATCGAGGTAACCTGGCAGCCAGGGAAAGTGGACTGGAATGTGCATGTGTGAACAATGACGATTTCACTGTACTAGTCAGTCGTGACAGTAGATGCCGTCGAGTGAGCATGTGTACTGTGTGGCCGTTGCATTCAAAATGACTAAATGAGTAGAGCAACAAATCTACATCAAATTTTGCATTAAGCTTGAACATTCCTCTGTGGAAACTATTCGGGTGATTCAGAAGGCCACAGCTGTGGGCAGCTGGTGATTGGCAGCTTCATCATGACAACGCACCCATTCATGCATCGCATCTTGTGCAGAGTTTTTTGGAGAAACATCAAATCACCCAGGTGACTCAGCCCCGCAACAGTCGGTATTTGGCGCCCTGCAACTTCTGGTTTTTCCCAAAACTAAAATCACCTTTGAAAGGGAAGAGATTTCAGACCATTGATGAGATTCAGGAAAATACGGTGGGGTAGCTGATGGTGACTGGGAGAACTGTGTGAGGTCCCAAGGGGCCTACTTTGAAGGGCACTGAGGCATCATTGCCCTATGTACAATGTTTTTTGTAACTTGTATCTTCTTCAAAAAAAATCTCTATTTTTCATATTACACGGCTGGATACCTTCTGGACAGACCTCATAATTACTTCCTCTTTCCTGGGCTCCTGCCTGTTTTTAGTCAGATATGTCCATTCATACACAGATGTCATCATAAAACATATGGACTTTCAGCCTTTCTTTTACTTTTTCACTCACCTGTATTTTCAGAAACTCAGCCTTATGGTCTTCGTATTTATCATCTTCAGGGCTGACTTCCACCAGATTGAGCTGTAGACATTTAGACTGTGATGCGTATCCTTATGCTCAGAGCTTTCCATTGTGTTGAATCATTTTCATAATTTACAAGTAATGGGAAGCTTGGGTGTGCAGACCTCTTCGAGGCTTTTGCCTAGTACTGCCGCTTATACTACAAAACGCCTACACCCACTGACAGGGCTATTGACAATTTGGGGGTGAGGCTGCCTCCTGCAGACCCCAGCTCAGATCATTCTGTTCTTCCCCAAAGGTTTGTGCACAGTCAGGTTAATTTGATTCTGCCACAGTTTCCTGAGACAGGGTATGGTGGAAAAGCATGGGCTTTGGAGACATGTAGCCCTGGGCCCACACAGTAGGTGTTCAATAAATATTTGTGGATTGCAAAATAGTTATGAAAGAGCTACTATGTGCCAGGAATCTAAAATGTGATTCAACTATTATAACCACCCTGTTGTTGGAAGGATTTTTCTTCTTACTGTATAGAGGAGGAAGCTGGGCTTAGTCCCTGGTTAGGCAAATGTCTTTGGGCAAATTATTTAATATCTCTGAGTCTCAGATTCTTCACGTTTAAGATGGAGGTGATAATACCCATATTGCTGGGCTGCTGGGAGGGTCAAATGAGCTAAGTATGTGTTGAATGTGGCACGTGTTCACTAAATGGGGAGCGTTATTTTTAGCTATTCCAGGAAGCCCTTCCATTTGATCATCTTGGACTGCTATCACCTCACAGGCATTAAATGTATCCTCAGGTGTAAGGTATGGCTTTTTATTTACTTGGGAAGAGTTTCTTATTCTGTTTCAAAATTTCTTTCTGTTTAGGGCATTATAATATCAATGAATCCCTTGTGAAACCGTCGCCAAAGATGTTAATGTCCTGTTTTAAATCAAAAACTGGCCGTGGATTCCAAGTGACATCAATAGGCCCGGGACCCGGTTATTACAACCCAAATGATTGCATCAAAATTCCAACAAAGACTCTTATCCCGTGAGTGCTGATTTTTCTGATTTCTTTTGAAAGGTGGTTGTAGGAAGGACCCCAACACGGGTGGAAAAGAAAGGGGAGTCTGTCCGGACACTGTGCCAGGTGGATCTCCAGGACCCTTGTTGACACAGTACATGCTCAATAAATGTGTATTGAAAGCATAATATTTATTGAGCAACTACTATGTACCAGGAACACCACATCTTATTCAATTATCATAATAATCCTGCTGTGAGAACTATTCTTCCTAGAGGAGGAGGTGAGGCTTCAGTGGGACCGAGAGACTTGCCTAAGGCCATGCAGCCAACCTGAGGTGCTTCTGGGCATCGGGCTCCGGCCAGCTGGCTCTTCCCACCGTCCCCGCGAGGCCACACTCTCCTGGTGCTGGCTTTATTCTGTTTTACAACATAAAACCTCCCCTGGGGTGGCAGGACTTGCGGAAGCAGTGGCGCTCTCCCAGTTTTGTGCTGATAGGTTAAAAGCCTAGACTTTGGAGATGGTCAGACCTGGATTGAAACTTCGGCCCTGCTGTTTTCATGTCACGTGGTCTTGGGCCCTGTAGTAACCCCTCTGAGCCTCCATGCCCTCATCTGTAAAGTGGGGATAATTCATGCCTCATGGTGTTGTTTGCAGATTTAAACATACACATTTTGCATATGCCCTGACTGGTGTGGCCCAGTGGGTTGGGTATTATCCGGTAAACCAAAAAGTCGCCTCTTGGATTCCTGGTCAGGGCACACGGCTGGGTTGTGGACCAGGTCCCTGGTTGGGGGCGTGCAAAGAAGCAACCGATCAACATTTCCCTCCGTCTCTTTCTCCCACCTTTTCCCTCTAAAAATAAATAAATAAAATCTTTAAATACACACATACACATATATATTTGGCATATGTACAGTAGGTACAAATGGTGACTTAATATTAATACAGATTTGAAAAGTGAAGACATGGATGTGTGTTACCATTTTTAATATCCTGTACATATAATGTTACTTTCACATAAGAGGCTAAAAAACTCACAGGGCTTATTTATTCCTCACATGGTTCTAGAACTTCTAAAGCTAACTGCGGTCAAAGTCAGGCCTCCTGTCACCATCTAAGACCTCAGCCCTGCGTGGCCTTCTCCAGGCAGGACTGGCTGCTGGGAGGGCTGACCGGGGGGCTGGGACCCAGCATACAGGCACCTGGCACCTCGGAGCAGGCGAGTGGGCTCGTGGCCAGCGTAGGTCAGACGTCTGGGTACCCCAGGGAGGCTGGCGGCACTGGGCACTCTCTGACCATCAGCGCAGGGCAAGGAGACGGCCGTCAGGGAGAGGAGCAAGGCGGGAGCCCGGAGAGGGCAGCTCGGTCCAGAGGAGGGATTCAGGCCTCGCGTGGAGTCCACAGGGTAAGCCGCTTCTGCCCTTTGGTGCGTGGGCTCTGCACGCTGACCCTTCACAGGACTCGGGCAGGAAATTCTCCAGGAGCAGGCTGTCTCCACACCCCAGGGACTTCCTGCCTCCGGGTTGGCTGCGGGCACCACTGCGCGGCACTTGTCCCCTACGCTGTCAGGCAACAGAGTGGGTAACAGGCCCCGCTCGGCGGACCCGACTGTGAATCCTGATTGTCCCTTGTAGACGCTTCTCTCTCCGAGCCTCCGTTTCCATCTTTTTAATTGGTTGGAGATAAGAACCTTATCTCATAGGGGTTCTGTAAGGATTAGGTGAGGAAGTGCTTGGAAATTGCTATTACTAGTATAGCTGCTACTACTCTACATCCTACAGGCATATTAGGGTATAGGAAGCCGCTGTTATTTGGCCCAGCAACTCAAGCCCCCAGTCCGCATCTGGAAGCTGCATCAGGGAAATGGTGAAAGGAGCGGGGAGGATCCTCGGTGTTTAACGGCTTTCCCCAGAGAAGTGTCGCTTGGCTTTGCTTAAGTTTGGATGAGTGGTTTGAAATATTCTCATTTAATGGCATTTGCATCTGTCAATCAACAGGCTCTGGAGGTTTCAGGTTCTATGCTGGAGGCTGTGGAGTTGCTCAGGTGAACAGAACACCATACACACCTTCAGCCAGGTTCGCCTGGGAGCAACCCAGGGCAAGGCAGAGGAGCACAGCATGCCCCAGAATGCCAGCCTTGTGGCCGCACACCACCCCTGGGGCATGGCTGGCCAGTGCCGTGGTGCCCGTGCGCTCGCAGGCCCTCTGGGATGCTCTCTGAACAATGGGTCCTTGGTTAAGAAGCCTTGGAAACACTGCTAACAGACCCTCTGCCCCTGCGGACGACGCAGTGCACACAGGCTTAGTAAAGGCTCTGAGAAAGCCTGCAGGAAAGGAACCTGTTAAGCCCAGCATCTCTTAAATTCGGGTTTTCCTTGGTGAACGGATGGTGTCCCAGTGTCTGAGGCAGAACATTGGTGTGAGCTGGCTCTGTGGTCCGGGGCTGCTCTCAGCACCTCGCTGGGCCTTCGTTTCTGTACATGTGCAAAGAGGGCGCGCGTTTCCTTTCTGACACTCCGTGACCCCAGGGTGCTCACGTGTCGCTCAGGAGAGTGCATAGCGGGCAGTGAACAGGGAGCCAGCCTGGACCCACAGAGGAGGTCCAAAAAACATGTTTTTAAAATGACAAGGAAAGGATGAAGGAGAGAAATCTGTGACTTCATTTAAATAACAAGGACACAGAGCTGAAGTGAGCTTTGGGTTATTGTAAAAAGGCATCCATCCGTTTCTGTTGAATGATAGAGAGATGATGATATATGAAGAAAAGATACAGCTGAATATTGTAGTATGGAGGGAATGTCTGAACTCTAGGCCCTTAAATCCAAATTTTGTGGGCTCTCCTGTGTCCCTGGAGGGAGGAGGGACAGGGGTACCTGGGCACCAGTTGTCTGGGATTGTCAGTCCCCTGAGAAGTTCTGTACAGCTTCCGGTCACCTGCACTAAACATACATGTGACCATGTGTCTTGGGTTGGAAGTGCTTGGCTCCCCATATTGAGGTAGGGCCACAGCTTGCAAAATGATATTTGGTGCTGCTTTCTTTAGGATATAAGGGGAACAGGGGAGATCCCTGGAGTGGTTAGTGCCAGGTTCCCCACCAACAGAAGCGGAACCCAGAGCGGTGGTCGGTCGGTGGTGGGCAGGAGCGCTCAGGAGGCTGGCCAGCTTTGAGAACCTGGGGGTGCGGGTGGGGTGGGTCGCTTAACTCCCTGGCAAATTCAAATTCATCCTCTGTGAACTGGAACGGATACTCACAAGGTGCTTACAAGAGTAAAATAAGATATCCCACATAGCACACCAGGAACGGCACACGGAAAACTTTTGGTACACGTTGAGGAGGGTCCCCTACCCTGGACTGACGCTTCCTGAGTGGCCCCTGTACGGCAGATCTGTCCTTAGGGGGCAGGTCCTTAGCGGGGCCATTTCTGGGGTCCTTGGTTGAAGACCACACCACAGGGTGGCCCACAGGGTGGCCCCCCTTGCAACTCAGAAGCTAAGAGGATTGACCAGCTTCCATGGGTCTTCAGAAGAGAAGCGTCAGCCATGGTGTCGCTTCTTCAGGGCCGTGTCACAGGAATGACTCAATCAATCCGAGTGACTCAGGGTAAGGGCTTTTAGAGATCAAAACAGTTCCTCCCAGCTGCTGCCTCCCAACTCCCCGGCAAGGAGGAACACCCACTGACATCGTCCTCACCTCTGATCTACTTCCCGGAGGTTTAAGCCTCGGGTTTTGCTCCGACACGCTGCGCTGTCACAGCCAGGGCCACAGAATCAAGCCTGCTGGCCCCGCTTCAATTTGGCTAATTACGAGGGACCCACCTAAAGTTCCCCTGGGATTTTCAATTAGATATGGGGTGCTTCTTCCCAAGCGCTGTAATCTGTCACCTGCTACCCTGTTAAACAGATACTGCATTCCACCCCAGAGGCATCGGCTGCCCTTTAATGATGAGAAAAAATTGCCCCTTTATCCCTCCAGACCCTGGGAATCCCCGAGGCAGAGTGAATGTGTGCCTGGGAGTGTCCCGAGGGTCTCCGGAGCCTTCCCCCAGTGACCTGCTGCGTCCCCGGAGACATTCATTATTCTCGGGAGATTTGCAAACAGCTCACGGTGGAAGCTGCAAACAGACTTAATCCAGTTGTGGCCAACTCAGAGCCTTTGATAGATGTTTTCTTTCCACGGGGCAGGACCAGGTTGGCTTTTATAACTGAGCAATGAGGCCCATAAAAGCCCCAGTCACAAAGCACTGAGGGCTGCCCCAGGTTTGATCCAGCCTGACCTTTGGATCTGCCCAGCCCCGCCGCCGCTGCAGACGGAGCAGCCCTGGATGATGTTAAAACTGGGGGCGGGGGGACATTTGTCTGGGCTCCCCTACTTGCTTCAACCCCTCTTCTCTGCCTTTCAGCAAATATCCCAGAAATAGGGACAGGGCCTCAGAGATGAGTCAGACAGACACAACCCCCTCCCTTAAAGAGCCGAGCAAGTGAGGAGCATAAAAAACATAGCATGTTTTGTGCAGAGAAAAGAATGGCTAGAATGTATGGAAGGGCCAGCTACACTGATGTTATCTAGGGCCAAGCTTCCAACTCTTCTACAGGTCGGTCCTGTTCATAGACTTTACAGATGAAGTGTGGACTTGCCCAGGTGCTGGAGCTTGGAGGGGGATCTGACGGCAGACCCCAAAACCCATGATCACCTGGAGAGAGAGGTGGAGGAGCCGGTGGGGGAGGGGAGAGGGCCATCTCCCTGCAGGAGGCGAGCAGTGAAGACTGAACCAGAGTTTGCAGGGAAAGGAGGTGCTCATGGCCGAAGGAACCGCCTGGGCAAAGGCACGGAGTTGCTGCAGTGTGCTGTTGGGTGTTTCTAGAATGTAACGTGGAAGCAGGGGCATAGGAGATCAGGCTGGATTGAGGGCCATCAATAGAAGCTTTTCCTGTGGCTTTTCATCAGGGTCTGCGAGGGTGATCAGAAACAAATGAACAACCCAGAAATCATGGGGGGATTGAGGTTTGAAGGCAGCCTGGGTGGCTCATTCTTTGTCTCCTTGTGTCCTACTTCCTGTCACGTGGGGCCACAGCTTTTGCCCCTGCTGTTTCCTCTGCTGGAAACGCCCCCTCCCCACCCATTCTGCCTGAAGAATCCCCTCTTACCTTCCAGGGCAAATGCTGTCTCTTTAGGGTACATTTCTGGATTCCCTCGGTTGGAATTAGTGTCTCTCTTTCTCTCTCCTCCCAATGCAGTTTTTATCTCTAGTCTAACATTTCATATTTAAAAAAAAACAAACCCCAAAACGATGCAGCTATAAAGCACTAGCTAATTTTCGTAACAACGCTGGGTGGCAGATATTATTATCCACCATTTTACAGAGCAAGAAACAGGCACGGAGGGGCCAAGAGACTTTTGTAGGGACACTCAGGTAATGACTGGGGAAGTCTGAGTGCAAAGCCGAGTGCAAACCGCCTTAAGTTGTCACCAGCATGGTTGTCCCTGGCAGTGGGTGGCCAAGCCCTCAGGAGTCCTCGGGGCTCCTGCCTTAGCACAGGAGAACCTGGACTTCCCGACTGCCGAGTGCCGACGCTCTCTACAGATCCGAGAGCTGAGAGCGGAGCAGGCGGTGCCACGCCCGCCTGGGGAGGCTGGCGGGGGACTTGCTTTCTCTGGGCATCAACTTCTTTAGTGGAACAAGGAGGTTGGATACGACATCTCTAGGTTCCCACTTGCTCCCAAGTTTAAGAACGCCTCTGTCCCAGAAGGAGCCGCTCTCGCCAGGAATGCTGCCGAGCCCCAGGCCCTACTGCTCAACCTCCTGCAGGCCGTCCCTGGTTAGGAGAGTGGACACCTCAGAGACTCGGGCTTGGTGGTGACCCAGACAATGGAGTGACCTCATACAGCTGTTGGCTCATTTCAGATCTAATGTCCAGGAATCAAGCCTGTTTCTCAAGGATGCCAGTCACACAGTCATCTGATTTCTGAGGGTTCTTTGAAGGGGTGACCCAAGCCAGAACAAGGAGCAGCCAGCTTTTATTTATAAGGGAAGAGGTTGTTGATCACACACCATAACCAGTTCTTCCGTGCCAGCTGGAGGGGAAAAAAGGGAGGCAATGTATTTTCCCCCTTTCCTATGGGCACCTTTGTTCTAAATATAAGCGTCAAAGCCAGCTGTTCGAGGCTCAGGAGGGTTTACTGTGGCTTCCACAGGCCTCGCCTGGAGCAGGAGGGCCCGCCCTCTGGGTGAGTCTGGGAGGGAGCCTCCAGCCTGTTTCCTGAGGCTCGGTGGCCCCTCTGAGACCAAGCCACGGGCAAGAGGTGCTGCAGGGGTCGTAATAATGACCATGACAACTTTCATTGAGCACTTACCATGTGCTGGCACTGTGCTAGGCCCCTTACATGCCTCTTCCCCGTTCATCACTCCTTTGTGAAGAGCGGGTGTTGCTGAGCCTCGCTGTGGGCGGGCAGGTCAGGGCGGTGGCCCAGGCCTCGCAGCCGGTGAGTGTCACGACCAGAATTCAGACTCAGGTCTGCGTGGCTCTAAAACTCCAAAGCTCCCCCGCCGCCACGATGCCTTCCCCCTGTTGTCAGGCACCTGACAGCTGAGTTCTGATGCTGGCATGACCACTAAAGTGCTCTGCCCTTCGGGTGACTTGTTTTCTCTGGGCATCAACTTCTTTAGTGGAAAAAGGAGGTTGGATATGACATCTCTAGGTCCCCACTTGCCCCCAAGTTTAAGAACGCCTCTGTCCCAGAAGGAGCTGGCCAAGGAGCGGCAGAGCTCCAGTGGCCGGGAGTCCCCGTTCCCTCCCCTGTTCCGAAGGCTTGGCCTCAGGCTGGGGTGAGTCTCCTGTGGCGGCTCAGTGCTCTGAGGACCTCCTCTTCCCTGTGGACAGAGGCCTTAGGAGAAGCTTCAGAGGTGAGGCGGAAGTAGGCAGCCCTCCTGTGGCGTGGCCAGGGGAGCTGTGTGAGCCCCGTAACAGTCCCAGAATTCCCTGGGAAACCCGGCGGACCCTCTTTGAATCAAGGCTGGATGGAACATCACAGCTGGAAAGGACCTCAGAAGTCATCATGCTCAACTCTACTCATTTTACAGATGGGGAGACTGAGGCACAGAGTGAATTATTGTCAGAGCCAAGACTTAAGTAGAGGTTCCATTTCTCTTTCATTTATTCTCTCAATGCCAGACATGAAAGACCTTTCTGAAAGAGAGGGAGACAAACCTGAAACAAACAATGGCAGTGTAAGTGGTGAGTAAGGGATACAGACATCCCTTAACTTCCAACCCAGTATTTTCCTTGTCCCATGTCCTGCCTTGACAGGGAGGTACTGGGTAGGATTCTGGAATGTCAATCCTGGAATGGCCTCTAGAAATCCACTAGTCTTGGCACAGCAGTTCCCGGGAATTTGGGAAGCCTCTTTTCTCTCCCTAGCCATGGCAGACATCACAAGTAGATCGCCAATGCTCTTCCCCTAGAGCCTGCGTGAAGCCTCAGTCTTTACAGAGAGCCCCAGCCAGGCACTACCAGTTGCACAGAGTTGGCAATGGGCTACATGCTGCCTGCCATTCCTGACTAGCTTGGTAACATCGTTACAACCGTGTGTACTGAGCTGTCACTTGGCACTGGGCTGTGTCTGTGACTTGGGTGTACCCATCTCAGTGAACCTTGATAGTGAACCTGAGGTCCCAGGCCCCCCGCTCACCAGCGGTGGAGCCACAAGAAGCAGCATGTCTCCCGGTGCCGTGTCCAGTCCCCTTGCAGACGGTTTGGTGGCGGGCAGGTCTCGGCTATGTCTAAAAACTCCCATTTCCCTGATAGACTGCTTTAGTGACACCTTCACATTTTGTCTTTTCTGAAGGAGAAACCCCACCCTGAACTTCTCTGCCTCTCCTTTGCCTCTGCCCCCGAAGCCGCCTCTCCCAGGCCCTGGTCAGTACGAGATCGTGGACTACACGGGGCCCCCCAAGCAGTTCATCTCCAGCGCATCGTTTGTGTCCAACACCAGCCGGTGGACCGCAGCGCCGACCCAGCCAGGCCTGCCTGGCCCAGGTCAGGGGAGTGATGGAAATGACTGCAAAGTCCAAATCGGGAATTGTTTGTCATTCCTGGGCCATCAGATGCCACTGGTTTGTAAGCTCTTTGCCAAACAAGTTATAGTGGTTACAGCAGATGTAGGAGACTTTTCAGCTTGTACTTTCAGAGTATGAAAGTTTTTTTTTTTTTTCTCCAAAAGGTGAAAGGGTTCTCAGGGGTGATCCCGGCCAGGGATTCACAGCCAAGGACCATAAGCATACAAGAGGCTGAGAGATAGGCTCCAAGGGCTCAGTGACCCTGACATTGTTTGGAGACATTGTTTTCTGGGGACAGGGGTCATTGTTATTGTCAGGTTGTCAGAAAAGTTCACGTTCTTAAAAATGTTGAGATCACTGGCCTCTTCTGGCTGAGTCACTCTATACACAGGACGGCCTGTGAGCCAGGTCTCACCGGGAAACCTCAGTGAGCAAGGGGCAGGGCAGGGCACAGCCCACTTCCCCACATGCCTGGCTTGTCATGAAATGAACTGGGGACTCTGCACTGGAGCAGCTCTTTTAAGCCACCTGGTCCCATTCCCTTTCCACAGGTGTGCGTCAGCCGCGATACCCTGTTACTTCTGGGCACTACCTGAGAGTTAATAGCTTGAGTGGCTCACTCTGGTGGGTGGTCCCTGTGCCCACCAGCCTCTCTGTAGCTGTTTGTAGAGCCCCTCAGTGATTTACAAGCCCCCGCGGACGGGCGGCGTGGGAGGAGGGAGGCCGAGCTGAGGCAGCTGCCAGGTCTGTCACGCTCAGCCTTTCCATGAGCGTGGCTGTCGCGCCCCCCCGGGGGAGGCGGAGATGACTTAAGCCCTGCGCTTGCCGCCAGGGTGTCAGTCTGGTGGGGAGACACCCTCCCCTCCAAACACACAGGTGGGTAGGACGGAAGGTAGGCAGGACAGGGAGAAAGCCATTCTCATAGCTCTGGCCTTGGCAACGTAATCCAACCCACCAGACTGCAGAGGTTTGACCTTCAGGTCACCTGCTCAGTCCAGGCAGAACTTGGTTTGGTTCAGCAGATGTGCTAATGCTCCGGCTGAGTGGTGAGCGCTGGGGGGTGGTCCCGGAGGCCCGGGGGCCTGCAGACATCCTCGTCTGACCCTGTCTGGCCCAGTCCCCGAGGAGCTTTTTCCTCGGTGTCTTCTCTGTGCCGTGCATGGGGCGAGACGCCTGGCACAGCGGTCAGGCCAGCGCCTGCTATGACCGTCCGTGCCAGGGTGGGCTTCCCAGAGGGGCCTCCTGGGCGTGAGCAGCAAACATCTGCTTCCTGGCCTCCGGTAGGTACAGATCTGCCTGGACCACCATGTGCCCCCAGCAGTTCCCCAGGTAACCAGCTGGGGCCATGCATGGCCCCTCAGTAGCCAAATCGGCATCAATGGAGAGTCCCCTCCCGCCCCTCCACCCCCCACCCCTTGGTGGTTCCCTAGCCCTGTGGGGCCCTGGCTGCTGGTTGCCTGCAGAACCTGTGGGGCTTTTGCTTTTCTGGAAAATTTCTGAACTAAATCCAAATAAAACCCCACCAAGCTGACACCTTACTTCTTTAAGAGGAGAGCTTCACTCAATATACTTTCTTCAAATTCCATAGAAAGACCTTTTGTCAATTTTCTTTTGTTAAAGAAGTTAAAAGGAGTTAAAGGAGGTGGGAAGCCATGTTTGAGTCTTGCTTTGGCCAGTTAAGTGCCAGGTGACCTTGGGCTGGTCCCTTCCTCTGTCTGTCTCCCCACACGTGTGGCACAGGGGCTAGGATGGGGGGGGGTCCCCACTGGCCTTGCCAGCTCTGACGTAGGAAGAAAGAGCCTCTAGCAACTGGCTATTTCTCTCTTAATGTACCCTGTTCCCTCCTCACAGCCACGTACAAGCCGGAATTCCCTGGCAAGCAGTCCTTTCTCTACAACGAAGACAACAAGTGGATCCCCGTGCTGTAGGGACCTCACAGGGCCATGGCCACAGCCCTGGCCACCAGCGGCCACGCCCAGGTTCCCCGGGGCACTCATTCGGAGAACGTGTATTTTATGTGTGACAGCAGTCAACTTGGGGGACAACTCTGCCACCCCTGCCTGGCGTTAGAGCTGGGCTGCTGCGCTTGTCCTGGTCTCGGGCTGCCTTCTGGAGATTGGATTCCCACCCTCGCTGACCCCTGGTTTCCTGAGCGGAAGTGAGGAGCAGACAGAGCCATGGGTCCGGCAAACTGTGGCCAGATGTGCAGATCTTTCAACAGAACCTGGGAAATCTTTAAAACATGCAGTCTCTTGATTTGAGGTATTTACAACCATATTCCAATTTAAAATGTTTTTGTTCAGGCCAAAGGAAACTCTTCTGCAAGCCATTAGTTGTCCCCTTGGGTACTAGACGTTCTGGAAGACTTATTCAAAGCTGACACTTTCCTTGATCCCAGACTCTTGACAATGGGGCTGGACCCCAAGGCCTTGGTTTTTAGGTCCCTCTGACCCCAGGGGACCCTGGCAGGCCACTGGGTTGGGAGCAGCCAGCCCTGCGGTCACTGTGGGCAGAGGCTGGCAGTGACGCTGCTGCGAAGACAAGGCAGCCCCCTCCTCCCCGAGCGCAGCTGGGCTGAGCACTGGTGGGTGAAGACCATCTCTCCTGGAGGAGCCCCCTCCAAGTGGGGTCAGGGAAGAAGGGGCCTGGGAAGAGAGCACCGGGCTGCCAGCCACGCAGGATCTGTGTTCTGCGGAAGACGTGACGGGAGCTGAGGCCCTGAGCTCTGAGGGGCTGGGTCATCGCCGGCCTCCCTTAGGATGACATCGGCTGCTCACAGCTCCATGCAGGCCGGCGGCTCTGAAGGCCTGGCTGCATGTTAAGGTCCCCTCGGGGGCTCTCATAGGAGCAGCCTGCCCAGGCCCTGACCCTCGGAGTTCTGATTTAATTGATCTGAGGTAGAGTCTGGGCAGTGGTATCTTTATTCAAGTTTTCAGTGTGGTTATAATGTGTCTATTTAGGGTTAGGATACACTCACAGTTTAATAAAGTGTTTGCAAGTGTGAGCGTGCATGCAGGTCACTTGGAGAGCTTGTTAAAACACAGATTCCACAAGCCTGGGGTAGGGCCTCAGAGTCTGCATTTCTGTTTCCTTTTTTTTTTTTAATTGAAATATAGTTGACATAGAACATTGTATTAGTTTTAGGTGTAAACATTTCTTACATGCTCCCAGGTGGTACTGATGCTGCTGGCCAAAGGTCTGAAAATACGCCCCATTATTCTGCTCTTCCTCTGGCCTTCCATTTGTCCTTCTTCCCTTCCCCCTTTCTTCCTTCCTGTTTCCTCGTGTGCTCACTCATTCTTTCCTCACTTGGGCTTTCCTTGTTCACCGCTTCCTCCCCTCACCGGCTGACCGTGTGTCTACTTGCCAGGACCTCCCTGCAAGCAGGGGGTGCTCTCCCCACCAGCCAACAGCTACCTTTCTTTAGTGACCCCCTGTTGGACTTAGCTTTACTTCTTTCACCTTTTTCACTCTTTGGAGAGAAAGAGCCCCAGAATGGCTGCGGTCGGGTTCGGGAGCATCTCTCCCGGACCGTCTCGCTCTCCTTGAGGTCCAGGGGCCTTTCTAGGCCTCGACAGCCCTTGTCTCCTCATGGGGAGGGGAGGAGAAGGGGGCCCCGGGGGCTCTGCCGGAGACGGCGGTTGTACAGTGGCTGGAGCTGCCCGGCTCCTTCCCTGCCCTCTGCAGCAGGCTTTGCGCAGAGGCTGCCAGTCCCTGTGTGCATTAGCCCAGCCAGCAGATCATAAAGGCGTCAAGGCCTGTGCAATTCTGACCCCCTTGGAGCAGCAGTTTTCGAACCTGATCGTGCAGCTCAATCACCAACGGGGCCTTCAAAGGGACCGAGGCCTGGGCCTTACCCCGAGAAATCCTGAGTTAATTGTTCCACGGTGGGGTCTGTGTTGAGCTAAAGGCTGCCCAGGTGATTCCAATGTGCAACCAAGGTTGACAGGCATCACCTGCCAGCTTCCCAGCTGGCTCTGTGAGGGGAGGTGGCAAGAAGCTCAGGAAGAAAGGAAATGAACTGGGGTGGGGGACCTCAGGGTGCCTGGCCACGCATGTGCTGACACTCTGCACCCACTCTGCCGTTTCGCCCTCACACGTCACGCTGCTTAGGCAATTCAGGTGATGTCACAGCAGCAGCGGGGCCTGAAGTGGACAGGGCAGCTCTGGGTGCTCCGCGGGGTCCTTGAGCCATGCCAGGCAAGCCCTGTTGGAGCCTGAGGCCAAAGAAAGCATCAGTACTGATCCTGGCTTCAAATTTTGATATTGTCTTCATTGTGCACTTTTTTGCCTTAATTATTAAAAAAACACAATTGCATTTAACTATGGTTTATTTGCCCTTGGGCTTCTGTTTCTGCGCCTGAGGCTAGAGCCGCGCTTGCCTGGCTGTAGTCCTGGCTCTGGCTCCAGGCAGAGCCTCAGGGATGAGGGCCATGCACCCTGCCGTTGGGGCTGGGAGGCCCTTAAAGACGTCCATGGTCTTCAAACTTTAAAAAAAAGTATTCTTCAGACAGAAGTTTACATGTACATGGAGAAAAGCAACACTGCTCTGATTAAGTCCCGGAGGATACTTGAGGGCTGCCTGCTGTCCCTTCTCCCACATTGCAGTGGCTTTTGAGACCCATCAGTGAACCCCGGGGCTCAAAGGTGATAGTTAGAAATGACCCTCGCAGACCACGCTCCTTATTTTATAGCCAAAGAAACGGAGCGCTAAAGGTGGTAGTGTGCTGGTAAGCCAGAAAAGGAAGGGAGGGAGGAAGGAAGGGAAGGGATTTGTGACTTGTTCTTTAGGGAAAATAAAGGCTTTGATTTGCAGCATTTGTCAATTCCCATGGTGTAAATACTCCCACCAGCATGCGGTCTCTGACCACTGAGTTGAGAGGAGAGGAGCACAATTGCTTCTGTGAGCCAGCAGGAGCAGGCTCCAGGGAAAGGGACTTAGCCTAGAGAGCAGGGGCAGAGTTGGCACAAGAACTCAGGGCCTGCGGTTCCTACCCCTGGGCTCTGCCCACTGGCCCCAGCTACCAGGTCTCCCTGGACCCTTCTTCCAGGACTTCTTCATGTCCAGTCAATGATCCTAAGGCCAGAACCTTCAGCCTGTGGGACCACACAGGACAGAGATCTGGGCATCAGGAGTCTGCTGCCCTGCAGGTGGAGACATCTGCTTCGCCCGTGCCCAGCACTTACCACTATCCTTTAAATCCAGGGCAGACTGCTCGCAGGATAGAGAAAGAACGAGGCCTTGTCTACTTTCACCCTCCCTTCCTGGAAGACTTTCACAAAAGGAACAAGAGCAGAATTTGAAGTAATATATAGACAGCATTTTATTACTAAACACTATATGAGTATACAAAATGTGTAATTGAATAACAACTAAAAAAATAGTCCAAGAAATGTGAAATACACATTTTTTGAAATGATAAAAATGTATCCATGAAAAATATAAAATGTTGCATATATGTACAATATATACTTATATATATATAACATAAATGAATTGAGTGAGAAATGTGTACAATAGCCAGCAGACATGGCGGTCCGTAGCAGCCACTCGGTTCTGGTGGATCAGCTCCGTTATGTACATCTGGTATGGAGGAAACCCACGACAAAGAGGTGTATCCACCACAGTGTCTTTTAAAAGTCATTTGCACTAAAATCAAGAGTGTTCAAGTTTAATTGACCAAAGGTTGAGAACTCCTTGGCCTGAAGTCGACAGAATAACCATGGATGGGAGCCGAGTCAGTCTGGGGAGAGCAGGCCTGCCTCCCCCACCTGGACAGGCAGCGTGCAGAGCGACTGCAGAGGAGGAAGGTCTGTTGGGAATGTTAACCAAGACGACACTGCCTCTGGCTGAGCAGTGGCTGGCAGGAGTTCAGCGAGCAGATTCACGCATGAGATGGGGGTTCAGATCAGGACACCACCGGGTCCCTTCCTGGCCCTGACCTCTGTGACTCAAGGGCCTCTTCCTGCAGGGAAGGCGTTCAAGTAACAGCACTGAGGCATGAGGAGAGGTTGTGTGTGGCAGGGGCCACTTCGCAGCGGAGCGGCTCCTTGCCTGGAGCTGACCCCGGGGTCCTTACAGCTCCTTGAGGGTGATCTGAATCTTGCCGTCGAGCTCCCCCATGTCCAGCAGGAAGGCAACGTGGTTGCTGTAATGCTGAATGATGTTGTTGTCCATGTTGACCAAGATTCTGGAAGAGAAGAGGTAGGGCTAAACTATGGGAAGCCCCTTGTTTTCAGGGCCTCTAAGAGACCAGGATGATAGTCATGGTTATTACATATCAGGCACCCCCAAAATTTCAAGCACTTCACAGGCTTTCTCTCTGACCCTCATAGCAGCCTGCAAGGTGGGCGTTCCCTGTCCCACCTTACAGGGGATGGCATGAGGCCCACGTGGCCAGGCCACCACTCAAACCGGGCCTGCCAGTTTTCATGCCCACCTACTGGGCCGGGGCACCTCTCTTAGAACATATGAGTGTGGGCACTTCTGAGCAACTGTGGATTTCAAGCAGCAGCCGTGCTCCTTAGTTACCAGGCCAGACCGAGGGCTCGGGCACAGAGTGTGAGTCCAAGTGTAGGAGTTGTGGTGGGTGGACCGGTGCGGTTTCGGTTGAACTGAAGTCTGCGATGTGTTATTCAGATGTGCCTGCCTGAGCCAGAGGCAAGTACCACGCAAGCCCACTCTGAGTTCCATCCCCATAAAGCTGAGCTCTCAGGGACGGTACAACAGACTTGAGGTACCTGGCCTTCTCCTTCCACATAACCTTCCAGCAAGGACCTGGGCCAACCTGAGAGGGTCAAGGCCTCCGTGGTGCTGGCCCTCTGCAGGGGGGTAAAGCCAGACATACGCCTGAGGGCACCCTGATGAAGAACCCACAGGATGTGACCTGACCTGATCAGTCAGCTTTCCCTCTGTAATGGAACTGAGTATTCTCATCCATCCATTCAGTCGCCCGTCCCACCAGCGTTTGCTGAGGCCTTTCCACAGGCAGGGCCTTGCTCCAAACAAAAACAAGGGCCACATAGAGATCCTAGATCCTGTCCTCCAAGGGTTTAGACTCTAGTGGGCCTGGGAGAATGAAGCCTTGTAATCCTATTACTCTAATTCATAGATGGGGGAGCTGAGGCTCAAAGAAGTCAAGTCATTTGCCTCAGGTCACACAGGCGATAGATGGCCTAGCTACTATTTGAATCCAGATTTTTGTCTGTTTCTACTGTATCATTTTTTAAGAAAGAAAATGCCAAAAAAACCCAAAAACCCCTATAAATGCAAGTTAGAAGTGGCATATATAAGGAAGGCGAAATTCGGGGCTTGGGGAGAATTCAGGTGCGGAAAAGATTCCTTTAAGAGGGGCAGGGGGGTGAGGAGCCCAGACCACCGTTCCTGGCAGGGAGCTCTCTCCCGAGGACCCCGCAGGGGACGTGGTTGCCTTGTCCCCACCACCCCAGGCCAGGGGGGGCCATGGAGGCAGCGGTGAGCAAAGCTGCTGCCTGTGTTTGGCTGTCTCTGTAGCAGCATTGAGCAGCTGCTGCTTTTCGGAAGGAGGCCTGGGCTCAGGCTCTGGGACCTGGGTGCCGGCTGCCAGTGTCTAATCACAGGCTCCCATGTCCCCAGGTCTTGTTTGCAGTCCCGCCGTTTCACAGAGGGATCTTTGGGGGTGAAGGGAGGCCAGGGCCGGGGCAGGGGGTGGATGCTTTGGCAGCAACAGGGTCTTGTTTGTTTCATAGGGTGGCCTTTGTGGGGTGGGTCTAGTGCCTGGAGCTCTGTAGGTACCCACATGCACAAACTGAAGACTGTCTCCCTCCCGCTCCCAGGCAGCCCCCGCCCCCGGCCGTGGGCCCAGGTGCACACCTGTGCACAGGGGATCCCAGGCAGGCCTGTGGACCTGATCCCCCACAGGTCAAGGACAACTGGGCTCTAGAGGCAGGGGCTGGTCGGGACAGCTTCCCTGAAGGGGGCCCCTTGGCTTGCTAACTTCTAGCTGTCTTCTGTCCTGGTTCGCATGAAACCACTGGCCAGCGGCCAGCAGAAACAATGTATTTGTTAATCTTTCAAGCACTCAGTGGTGCTTGTAAAGCTGATTGTATCTACCTTTGTCCAGAGGACTTTTGGGAGGGCTCTATGAAAATAAACTAGGCCACTGATTAGAATTCCTGTTCCTCAGATGGGGAGAGTCTGACTCTGCGGGACGTGCCAAATGGGCCTGGCCTCGCCCAAGAGGTTTTTTGGGGACTCTTCTCATTGGGCATCACAGACAAGCTAGACCTGAGGTTTCTATGGTTAGGGATGTGTATGGGGCGTGGGGCGCCTTTGAAGGGCCTCTGAGTGATGCCCTGGGCTATGGGGCCGGCCTGGCCTGAGCATTTATTTGCTCATTCCCAGCAGTTAGAGGAAAAAGCAGGAGGCGAGGTGAAAACAGTGAGCGTGTGCACAGGCCGGGGTTCTTTCTGCAGCTACTTACTAATTCTGTGGCCCAGGCACTACTCAGAACCTCAGTTTCCTCTTCTGTGGGAATAGAAATAATCACACTGAACAATGAGATGACCTCTGGGGGTGGTCTAGCCCTGCGCCTGGCACCACAAAGGGCCCCACAGATGGCAGTTACTATAACTAGGGTTTAACTAATTGGCTGGGTTTAAGGGAAAGACTTGCAACTCAGCCTGTGGAGCTAGGGGCTGGGGCATCCTTATAGCATTACCCCCCGACACCACGCTCCAAATCCCATACAAGGGCATTACCCAGCCCCTCGGCCCAGCCTGCGGTGGGACCTGGAAGGGAGGCCGCCAGGGCGGGGCTGCAGTGGGGGGGGGGGTGTGGGCACTGGCACCGAACGGGGAAGTGGGGCTGGGCTTGTCTGGGCAAAGCAGAGCCTGCCCTCCACTGTGAGCTGGATTCTGCTCCAAAGGCTGTGTGAGCCCCAGTTTGAAACCGAAACTTGGAAGAAAAAACACATACAAAAACACTAGACACATACAACCAAAACCAAACAGAGCCTTTCCCAGGGGCTGCAGGGCCGCACGCCTTCCCCACAGCCCGCCCCGCTAGGGAAGATGGGTGGGAACCGAGGAGGCAGGCCGGGCCGGGCCCCTGAGGAGGGAGGCCACCCCTGGGCCTAACAGGAAGGGCCCCAGCCTGAGCCCAAGACCTGCCTCACTTCACAGCCTTCTAAAAAGGAAGGGCCACAGACAGTATCTGGGGACAATGCCTCAGTACCTTTTGGGGGCGGCCAGTAAGTGCAGCTGTCCAGGGTTGGAGCCGTGGACAGGGTTGGAGCCAGGAGTATGTCCCCGAGCCCTGGCAATTCCTCATCGCCTGGGGCCCCACACTGGGCAGGCGGAGGGACCTAAGTAGCAGGGGTTCTGACCAAGGACTGAGGCCTAGGAGGGCGGTCACCATGTGGTCCTCCCGCTCCCCCTACCGGGGGGTCCCCTAGGAAGATAACAAAGGGCACTGCAGTCCTTAGCATGGATCCCCAGGGGCCCAGGGCCGGGACAGGCACTGCCTGACCCCCGGAGGGTAAAGCTTTACTCCGCCAGGCCTCGTGCAGACCTGCTGGCGGAAAAGGCCTGGGGAACATGCCTGGGGGGCTCCCTCAAAACCACACCCAGTTATATTCTAGACACACTGCCAGCCACCCCCTTCTGGGCACCCTGACTCAGCAGGTAGCACCGCTGCTGGGGCTTTTGCTTCTGAGACTTTACTCTGCTGCTCCTGCCCCTGAACGCTGCGTACCCCGCTGGAACCTCAGTTTCTCTGTCTGTCAAGTTGTGCGTAATGGTATGACTGTGTGGGCTAAATGAGGTATCTTTAGCACACTATCGGACACATAGTAGGTGGTCAAGTGAATGGTAGTCACTGTCATCATCATTACAATCAAATGACTTCGTTATCCAGCAGCCTTGGGACTTGAACTCGAGTCTCCTGACACATGGCCCTGCACTTCCACCTGTCTCCCACTCCTTTCCTTCCCAGCGGCGATCACTGTCTGGCCCCTTTCAGTGGCCTTGGCCTGCCTGGGAGCGCCCTACCCAACGGCACATCCCGTCGTCCTCCCTACGAAGCCCAGTACAAGGGCCACGCAGCACAGAGCAGCCGGCCTATGCCTGTTGGAGCAGACCTGCTGGGAGCTCCCTGAGCCAACATTTTAGAGGCAAAGGGGCAGAGAAGGGGGAGTGGGGAGGGAGAGCTGTGCTGGGCACTTACCCCCGCTTGCACTTCTTGTAGACTTTGTAAATGTTCTCTTCGGGAAGCCCATACTTCTCAGAGATCTGGAAGAGAGCGGCAGGGGGTTCATTGTCTGCTGCCCAAGTGCATGTACACCATTCTTTTATATCATGACTTTTGCTTTCCTATTTATAAAATTAATACATGTCCAGACTGTGGAAAGACACACGGAAGAAAATCACAATCACCCATAATCCTGTTTCCCAGAGATGAGAACCATCCACATCTGGGTGTATTCCTGCCTGTCATTTGGCCGTGTATGTAGATGTTTTTATATTCCACGTAGGTAATTTTACTTATCATTGTATGTTATAAGCCTTCCCACATCACAACAAACAGCATGTTCGGTGGCTATAAAGTATCCCAAAGGGCACCTAAACCCCCCGCAACCCCTGCCTAATGCCAGCCGTTGCTCCAGTGCGGAGGGCCCCCCTTCGGCCAGCCAGTGCAAACTCCTCATGGCAATGGCTACAGTGCATAGCTCATTAGGTGGCTGGCGGAATTGAATGAATTGGTCCATGTACCACGCTGAGGACAGTTCCTGGTCTGTACTGGATAAGTGGCCAATACTCAGTAAATGGTCATGTTTTTGTTTTAGAAGCACAGCAACAAGGATGCTCTTGTTCCATTGGGGTGGGGGGGGGGCTGTTACCCAAACATTCTTTCCTTTGATCAGGAATTATTAATCTCATTTGATGGGTGTGGATGCTGAGCTCGAAGAATATAAGGCACGTGCCCAAGGCCCAGCCTAGAACCCAGGTTTCTGGCCCCCATCGCACCCCAGAACCCCGGAGCTTCTGCAGCAGATGAGGAAGCTGCAGCTCAGAGGACGCTCACGCCGCCTGTCCGCCATTTCTCCCCAGAACGCCTCAAGTCTGCTCTGGGCAGGTGCAACTGGCCTGGTCACAGCTTCACCACCTGGGGTTGCAGAAGTCTTGCTTTGCTGAGCCTCAGCGTCCTCAGTTTGTAAAATGGGTGTGATGAGGTGATAAGGGGATGCACCAACAGGGTGGGTCTGCTCACGAATTGGGACAATGATGTAAAGGGCCCAGTGGGTGCGGGGCCCCTGGTGAGGGCTCAGTCAAGAGCTGCAGGTTCGTACTACTGGCTGCCTTGGAGCCTCCGTGAACCTCAGGCCAAGGGCTGCAGGCTGAGGTTGTCCTCACTGAACCTTTTAGGATGAGGACTAGGTTCAACTCCTCAGTTATTCTCTGCTTTGACAGAGAGCCCTCCAGGCAAGAAAAATTCTTAGGCTCTCTTAATGGTGATGTGACTGGAAGCTACCAGGAAGATCTCAGGTCAATGTAAGCAAGAACTTAGGAACTTTCTAATCATAAGTTATACAAAGACAACATAGCCTGCCCTGCTAGTTAATAGCTCTCCGTCCCAGGAACTATCCAAGTCAAGAGTGGGCACCCACTTGGAAGAGCTACTGCGGAGTGAGCTCAAGCACTAGATAGGGAGCTGCCCCTTTAAGGTACTATTGAGTCTATATTCAAATGACTCAAATGAGATTGAGTCTATATTCAAATGCCATTTACTAGCCTTTTGTGAGCCCAGCTTCCTGGGGCTGGTGCCAAGCAGGGCTGATGACATGTGAAGAGGACAGAAGAGCAGAGCAGAGTGAAGAGAAGCTGGGCTGGAATCCCAGCTCTATCACTTCCAGTAACCTTGGCAAGTCACCTGACCTCTGTCTGGGAAGCTGCTTCCTCCCGGGAAACAAGGAGCTAATAATAGTACCCACTTTTCAGGGTTGTTAAGAGGATAGGGTGCGCTGGCCAATGCAGCATGCCTGACAAAATGCCTGGCACAATGTGGGTCTTCAAAAGGTCGATAATGTTATAAGCTGATTCATTTTTTCCTTCCGCAGCCTAAGATTTGGCTGTTCTGAGTGGGTGAGTCTTTAAGCACAGCTGGCCTTGGTGAGGCTGTGTGCTTAGTTTTTCATGGAGCTACAAGACTGTGGCGGGTTTTGTTCAGGGCTGTTTCCCCTGCTCTCTGGTGGCTGGCGGGGGGCGGGGGGCGGGGGTGGCGGGGGAGGGCTCCTTGCCCAGACACCACCTCCAGTCTCCCCAGGCCAGCGCCCCGCCGCCCCCAGCCCCGGCCAACCACAAGCTGCAGGAATGAGGCCCCCTGGGAAAGAAAAACTGTCTCTGGGGCCTAGCCTTTTTGGGTTTCATTCCCATTAAAATAGAAACAGGTTTGCAAAGCCAACAAAAAGCCCTGGCCTGTCAGACAGCAGCCATCAGATTAAGGAGGATTTATGGTGTGTGGCTCCTGGTGGAGCCAGGGTTCTGGCCGCCAGATAACATCATCGAGGCGCACCCCCGCCCCCAGCCAGGCCCGGCGGGCCCTCCCCAGTGAGGTGGGCTGGTGGACCACCACAATGCCAAGGTCCCAGTATGTTCGTCCCCAGAGCCTTTCTGTGGGAAATCAGAACTGTGTGGCAAGGAGGGAAGTATGTGCATGGGCGCAAAAGAGGGGGGTCTGGCCAGGCAAGGCGGGGTACACAGGCCTCTTACCGCATTCCTCAGTCCCTTCAGGTCTGGGGTCTTCAACATGAGGGCATCAAACACCTCCTCAGTCTCCCTCCGCACATAGAGCAGAACTGAGAAGCAAAGGGGTCACTTTTAGCGCAACAAGCAGGACCAATGAGCCTGGGATACCTTGCAGGATGGGGGACTCTTAAAAAATAATACTCTTTTTTAATATAAGATTGATTTCTGCACCCTCCCTTGCGGAGGGTCCGTACGCAGCTGGGAAACGCCTGGGCTCTGCAGGCCCCCACACTTGCTCGGACTGTGCTGACCTTGGCGGGCGTGAATCCCCACTGTCGCACCTGCCAGCTGTGTGACCTGAAGAGGTTATTTTAGCATCATCAAGTCTCATTTTATCCAAACAGAAAACAGAGGGGAAGCCACCTCTATTTCACAGTGCTGCTGTGGGAATTATCAATATGACATTTGGAAATGCCAAGTGCAAGGCAAGGCTCAGTTCAAGGTCGCTGGAAGCTTCGGATCTCAGCAGCTGGTCGGGGTCTTCCTGAGGGTCAGCCACAGCCCCCAGGGTTTTGGGTATGTCCTTCTACCCCAGGAAATCACGGATTTAGAGTGTGCAAGCCAGAAAGCCAGCTATGGGAACCCCACCCTGCTCCCATCTCCATTAGAGAGGGTGAGGGGACCTGCCCAACACAACCAGCCTGCTACCTTCAGCAGCTGCCCCAGGACAGCCATGTCTGACAAGGTCAAAGGAGGCGGATGCCCTCCAGCTCCATGGCTGTCCCTCTCAGCACCTTGGGTGCCCTCCTCACTCCTCCTTCCACACTCACGTCTCGGCCCAACCCCTGCTCTGAGGCATAAAGCAGCCCCTTGCACCCTCTCTATGGGGCCAGGCACTGCCTGGGCCAGGATCAGTGGCTGAGGCTTTGGGGAAGGCTTCCCGGGGGCTGGGGCAGGTGGGCTTAGACAACAAAGGGGTGGGAGTGAGGCTACCTCTCTGCAGATCATCTTCCTTGGCCTGTTTGGAGGGCAGAGGCTCGAACTCCTCAGCGAAGGGCAAGCAGGCACGCTTCAGAGGCAGCCTGTGGGGTGGCAGAGGGGGCTCATCAGGAACCCAGGGGAAATCCCATCAGGAACCCAGGAACCCATCAGGAATCCCAGAGTCCAAAGGGCCCACTGAGTCTCAGAGGTGAAGGAGACCCCAAGAGGGCAGGCACAAAGCAGTGGAGCAGTGGTTAGAGTAGCATGTCTGGAGTTGGACTGCCTGGGTTCAAATCCCAGCCCTGCCGCTCACTAGCTGGGTGACTTGGGTTAAGTCTCTTAGCCTCTCAGGTTTCTCATCTATAAAACGCAATGACAATAAAGGAATAATAACAATATTTCATAGGGCTGTGAGGCTGAAGGAGATGATACATACTGCTGTTGAATGGTGTGTGACCCACAGTAGGACCTCGATAAATGTGGACTATTTTTTTTATCATCAACATTAATTTTTGAAAGAATCAGATTGGGTGTGAGTCCACAGACGTGTTGTGGGATTTAGAATAAGACTGAGGTTCCAGCCCGCCTCCGCTCCTTAACAGCTGTGTGGCCTTGGGCAGGCCACCTCTCCTCTGAGCCTCAGCTTCCTCATCTGCAAGCAGAGCAGTAACCCCTGCTTGTCTGCCTCACCAGGGCTGTTTGAGGGGGTAAGTGACATAATTTGGTATCAGAGCACCTTAGGAAAAGTACCTCTTATTTACAGGGAAGAGACTGGTATCAACAAATGATCTTGTAAAGTGCTTCCTATTCACAAAGATTCCATTTACACTCTGCTCTCTCCCAGCAGCCTCATCCCCACGAGGACGTCTTCCTCATCTGACAGATTTCTGGGCTGAGGCTTAGGGATGTGGAGGGACTGTGGCTGATGGGGGAGGGTGGAGGCCCTTCCGGTCCCCTCCCAAGGAGAGGAGGGGCTCTGATCCCTTCAAGTCCTCCAGCACAGCTTCCCCTCCTCGCCCTCCAAATCGGCACCACCATCTCTGAGACTTTGTCTTCCCCTTTTTACAAGCAAATGTCTCGCCAGAGATTCGCCAGCTTTTCACATAAAACAAACCCATAAAAACCCAGGCAGTTTCAGTGAGAAAGGAAAATGAATCTAGGAGCGTGAGGTTGGGGACAGAGTCCCATGGCTGCTTCCTCTGAGCCCAGCCCTTGGCTTGGGGAGCAGCAGAGGGAAGGGCAGGTGGGGGTGGGGTGAGCAGAGATGGGAGGACAGGCAGGGACGTGAGGCCCTGAGCTGTTGTCTCCGTACCTGCTGGAGCTGCCCTGTCCTGCCGAGGACACCACCTGAAATAAAAAGACGAGACGTTTTCTGTCACATGCAAGATGAGAGGAGCCCTCAGCTGCTGGAAGCTTTCGGGGAGGGACAACCTTTGGCTGGGGCAGAGGAGGGAGATGCAGTTTCAATGCCTTCTGGCCCATTCTGCTCAGATAACAACCCCCAAGTGAGCTGAGGTCCTGAGTTGAAAGGAAGCATCCTGCCCAAGTGGGATGGGTTAGGGACTCAATGACACAGGAGGCGCTGGAGAGGTGCTGGCAGGGTCAGTGAGTCCCACCCGAGCCCCAGCAGGCCCAGGAGGGCTGGCCCAGCAGGCTGTCCTGCAGCAGGTGACTAGGCGTGGGAGCTGAGGCAGAGGAGGCGAGGGAAAGAGGCAGCCTTTTGCCGGTCCTGTGTGCCTGGCACTGCTGTCTGGTGCGGTCACCACCAGTTCCATGGGAGGGGACACTGAGGCCCAGAGAGGACAAAGAGCCCCAGAGGAACCCCAGCAGGATGCAGTCAGGATTCAGGCTCCAGGCCCGGGTGTCCTTCATTCCACTTCCCGGGGCGTGCGCCCCCCTGGCTGCACATGCAAAAACCGGTCCCTCCTGCTTCCCCCACAGAGGAGCTGTTAGCCTGGCCACAGGGGCCTTAATCTTGAGGGGTCATCTGCCTACTTGGCCTCTGGTTGGGGAAAAAGAGTGGGTTAGTGCAGCTGCCTATGCTACGGAGGCCACAGCACATATTCTGGGGCAGAGCGAAGGGCGTACAGTGCACGTGGAAAAGGCTTCACATGTGAGCCAAGGGCAACGCCAGGGCTGGCTGCTCTCCCAGCTCCATCACCTGTCCCATACGCCAAAGGCTGTTTCTGACAACATCCCCACCTGAACGGTGGTGAGCTATGGCCTCAGTGGAAGGAAATCATCAAATTGTTTAATGTAGAAGCAAACTAGTAGGCAGGCTCTGGGATCTTGATTCTGCCAGTGACTCACGTGACCTTGTCTGGAAAACGGGGATAGCAAGTCTCTGCCTCAAAGGGTGGCTGTGAGGGGACGTGACACGGAGCAGACAGGGCTGGGCCCAGCACGCCTGGCACGTCCAAGGTGCTCAGGGAATGGCCCCGGCTCGAGAGGGGCGAAGGGCGCCGTTTCTGAAGACAGGCTGCCTGGCTCCAGCTCGGCCACTCCCTGTGTAATTTGGGGGGCTCTTTGTGCCTCGGTTTCTACCCCACAAATCCAGAGAGAACAATACTACCCATTCCCCAGGGATGTGGCAAGTGTGAGAGGAGGTGACGCGTGGAAAGCACTGAGCCTGGGGCACAGTGAGCGCTCACAAGGGTCCCTGCCACGGTTATTATCCTCCCGGCTTTGAGGGAGCTCCGACTGAATCTGGGGCTCAGACATCAGAAACCTCCTCTGTGTGTGCTCCAGGCGTGGACATTTTGATGGCTATAAAGTCCATTTCCTCATTAACATTCTTCTCTTGAGTAGAAAAGGTCACTGAAGTTAGGGGACCAAGTATGTATGTTTGTTTAATTCCCTGGGATTCAATCCTAAGATATTTTTGTTTTGATGTAAAAAATATTAGGACCCATACACATCTCAATGGGCCTGGATTGGCCAAGTGGCGGGTTGCTCCCCGCTGGTCTGGGCTAAGGCAGGCCCTACCCAGGCGCCAAGATCCTCCCTCAGCCCAAGGCCCTCACCCCTCCAGGACGCTGCAGGCCGGAGAAGTGCACGTTAGGGATGAACAGCACCGGTGGAGTCTCCAGGTCAGCCTCGGGCCGCAGGTAGGTAGTCTCATTGCCCCTGAAGCCGGACAGCAGGCAGCCCTTGATGCCTGATGGGAAGAGGGAGGCTCTGTGACCTGAGGCCCCACCATCCATGTCCCCAACCTCTGCCCTCTAGTCTTCTTTTTCCTTTCACCCAAACCCAGACCAGTCCAGTCCCTGACTCATCCCCACTGACCATTGTTGCTGGAGTCAGGGCACTTGACTTTCCTCCGGAACTGCTTCCGCTCATCATCCCGCATTTTTCTCTCGGCTCCCTGCAAGGGAGAAGGGAAAGAGGGTCATCAAGTGTCTTTGGAGGGCCTGGCTGCTTTGCCTTTTAAATATAGCCAGCCTTCTGGTGCTGCTTTCTACCCAGAGACCAGGAAATGGGAAGGTACCAGTGCCTGGCCCAGCCTGGCCCTACCCAGCCCAGCCCAAGGTCAATCCAGAGAGGGGGAGGGAGAGAGAAAGAAGGAGAAGGGAAGGAGGGAGGGAGGGAGGGAGAAGAAATGGAGTCAGAGAGAGATGAGAAGAAAAACGTGAAAAAGAGAGACATGGAGAGACACTTATAGAGCTCTTGAAAGACAGCTTCAGAAAGAGATAAAACAGGAATGAAGAGAGACAGAAAGAGATACTCAGAGAGAGACCAAGACAGATGACAAGCACACAGGGATGGAGAGAGAGAGCAAATAAAGAGAGACAGACACCCCCAGAGTGGCCAGAAAGGACACCAGCTCTTCCCCCCACTCTGGGCCCAGCAGAGGGTCACCTTGTCACAGAAAATCTTGATCTGGCAGACAGCGCGGTGCACCAGGCGCTCGGTGCCCGAGCCGCAGTCGTAGGTGTCTATCTGCAGGTTCAGGGGGACACCCTTCACTCCCTTCTGCGAGGAGAAGTCTGTGCTGAGGCAGTTGACACCGATGAACACCTGGGGACAGACAGGGGAGCTAAATAAACAGCCCGCCCACGTCCCCAGCTCTGCTGCCCCACAGGCCCCTTTATTGAGCCCAATGTGCGCTTGGTGAGCGCCTTCATCTCCCACTTCCCCGGAAGGCAAACATCACCTCTCTTTTACAGAAGGGAAGTGATGCTCAGAGAGGTGGGACAACTGTCCAGGGTGATGCAGGGAGGGTGTGGGGAGCCAGGGTTTGAGCCCAGGTCTTCACCAGCGGATGATGCACTGGATGCCAAGGACAGCCTACAGGGGCAAGGCCCTGGGAGGGACATGAAGGGTCCCTTAGCCACTTAAAATCAAGGGCCTCATTGTTCTGCAATTGAGAGGCAGGAGGTGGAGAAGGGCCAAATTCCCACCCCCTGTCTCCCAGGCTCAGGAGACCACTTTCCTGCCGGCCTGGGCCACAAGGAGTGAGACGCTGCCCCTCTGCTCCCCAACCCCCAGCTCCAGCCATCCCAGAACCAGTCACCCCTGCTTCACAGCCAAGGAAATGGAGGCTCTGGGCAGGGACATGACCTTCTGACGTTTCCACTGGGAGTCAGGCAAGGTGCGCAGTGTAACAAGCCTGGACGTGGGCCACCCAGACCTGGGGTGGGAAGATGGGCTCTGCCACTCACTACCCATGCGGCTTTGGACAACTGCTTTTACCACATGGAGCTCAGTTTCTTTGTCTGCAAAATGGGGACAATAAAACCTATCCTGCAGTGCTGGGAGGATCACCTGGTAGGCTTGGTGTGCAGTGACAGCTGATGTGTAACTGTCGTCATTGGGACAGTGGGACTCTCACCCCGAAGCCCATGCCCGACTGAGGGCAGCCTAGCGCCAGTCTCAGCTGGGCAGTCCCTGGTCTAGGCTGGCCTCTGTTCTTCAGGACAGTTCCCTTGGAAATGACCCTGACCTGAACAGCAGGGGTGGGGTGTGAGCAGACCCCCTTCCTTCCCAGGCCGTGGGGGCCCTGGGCACATGCCAGACATACCTCCCCCTCGGCCAGCTCAGCCCTAATGCAGCCCCCACCCAGCTCGCACCTGAGAAAGACCCAAGCCTGGGGGCTTAAGAGGCTGTGAGAAAATCCCAACCGAAACCCACCTCTCCCTTCCCACGAAACTCTTTCCCCACCTCCCTGAACTGGAGGCCCCAGCTCCTCCTCCTGCTCCTGGCGTCTGTTTGAATAATAATAATCCCTGCCTTTGTGTTTTCAGAGCCCCTCACCTCCATTTTCTCCAAGCTCCCTGGACAGATGGGGAGACAGGGATTAGCTCCCAGCCTGTCCAAGGCCAGAAATGCCCTTGCCATGAACTGGACCAACCCTGCTCTGCTGGAGTAAGTCCAGGCTGGGGAGGGGAAGGGACAGGCGCAAGGTCACCCAGCCCCCGACTCGCAGACTAGTGCCCTTTCCACGATGCCAGCTCTTCAAACAGAAAACCAACACAGAGAGAGACCCAGAAGCACACAGTAAGTTTGAGGCCGGCCTTAAGCGCTAAATGGCTTAATTGCTGGTATGAAAAAAATCACCAGAGCCTCCGTCTCTCAGGCCTTCCTGATGGGTTTGGCAGTGGGCCCACCTCTTAGACATGCATGATCTCGTGGAATCTTCACCACAACCCTAAGAGGCAGATTACTGTTTCCTTCCTATGGGCCCAGCAATGGAGGTAACTGGGATTTCAGTCCTCATCTCTGGCCTCCAAAGCATTTCTCCTACAACTCTCTGCACTGACCTGCAAGTCAGGAAACCTGGCATGATCAGCAGCTTGCTGTGTGACTTTGCGCAGCGCTCAGGTTTCCTCTCTGGTCAATAGGTGGATTAGGTTAAGAACAATAGCCACCACTTATGAACCAGGCTGCACTCTGCGTTTTACTTATCTCATATGACCTTCACGTCAGCCACACAGTTGGTGCTATGATAACATCCCAATTTTAAAGCCATGGCACTGGCCCAAGACCACAGAGCTGGGATGTGGGCCCAGCCTTTCCAGTGCAGAGCCTGTGCTTCTTGACCACTCTCTATCTATCCTGCCTGCTCCACTGCTGCCCTCTGAGGAGCAGCTGCTGCCATCCTAGGTGCAGGCAAGCCCTTTGCCCCGATGGCAACTTCCACAGCGCAGCCCCATCTGGGCCATGCCCCCCGGCACTGACCTTGGCCTCCTCATTGACATTCCACACGAAGGACAGCGCGTTGTAGGCCACTTCCTCAATGTGTTGCACGGTGTTGAAGTTCTCTTTGCAGTCAGCTGAAACCAGGAGACCAGCAGGAGAGTTAGGAGGGAAAGGACTTGGGGATACCACGGGGAGGAGGCATTTAGATGCTGGCCCCCATTCTTGGCAGGGACTTACATCGTTTCCCCCAAGAACCATGCTTCGATCCAGAGAGGAAACTGGTTACTGTGCCCTGGGCCACAGGTGGGAAAACTGAGGTCAAGCCTGGGTAGCAGGTTTGCCCAAACCCTGGAAGGAATCTCTAACTTTGCCAACTAGGCCACAGCCTTCATTGTTTTGGAGTGAAGATTATATTTTCATTGATATTGTAATTTAGGAGATCCTTCAGATAAAGAAGTAGTAATAGTAGTAGCAATAGTGGTAATGATACCAGTACTACTAATAATACTGACCTATTGAATTAATATTGAACTACTAATATTAAACAAATGGTGGTACTACTACCACTTAGGAACATATATGGTATGGCAAGCCCTTGATTAATCCTCACAAACAATGGCACTATGACTATCAGTCCCCTTACACATGAGGAAAATGAAGCTCAGAGAAGCTTAGTCACTTGCTCAGGGTCACACAGCTCACAGGCAGAGCAAGGAGTAGAGCTCAGCTTTGCCTGGCTCCTGAACCCAGGCTCCTAACTGCTCTGCTCTCCAGCCTCTCAGCTAAGTCACTGAATTGTTCCTCTTTGTATCACGTTCTCCAGCACACACTGCTCCAAGGCAGAAACAGAGCAACGGGAAGGCAGGGCAGCTGGCCTTAGTCCATTTGACAGCTGAAGAAACTGAGGCTCAGGAAGGAGAGGTGACACACGCAACACACCAGAAAGAGAGTGATGGAGCCAGAACCTGGAGACCTGAGCATGGTCTGTGTCTTCCACCCATTTTAGGGCCTGGGACAGGGACAAGGTGGCACACACAGAGGACCTGTGCCTGCCCCCTAACTTCTGACGAAGGCTGCATCCTCACTCCTAACACAGAACTGGCCAGTGCTGGGCCTCCAGCCTTCCAAGTCCCCAGCAACAGCCTGATAGTGCTGTTATCTCATGCATCTGTGCCTCAGTCCCTGAAGGCCCCTGATGGAGGCGAGCTGCCCGCATCCCAGGGGCCTATTTATCTGAAACAGCTGGGATCCCCACAGCCCTGTTTATCCCCAAGCACACAGCAAAGAGGCCGCTGCTTCCAGACAACAGACACAAATCCCTGTAAACCCCACAGCCTTTGGCCCAGAGACAGGGGCTGGGCAGGAAGCCGGGGTCAGAACTACGTGCTGCGGGGGTCAGAGGGGGCTAGAGAAAAGGGCCACAGAAGGAAAGGCCTGAGTAGGGGGTGTGTGTGTATGTGTGTGTGAGAAGGGGAGAGAGAGAGAGAGAGAGAGAGAGAGAGAGAAAGAGGCTGCGATGGGCGCTTGGGCCGGCTCTCACCCACGTCGATGACCCGCTGTTTGGCGGTGGGTTGCCGGGAATGCCAATGCTTCCAGAACCGCAGCTGCTCTGCCGGGCCCTTCTCGTTGTCGAAGACAACCATCACCACACTCTGCAAGCACAGTGGTCGCTTTGACCCCCAGCCTCAGGAAAGGCCCCCTTCCCTGAGCGTGGCTCCGGTAGCCCTGCCCCTTCGCCTCAGCTCCCCCACTCCACGACCGCTATCCAACAGAACCCTCTCCTTGGGCCCCTGGCAGGCAGGGCTCTCCCGACCACCCAACCCCCTTCCCCAGATGCTCTAGGTCCAACGCACCTTGACTTTGTTGGAGGACAAAGTAAGGCCTTTGCCGCCTCCTGGGGTCCGCAGGGTAATGGGGTAGAACTGGCCCTTGTTAAGGTAGGCCATGGGCGACTCGCCTGACTTGATGTGGATGGCTTTGGGGGAGCCCAGGGTGTACTCAAAGTCACTGTGAGGAGGGAGAGGACAGTGAGGCTGGGCTCCCAGGCAAAACCCTTCCAGAGGGCAGCAGGACAGGAAGCCTGAGGCTCTGCTGTGGACTTGCTGTGTGACGTTGGTAAATCGCTCTACCTCTCTGGGCCTCGGTTTCCACATTTTGGGGCATTCTATTTAATGGCTTTGTTGAATCACAGTCCTGCTGAATAATAACTAATGGAAATCAGAGAGACCTCAGAGAGGTGACAAAGCCACAGGGAGACTGGGGGCAACAGAGCCTTGGTTTCCTCACAGGGCGCTGAGATCCGAGCCTAGGAAAGGGATGGAGAAGTCATCCCTTTTATGCCAGTTCTTATATATCTTCACTCCCCAGTTCTCATTCACTGATAACGCCTGCTCTGGGGACAGCGTGAGGCTCTGCCTGCCGCCCCCTGCCCACTGCCCAGTGGCCGAGGGTTCACAGGCACTGAGTTACCTCTTGGGGCTGGGATAGTCCTCTGGACACAGGGGTTCTGGGGACGTTTTCAGGATGTCCGGGAAGAGCAGCGACTGCAGAGAAACACAACCCACAGGGGATAAATGACCCTGTTCAGGCTGCTGGCGCCTCAGCCTCGGGTGGCGCACGTGGCCGTGCGGGCTGTGCAGTGCCAACCTGGACAACAACCTTGGCACCCCCCACCCCCGCCCTAGGACTCTCTCCCATGGACTCCAAAGCTCTGGCCTCCTCGCTGTCTTCTCTCCTTCTGCACAGGTCCTTCTGGAAACATGAGGGGGGCGGGGAGGGGCCCTCACCTCTTGCGGGTCATCTTTGAAGGTGCTGTCTGGCTGCCAGCGCTGTGTGGGCGGCACCCCGTGAATGCCCTCAAACAAGGAGTTGAGGGAGCCGTTGTCATACACGTCACTGGTGGGCAGCAGGTAGCTGTCCACAGAGCTGGCCTCCAGCTTGCTGGGGCCCGCGGGGAGGGGGGCTGCCTTGCCCGGGGAGGGCATGGCACCCTCCAAGCTCATCAGGTTATTCTTCTTGAGCACATCTGGGTACTCCGGGGTTCCAGACACGTTCTCTGTCAGGAATTTCATGAGGTGCGTGGGACTTTCAAGGGGGGCGAGGTCCACCTCATAATCCATGCCATGGTAGTACCTGGGGAGAGAGGAGGGCTAAGTGAGTGCGCCTCTTCCCTCTGAGGGGTGGGGCGTTTGGGGCTCAAGTGGAGGGTGACCCTACACTGGCACACGGACCTTCTTTAATCCGATGTATGTTCGGGTGCTTGCATGAAACAAGACGTGGAGGAGGTCAATTTGTCACAGGGATGAACAGGGATGAGGGGGCCAAAAATGGAACCAAGGACAGGCGCAGGGTTGCTTTATTCATTTCAGTCCTTGGCATATTAAAAACTTAAAGTTTATTTCTTAGCCAGAGTTAAACGTCCCACTCTAAAACAACTGCTGTGTCATCCACGGGTGTGTGTGCGGGAGTCTCTGTGAGTATGGTTGGTTAATGGATGCTGAGAAAAAAGTCTAGAAGGATATGTTCTAAACTTTAAGGGAGACAGAGGAGTAGGATTACAGGAAACTTTTTACTTTTTTACGTTGCTATAGAGTTTGGATATTTTACAACAAGCAGGTATTACTTTTATAATCAGAAAAGCTAACATTTTTAAAAGTTAATTTTGAGAAAAGTCTCCATGCACCAAGACCACTGTTCCCAGCAGGAGAGGGCCCAGCGGCTTGGACTCCCCGGAGGGCAGAGAGGAGCCCAGAAGGTTCCCCCGCAGAGGACCTGCACGGCGGTGGGAGAGGAGAACCTGGAGAGGGACCGGCTGGCAGAGGCCCAACAGAGCCGGAGGGAAGAAGCACTGGAGCCAGTGTCCCCTCCCCAGGGTTTTGGGAAAAGCTGCCTTCAGGGCTTTTCCACTGCTGTGGCTTTGAAGTTTGTTTTCAGTAAACCCCAGCCCACATGGCTGCTGGCGTCTGTGTGTGTCTGTGTGTGTGTTGGTGTGTGTGTCGGTGTGTGTCGGTGTGCGCGCTGTGCGCATATTCAAGTAGGGGCTCATGGACTTCTGTCAGCCCTAATGTATTTTGCCTCCACAGGTCCCTTCCTCCACAAGAAATATTCTGAAATACCTTTTACCATTGCATTGGTATAAAAACAAGTATAACCCAGGTTAGATTATATCTGTTTCTTACTAATTTTAAAAGGCATTAAAGCGCTTTTGTGGGCCCCTAAAGAAACACCGTGGGTGCCAAGCACTGTGCCTTCTGTGCTCAATGGCTCAGAGGCCCGCGCTGGAGGTGGAGGTGGAGGTGGGAGGGGCAGAGAGGCAGAGATGGTGGCGTGGGGGGCCTCACCTCTTTCCTTGGTCGTTCCGGCCCCCAGTGCTGGAGGACAGTATCCGCTTCTCCTTGGGACCCTGAGAGGAGAAAAAGGAGGGATTTGTGCACGGCTGTGGGGTGAGATTTGGCTGTCAGGAGCCTCAACCCGCTCCAGCCCACTTGTCCAGGCAGGGGAACAACCTTGGTCACTGGAAGAAAACCGCCAGCACTTCTAGACGGCAGGAGCTCTAGCCCTCATTTAGTCTCAGCCCCACGTTATATAGTGGGAGGATTAGCAGTTAGAAATTTTGGAATGTTGGAGTCAGGCAGGCTTGGCTTAGCATTACCACTTTAAAGTGCTTTGTGCTTTGAATAAATGACTGCATCTTTCTGAGACTGTTTCTTCATATGTCAACTGGGGGATTATAATGCCTTCATGGACTCTGAATCCAGATTTCTTGGGTTCAGTTTCTAGATCTGCCACATGCTGGCTGTGTGACCTCAGGAAAGTCCCTTAGCCTCTCTGTAGCTTATTACCCTTATTTGTAAAACAGGGATAAGAGTAACACCAACCTCAGGGTGTGAGTGCTTAGACCAGCATCTAGCACTCGCAGAGTACTACATGAATGTTACGTTTTGATTATAATTATAATATTGTTGTATCTTAGAGCATCCAGGTCATTTCTCCCTAAGGCTAATGAAGCCGGATCCAGGTCTCCAATCCTGTCTAGTTAATCCAACACCAGGGCTATTAATCACACCCCATGGAGAGTATGAGGAAAGGCGCCTGGCACAGTGCCTGGCAATCAGTAAGAAACAGTAAGTGGTGGCCTTCAGGACTACATTGCCCAAAGCCACATTGCCACAGCTAGATCTCAAACTCCCAACCTGGTGCTCTTTCCACGCTGTTAGACTACCCACCGGGCTGCTTTGACTCTGCAGTGCCCTGGGGTGGGGTGGGTATATCTCACCAGGACACTATATTTCAATAAACCTGTATTTCATGTGTCACCTTCAGAGCCTGTCCCCACCATTCTGGCCCTGGGAATGGCCTATTGTCCAGGGGAGGTGGTGTTGGATTTTATTTTATGGTTGAACCTTAAGCTAGAAACACGAGGCTGGTGTTTAAGTCCAGACCTAGAATTCTGGCTCCTACCATGCCCCCAAGCTGAGGCAGCCTATTTAAATTTCTTCTCTATCAACCTGGTCTAAATGCTACCAGGATGCTATTGGTCTGGTGGGGAGGAGGTAAGGTAGGATAACCACACCACTCCAGGGTGACAACCAAAGCCAGAAAGATAATTTGGGGACTTCACATACTTGGGACCATTTCACCCCTTCACATCTAAATTTACAGTTTGCCTTCCTTCTTGTGAGGGTAGATAAAATACTGCCTGGGCCAGTGAACATGAGGACTTACAAGACAGCTCTAAATCTTCAAGTTCAGAGCCAGATATCTCAACAATTAGCTATTCATGTTCTCTACCCTCAAATTTGAGAAAGTCTCTTGGAGCAATCACCCAGCCCCAGGATAGCAAGAAAGTTTGCTGTCACATGACAATTTAGACAACTGGGTAGAGGCTGCCTGAGTTTAAAAAGATTCTGTGGCCTCATGTACCCTCAGTGAGAATGCGAGCTGTACTCCTGTAGCAATTTCTGGAACAGGCAGTGGGCGGGGGTGAGGATGCTGTCATATGTGTTACATACTTGTGATTGCTACCTGGTCCAAGCCCACCTATCAGATATGGGAGGACCTAATTCCTATTCCCAGTAACTGGCAGCCAAGGCCCTGGAAATAATTAGAGAATAAAAAAAGATGATCTGTCAGAGGTATTACAATGCACATAATGGCAGCAAGGGTAAGAAGGACAGTAGGAGAGGGAGAAGTGATGAGGCAGGGCAGCTTCCAAGAGAAGGTGGGCCTTGGGAAGGGCCCCAAAGGAAGGGAATGGGTTCAAGAGCAGAAGACATGTTCTAGGTGGTGGGGTTCAAATAGGTGGGCGTGACTGACAAGGCAATTGGGGTGACCTGAGGGGTAGGGGCAGAACGAAGGCGGCAGGTTGGGGCTGTTGCTGTGGTGGAGTGAGTGTGGATGAGGCAATGGGCCATTCCATCAATACGTATTGAGTACTATGTGGCAGACAGCATGGGGTGCTGGGGATTAGGTAATGATCACGACATAGTTCCTGACATCCGGGAGCTCAGTATGAAGGGGGAGATGAAGAAATAACTGCACAAATAGAAAGTTTCTATAGCCCGAATCAAGGATGATGATAGTGGTTGCTTAGGATGCCTAGAGGAGGCTCAGAATGGGAGATCCAAGAAAGCCTACTCCCATTTCAATGAATGAATAAGGTAACATCAGAGCTGAGACCCAAAGCTGAGAGTGGGGTTTCGCCGGGGGAAAGGGTAGGGTGTCGGGCAGAGGGCAGAGCATGTGCAAAGGCCGACAGGTGAAGGAGAACATGGTGACGGGCTGGGAACGGTCCTAGGCTGTTGAGCTGTGAGGCCTGAAAGCGAAGACACACATCCAGGCAGAGTGGGGCATGCCCACGGGCGGCTCACATACCATGTAGTAATCATAGAGGAAGCTCAGGGCCGCCACGCTGTCATCATCCCCATTGACTCTCATCATGGCCTTCGTGGCAGCCGTCAAGGGGTTCTCCAGGTAGGTCTTCCAGGCCTCGTCTTCATTAGTGTAGGGGAACTTCTGGAAGTTGACTGGGTCGTTCTTCAGCAGCCGCACAGACCTAAAACTGGAAGGCATGTGAAAAGGGTCAAATTTAGGCTGTCCCAGAAGAAGGTCCAAGAATGGCCAGCCTCAGACCAATGCCCGGGAATTCAGAGAGTAACCTTGAAAACTTGAAACTCCTTCTATTATAATGCACCAGAACTCTGGAGCTAGATGCTCCAGGTCAACACCAAATGTTGCCATGTAGAGGCTGTAGACCTGGGGCCTCAGTTCCCTCACCTATAACATGAGGACCACAGTCTCAACCTTGCAAGGCTTCAGAGAGTATTCAAGAAATGCTTCCATAGCAGATATTTTTCAAGGGGAATGTGTGTAACAAGGATGCGAAATAACAATGACAAGCTGCAAAAGAATAAAATTTCCAGATAACCAAGCACACATGAGTTCTTCTGAAGAAGTTCTCTTCAAAGCCATAGGTGCAGAAGGTGGGAGATCATTTCTAGTCACAGAGAGAGAGAGACAGAGTCAGAGCGATGAAGCCCTTAGGTAGAACCTGGTTTTGGGAAATGGTATTTCAGACCAACATGTATTGTAGTGTCCAAGCACATGTCCAGAAGCCAGGAACTGGAATGCAATACTGCTGGGCACACCAAGGCAAGCAGAACCTGGGCACTGTGCTGAGAACTTGGACAAGTACAAGGCATGTGGCCCAAGAGTCAGAGTCAAGCCACATGGGCTCAGAGAGAATCAGGGAAGGCTCTTTGGAGGAGGTAGACATTTTAGTTGGGGACATCCAGCACTGGGGATTATCTTGCTCAGGAGTATGTGTGGGAGGGGCATTGAATAGGGATATACCAAATAATGATGATGATGATAAAAATAATACTTAATCTTTTTTGAGCATTGACCATGTTTTAGGCACAGAGCTAAGCACTTTTCACAGATTCTCTCGGCAACTCTGTAAGGCAGGTACTATTATTATTCTTATTTGATAGGTGAGGAAGCTGAAACTCAGTGAAGTTAAGGTTGTTGCCCAAGCTCCTGGCCCAGAGGGGGGTCAAGTTTAAGTGGGATGATGCTGTAATACAGAACAGTGGTCTTGAACTTTAGTTCCATCAAAATGACCTGAAAGGCTTGTGAAAACACAGATTTCTAGGCCTCACACTTACAGTTTCTGATTCAGTATGTCTGGGGTGGCCGAGAATTTGCTTTTCTAACAAGTTCCCTGGTAATGCTGATGTTGGAAGCCTGGGAGCCACACTCTGAGAATCCCTGGTGTAGAACATGCTCTTCTTTATGAGCAAAGGCACAGAGGTGGGAAAGTTCTGTTTGTGTTTGGTTTAGAGCGAAGAGCATGTAAAGGACAGTGTTAAGTGAGAAGCTAGGGACAGTCAGGCTAGGAAAACGTGCCACAGAGATGGTTAAGTGGGCACTGATTGGTCTCCTGGTCCCCAGTACCCTCCCTTCTAGGTGAACCTGGTAGACTCGCTCATGGTAGGTACCTGAGAACAATGTCAGCCACTACTCACTGAATATATATGAACACTCTCCATTCATTAACTGTTTCCTTACAAGAACACTACCAGGTAAGGATCATTTGCTTCATTTCATAGTTGAAGAGACCAGAGACTTGGAGAGGATAAGAACATGCCCGAGATCAGTCTGCTAGTCCATGACACAAACTGGATCTAATCCCAGGCTTGTCAAGTACCAGAGACACATACTTCCCTCTAAGCCACACTGCTTTACCATAATGCACGAGGGCAATCCTTACCACAGCAGGAACATGCTCTAGTGGTGAAATTTCAGGCGCTGTGGCAGGTGGGCAAATCGTGTCACAGGGAGGACCTTCCTGCTGCCCTGCAGCTCAGGCCTACATTCTTAGACACAGAGTGGGAGCAGCAGCCAGGCCACGCCCGGGCGGGCCGTGGGCCGCAGCCCTCCCAGGGGCTTCATCTAGGGCACAGTGGCTCCCATCCCACTGGGCCCCAGGGTGCAGGGCGTTGGGCTTTGAGAGGCAGGGAGGGAGAGGGAGCTGTCACACAAAAAAGAGAAATGACAGAAACCTTCCTGCTCCAGGGGTGCGGAGAGGGAGGCACACCCCGAGTTTCTGCTGCTATAAATCAAGGGCCTCAAGATGAGAGGTGAGAAGAGGCCCCTCCCTCCTAGCTGCCTCCTGGGCCTGGGGTTAGAGGAACTTAACAGAGCAAGCCCAGGGTGGCTGCCACAGCCCCTCCCAGCCCCAGGCTGTAGGGAACTCCCAAACCGAAGGGCATGGGAGAAAAAGGGAAAGGCCTTGCAGACCTCACCCTCTTGGTCAGTTGGGACCCCCAGTGCGAAGCATTGTTCCTTGTTTGTAAAACGGGTCTCATAAAAGCACCTACCATGTGGAATTAAGAGGATTCAGTACATTGCCAAATGGAAAATGCCTAGAACTCTTTCTGGCACGTAACAAGTGCTTGATATATTCGAGCTATTATGGTGCTCTGGGCCTGACTTAGAGCCAGACATCAAGGTGTTGGAAAGTGGTACAAGGCATGGCCACCCTGCAAGTCAGTGGCAGATTTGGGCCTCAAACCCCAATTTGCTGACTCTAGTGGAATGACCATTAAATTTTAGAAGACGATGATAAAGTCACATCAGAATCAAAGAAACAGACAATGTTTGCTGTTCACCTGAAAAGCTTTTCTGGCCAGCAAGGGTCTCCAATCCACCTTGCTGGGACCCCAAAGTCTGATTCCTGGATACACAGCAGCTGCCATGCCTTAAGCATTTACCATATGCAGACACTGTTGCCAACTTTCTCTGTGTCATATCTTCTGATCTGCACGATAGTCCTGAGAGAGCTATTAGGGAAATAGAGACCCAAACAGGTGCCATTACCTCTTCAAGGTAACTCAGCTAGCAAGTGGTGGAGGTTAACTTGAACCTGGATCTGTTGGACTTCAAGATGCAGCTTTTAACCCCAAACGAGCCTCCTTTTAGATGTCTTTGCTATTGTGAAAAGTCCCCACCTCTGGAATACATTGAACTAATTCTCTGCTGCAAGACAAAAAGGGATTTCCTACCCATACAGTGCAGGAGGGACTAAGCGAGAACGTGAGAGGACTGGAAGAGTTTCTGGCAGTAGCAGGAGGCATAGTGCCCTGGTCCCAATGCCCCGCTCACGCTGCCAATCAAGTTTATGTTCCAAGACTAAGCATTGGCTTCTAACAAGTCTTGACCATGGATAAGGTTAACATGGCCTCATGTGCCAAATCCTGAAATCCAAGAACCTGTTCTCTTAAAGGTTGGAATTGAGGGTTGAGGGCTCAGTGGGTAAGAGGCATGAAAAGAGTTCCAAGAAGGAGTGAGGCCACCTCATGGGTGACAAAGCCAGAATAAAGAGGGGAAACCAGGTGACTCCCATTCAATGCGGACTCCTTTCCTGGGGCCTCCACAAACTCTCTGTTGGTGTCCCTGTCCAAAGCAGAACTCCTCAGCTATCAGAAGATAAAAAAGGAATGGGGCGGAGGGACTGGAGAGAGAGGACTTGGCCCTGGGCAACCTTCTTGATGTCAGATCTCCACCAGGGCACAGCACAGAAGAATCTGTAGCACCACGGGAGGAAGTAGCACTAGATTCATAGCCTGACAGACCCGAGTAACTGTCTGTCCCTGGGTAAGGCACTTAGCCCCTCTGAGCCTGTTTTTCCATCTGTTAAATGGGTCTATTGAGTGTCTTCTCGGTGCCAGTCAGAGAATCTTCTAGGCACTGGGCAATCAGCCAACAGCAAGACAGATAAGGCTCTGCTCCCACAAAACTTACAGTCTAATTGGGAAGACAGACCATAACAAGTAGGTAAATAAGTTAATTTTACTCAGTGATAAGTGCTGTGAAGAAAATTAGAACGCAGTCATGTGATGGAGTCACCAGGGCTGGCTACTTTAGAGTGGGGCTAATCTTGTGGGTTGTTAGGAGAATTAAGTGCATTAATGTAAGAAATGTGCTTAGCCTAGAGCCTGCCAGAGAAAAATCGCTCAGTAAACGATAGCTATCATCACCACCACCGCCACCATCATCATGACCATCATCATCTCAGAACCCCCAAATGAGAGTAAAGGGGAGACTCTGCCTGAGGTCCTTAAATTAACATCCTCCCCACGCCTCCTGTGAACGAGGTTCTGAGTGAAAAACAAGAGACATGTAATAACCCCTTGCCTTGACTTTCACATTCATTATCTCACAGAGCCTCCCAAATTGCATGATGTATTATTACCTCTACTTTACAGGCCAGAAAACAGACAACAGGTAACCTGTTCCAGGGGACTGGTCAGTGGGTTACAAAGCCAGACTTCCTGGGATCTGGCCTGGGAACTAGCTCCATGACTAGACACTTTTCCGTCAAACCACCAGTTTCCAAGAGGGAATGTAGAAGAGAGGGAAAAAATTAGTGATTCTGGGAGGCATCCATCTCTCATTTGAACAAACATTTATCAAGTTACCATTATGTGCCAGGTCTCGCCCTAGGCGAACAAGACAGTAAGGTCATCTCGCTGTCTCAGAGGCCGCATTTTAGTGGCAGCAAGACAGAATAACCACAAAAACAGCTAATATTGGATGGGTGAAGACAGCTAGGAAGGAAAAGAAGCAGGGGGACCCCTGAACTCTGGGGAGTGACTGGATGTTGGTTGAGAAAGAGGCTAAAAGGGGAAGAGGGAGCATGGATGTAAGCGGAGAGGACTTTGGACCTGCCATGAGAGGAAAGGCAAGATCCAAGACCAAGCCAGGGACAGCTCCGAGAGCTTGTTTGCCTACTATGTGTCAGGTATGAGCCAGGTCTTTTGCATACATCCCCTTGTTTCAAGGAAGGGCAGCCTTCTGAGGAGGAAATGCAAGTCTAAGATTTGATAATCCCTCTTATTTACATATTGTGTTATATTTTTCAACATGCTTCTCATGCATTTGTCATCACCTCT